AATGATCGTACCAGCAAAGGCACTTCCCTTGTGAGTATTTCTAGACAAGGAATGAAATCATTGTGAAAATGGCCAGAGCTTTTGATCAAGCTTTGACAAAGGTCAAGTTATGGCTTATCTAATCATCATGAAGCGTATTTACAGTACTTAGTTTTATTAACACAAGGCTTTAGTTTGAGATAATTCAACGGCAATCTGTAAATATCTTGATTTTAACAGGGAAATGATTCCTTAAAAGTGAGTTGATAAAGAGGGATTCTTGGGTTTACTTTTTTGGGGTGAAAAAGATAAGTTACAGATTAGCTGAACTGTTTATGGTGGAAATATTTCAGAATATGGAAATAAATGGAAAGAGCTTTTCACAAAAAATCAATCAACAAATGGGTGCATAAAGAGTCGATGGTTAACATTAACTTGGATACTTTAACATGATCAAATTGTAGCTATAAATCAGTTTACAGGTGAAAGAGATATAAGAATCTTGAAAGGGAAAATGATAATAATGAGAAAGGATTGAATTAATAATGAAAATCAATGATCATAGAGTGGAAAGAAAGGATCTGGCTGGAGATTCTTTTGCCTTTACAAAGCAAATGTAAAATGTAAAAGTAAGCTTACCATTGAGATGCATTTTTGCTGCTTTTATCAAATTTAATCGAAAAATTGGATTGTTGAATGAGAATTTAGAATCACCACACAATAAGGATTAAATCATTATGTATTAGGGTTAATTTGTTCTAGCCAAAATTGTCATTTTGGTAAGATGATCAAGATGGTTGATTAAATCATGGTGTTGAAAGTGTTGTGAGGAAACCAGTCGAGTTAGAGTTTAAGATTACTGTAAATATTGGGAAGGTTAAAAGTCACAAAAAGGGTTGAGTGGTAAAGATAAGAAGAGAAAATATCACAAATAATTTAGTCCATTGGTACAATTAATTTTAATAAACTGGCCAAATGAATAAGGAAGGTTAGCAAGTGTATTGTTTTGGGTGGTAAACTTGAAGGAGAGTCTATAGAAAGAAGCGTGAAAGGGAAGAAAGAGGAAAAAGTAATGTGTGACTCATATCAAATTATTGATCGAAAGATTCAGAGAAAAAAGACAGAGCAAGAATTTGTGTGAAGATGATGATGATGGTGTATGAATAGGGAAACAGAAAAACATGAAATTACCTTTCTTTGCATCTTGTCCATTGAGCCGGTCTCAAACCTCACCCAATAATCACCAGTATGATTGGTTTGATTCTTTCTTTTCTCAAAACTCACAATTAAAGCTTAAATCGCTTTAAAAATCAATTTTTAAATGCTGGCAACATGAATATTCCAAATTGATTGATCGAAGAGTGTGTCTTTAACTGTCTGAAAGCCTGTCTTACAGTTAATACGATTAAACAGATGAAAAATTTGATTTCACCAACAATGACCACTAACCAGCCATTGCAATTTTTTACTGTTTATTTAATCATGAGTTTGACCAATTAACATGATTAACAGCAGTGTCAAACACAAATTTTAACATCAGTAATATGTCCGTAGATTTATGGCACTATTTCAAAATTTGACACTAATTAAACTTATTTATTGATTCACAGTAACATTATGATTGAGATTGTTGATGGAAAAAGTGTTTATATTTTGAACCTCTTTTCAGATAAGGTTTAGGAGGTTAAAAAACTACTCGATAGATGTCACTACTCAATATTTATCCGAAATTTCAATAAAACTTTGAGAGGAGCTTGAGTTTCCAATGAATTGATTGTTTATGTAACAGATGAGAGTTTGGACAAATTTAGTTTGAATTGATATAAAAGCAATTTAATGATTTACAGTAAAATGTCTGGTATCATTGTACATGATTATAAATACATTTGAATAGTTTGCAATGGAAAAGAATTATGTTCTTAATTTTGAGCATTATTGACATTTACCTTTACCAATTAGTAATTGTAATACAGCATAGAAAAATGGAGTTTAAAAACAATTTAGTTTTCTTTGTTTTCTAATTGGAACGTTTTAGGCTAAGATTTCGATTTTGATTGTAGTTTTCGGGCGATCATAAAATAAAGATTAATTGATTAGATTTTTTATACTGAGCTGAAAATTGATTTTCAATGCAATTTTGGTGAATCTACATCTAAATCTATCACTTTATAAAAACAAAGAAAATCAAATTGAACCTAAACTTCATCTTTTAAAGAATATAATTTAATTGATTCACAGTTTTACTGTAGATAATTATCCTTTAAATGGTTAAAAATATTTTAAAAAACTCAATTTTGGTCATGATTCATGAATAATACTTACAAAGTTGTTATAGTATTATATGATTGAAAATATCATCTTGCGCTATCGATACAAGATAAATTAAAACATATTTGGTTGACGACGCTTAATAGCATTACCAAAAATTAAATTAATCAAAATAAATTATTAAAATTGCTAGAGTCCAGTTTGAACGTTCTGGTCAAACTATTTTGGGCTTTGATTGAGGTTTTATAATACTTTTAAGATCGACTTTAACTCCGACAATCAATTTATCCTTTTACTACTTCACAGCCTGGGTTTCTGGTCCTCATGAATTGAACAAGCTCGTCGGTCACTGCTGGACAATTTGTTAGTTCAACCAACTGCAATTCATCCAAATGAGTCAAATGTATTAAACCTTTGAAGGTGAATAGCGGATTACCTAGAGAATTGATAGAAAACGATAAATTTTGTTATTAATGATTAAATTGGAAACAATAGAGTCAACATGAAGTCAATTTTACCTGCTAAATATAATAATCTGAGTCTCTTCAAATTGCAAATACTAAGTAGAGATGAGTCACTGAGTTGAGGGCAGCAACGAAGAGAGAGAATAATTAAGTGTGGAAGTTTAGAGATGTATCCGACTCCCACATCAGAAATACCCGAACACCTGAAGTTGATAAAAAAATGAATGATTAACCAATCAATATTAAGATAATTTTGACAAAATATGACCATTACCTGTCAAAATTAAGAGCTCGAAGATTGAGTGATAAATCACAAGCAATGTATTGAAGAGCTATATCAGTGATTCTCGCACACCAGGATAGATCCAAAACTTTCAAACGCCTGACTCTATCAGACATCATTTCAATAGCTTCGTCTGTGATCTATAAAAAAAGATGTAAAGTCGTTAACAAAAGATCAATATTGTATAAATTAATGTAGATAAAAAATTATTACCTTCGAACATCCTAATAACCCCAGTCTTTCAATATGAGGAAGACTGTGAACAATATTAACAACTCCTTGATTAGTCAGCTCCCAACAATTTTCTAAGCGCAGAGCCTTAAGGTTCTTTCGCAGGGTAACAGGACCGAAAAAACTAGTACTAGCATCGGACATATGGTATGTCTAAATCGAAAGAAAAATTTATCAAAAATGTTGTATTTTGATTTGGTTTTAAAAATTTGCAAAAAATAGTTTACCTGAAGGCACATTTCTTGTAATTCAGTTAACATTTGTGAAGTTGCTGCGATAGTTTCGTCACTTATATTTATACAATCGCGAATTGTTAATGATTGAAGATGTGGCACTAAACTAGTCCATAAACCAGAATCACTAATTTCATTGCAACCTAATTAAAAAATAGATTATATTAAATTATTATTCAAGCGAAAATATTACAAAGAAAAACTTACTGGTCAGTTCGAGTTGTATCAATGATTGACTTAAAGACGCAAGAAAAATATCAAGTCCTTTGTCAGTTATAGTCGAACAGCGTATGGATGCTGATTGTATACATCTAAGTCCAGAAGGTGAAAGTTTGGTAACAAAGTCGAGAATATCATCATCATTGGCTGCGTAAAGAATAATAGAACTAAAACATCTTCTCTCTATGCTAGCATAAAGCTCATCTTTAACTCTATTTGGGTGAAAATTATATCTTTCGTCTAAGGATGTATCGCTTAGTACACTTTCTTCGGATGAAGTTGAATCGATAGATTCTTGATTTCGAAACATTTCTATCCGTTTTCTGATGTAAGGTCCGATTAACCATGGATCTGGAGGATCTGGGCTATTTTTAACTGGCAACCTCCTTAGTTCATTTGTATAAACAACAGGCGTTAACCCATACCAAAATTTTGGATCACTGTATAATACATCTTTCCATGTAGGACAAACCTAGAACGAATCACATTTTGAATAAATATCTCGGTTAATTTTCTAGAGTTACAGTTTTAAGCATTTTTAAACGTATGAAAAAATGTAAATTACCTGAGCAAGAAGGCATCGATCTCTGGAAGTAAAGAATCTAAAAAAGTAATGCAAAAATTTTACATCACGAAGCAACTCGAATTCTGTAGCTGGTTTTTGAAGGCTAAGTAGAAAATTTCTCCGTCGAGCTTTACTAGTTTTTGGAGGGGCAACAGGAGGTGGACGTTTTGAAGGAGTTAGCTGACACGCTTCGAATAAGTTTATTATGGTTGGTGACTGCGTTATCATGGCCTCATTGGAATCATTATCATTGGAATCATTATAATCGAAATCTTTGGTTTCCTCGGAATCCATTAAATTTGCTTTGTATTGGATTTTCAAGAAAAGCTCAGATTCGTATAGAGGTATAATTGTTCTACCATTTGATTGATGATTAGGGGAAGCACCGTTTTTCAAAACTTTCTCCTCCTTGCAAATTTGATTGCTTAACCCGTTTAACTTTTCACCCGATCGTTCTCTCAAGTTTTGTTCTTGGAAAGACTTAGTAACAGCGTCCAATTCATCATCCTCTTCATTGTTCACAGACTTAGAAGATGCCGCTGATCCATTGGCAGTTGAACCATTATTTTTATAGTTGTTTCTCGATAAGGATAGTCCATTAAAGCATCGAGACAGCTCAGCCGTCGTTCGTTTCGTGTAACCCACTTCTGCAGACATAGTAGCTAAACTTTACCAGGCAGCCTTCAGTGTAACCAGAAGACAGGCCACCCTAGATAAGAAGTTTGGAAAGATAGAATTTAAACAAAAGAAAACAGAAAAATTGGTTTAATTAAATTTATTGATGCAACAGTTTCGATAAAAAAACTAATGTCAATTCAATTCGAAAAAAATAATCTAAAATAAATACACGATCTACAGAAAATGACAGACGCATAAACTCACAGAAAAATTAAAATCAAATTCGACTTACTTTCTTGGTTGAAGTCAGCTTGATAAAATCAAGTAAATTTGCACTTTAAGCCATGAGAATCATCAGAAGACCAATAAATGATTACAAATTTGATTAGTTAAAAAATAATATGAAAATACTCTGAATCCTTTTAAAATTGACAGCGTTGCCGGACTGGTTTTATAAATTGTCACCATTTACAAATATAAAATGACCAAGGCATAGACAGCATAATCGAAGATTGAGAAGATGAAATAAGGTTCATTTGTGTTGAAAATTTGGAAAATAAATTAAGCAAAACGAATGAAAATCACGACAAAACACCATCAAATAGACAAAGAAGATTACAAATCAATATGAGCAAGTGGAAAAAAGATGGCATAAATCGTGAAAAAGAAAGAGAAAAAGAGAGACCATTAGAACAGAGGGAAAACAGAGATTGAAAAAAGGAAAGGGGGAAAAGTCGATGTGATCTTGTTTAGATGAAAGGTTACTCACCTAGAGAAGCTCAATTAAGAGCATTTGACTAGAAAAGGGTTTATTAGTTGATTGTTATTAAGTTTAATTGGACATGACAATTTTTACAAAAATTGACAATTAACTTGTCAACAAAATTTACAAAAAAATGAATTTACTCTTTTCTAACTGTTTCTTTAGCTTGGGTATCTTCTCCGTCCCTAACAACGGTTTCTAGGTAGCCTTTTTGATATCAACCTATCAATTTGGTTTGCCTTTAATTTGAATCTGGATCAAATGTTTCCTTCTCATCTAACTTTATGAATCTGACAATGTGAATCTGAATTTGTGAGTTTTGCTCGATTTATCATTCATAAGTTCACAAGTTGAATCTTTAATCAAGTTGAGTGTCATTGTGTCATCTGATGCCAATAATTGTGTTTTAAACATAATAACAAGGTAAGAAATTTCGGTCAAATATGTTATACTGTTAAACAAATTCGTGTTAAATATAATTTTATCAGATTTTCAAGTTTAGTGGAATCGTTTAGTTCATTCAGTTGTCCAGTATTTTGAGCTTCTATTAATAATTACTTGATTAGCTCTGAATTCTGATTTTCTCCCTGAAAAGGTACTTTGCTGCAATGACATAAGTTGAGTGTTTATTGAAGATATTTTCATTAAAAACCAGATAAGATTACTGAATATGGATGAAAATCAAGTGTTAGACTAAGGATTTCCCTCTTTACTTTCTTATCTTTACTCGACGAGGAAAGAACTTTGAATTTGCTACAATTTTAATGTTTCCTATCAGCAATTGTAAACTGTCATATTTATTGCACTTATGTAATGACTTCATGAACACATTACTTTGACTTGATAATTAAAATGACTACATCTAGACTTGAATTCATTAATCATTTCAATTTGTTTGGGTTTTCCTTGAATGTGAAAGGTAATAAATGTGTTATAACATTCATGTTAGACTGATTCAATAAGCGATCATTTCTGAATTGTAAACAATTCTTTTTAAGTAAATTAAACAATTATCAGACTTTCAAGTTTTCAAGTTGGCAAATTTATTGCAAAATTTAATGTGTAAATTGTTTCTCAAAATCTCAAATTTAATTTACAATCACCCGAAACGATTGCATCTAAAAAATTTATAAATACTAATAATGAATAGATGATGACATTTAAATGGTATAATATTACAATAGGTATATCGGGGCGAAATCATAGTGAGTAGATAAATTTGATGGACCAAGAGGAAAAATATAAAGTATGAGGTTATGAAAAAAGTAAATTGATTGTAAGAAATAATTAGGTAATTATTAAATAGTGGATCAGCGTTTAACTTTAGATAAATCCTGCGAGACTTTCCAGAGCATTAATTTCATACAAGCGACAGCATCTTCTTGACTGTCGTGTCCATCAACTAAAGAAGGAAGAAAAAAAAGAAAATTAATCTAAACGAAGAATTTGAAAGTTAGAATAAAATATTACCATCATTTTGAATAATAGACTGCAAAAATTCAACCATTAAGGTCCTCAAAGCGCGTTTATAAGGAAGGCCTCGTCGATGTGGAAAAACTTCCGCTGTATCAATCACAGTATCGTGAATAATTTTTAAGGCTTTAAGATCACTCTCCAAAGAATGACCGATAAGGATAGTTTTATCTCCTATCAGAGCTAACAATTTTTGCTGGACATCTTTCAAAGAAACTTCAACTTTGTCCAAATCACCTTCTTTTATTCCACTGAATTTGGTGTTATAGTCAAGAACCGGGTTATCTGGCTTCACAAGAGATTCATAAACACATTTTAATTTATGATCAATAACAGAAACACGAGTCAGTTCCAATCCAACAGTTGTATAAGACTGAAAATAAATTGATAATGTAAATTAGTTTGGATTCAGTAGTTAGTAAAAATACAAATATTGATAGATGATTACCATTTCACAATCTAACGCATAGATGCCGAAAAAACCATTAGAATCAGCTGCCTTTGGTCCAGTATGTACATATCCCATCAAGTAGTTAGGATGACACGTACCATCAACTACATGGGACTTTCCCGAACAACAGCCTCCAGTGGACGAATCACCCTTACAGCACGAATATTTTTTTTCAATGCTTCTGTTGACTGTCAAATAAAGAAATGTACATTTTAGAAATGATGAATTTTGAGCAACCATGGATAACCTTACATCTTTCGTTCCAAAGACGGCCAGAATGATAAACACATGTCTCTAAAGACAATGGGTAACCGAATTCATCAACGGCAAAGTTTTTCATACATCTATGACATATTCGTCTCGATGATGAAAAGTTGTTTTTACATTTAGCATCACTCGGTGGTAAAATAGCTTTGCCTTTGACTTGAGGGTCAGGTCTGGGATAGCCGTACTCAGACAGCTTGTTAATACTCATAATATAGCGTTTCAGAGCGGTGTAAAGTTGAGCATCGGATAAATCTTGAACACTTATGCTAACTCTACGTTTTTCAATGCTACAACCTTCAGCGTGGGGACCATTCAAAATCATTTCATGTGAAACTGGACGATTACCAATTGATCCATCAGCTGATTTTGTTGGCGTTTGAGGAGTCGATGGTGATGATGAGTTACTATTTTTCGCATTAGCTTCATTCCTAATTCGCTTGATTGTATTAACTGCTAGATTTAGATACACGTTTTTACTTGTACTACGTGTGTATATAGTCTTTTCTTCGAGGAGACCCTGAAAATTAGATAATAAAACAATTAGATTTTATAAAATAAAGTATTGAGAAAAACATTTCTGCAATCATAGAGATCATCTTTAATGTCATGATGTCAATTCATTTTACTAATGGAAATTACTTACCCTGCTATACGATTCGTCTTCTGAGGTAAACTTGAGTAGCTCGTCGATGAAATTATTGAGATATCGAGTCCGAATAGCCATGGGAATTTTCCCTCCAAACTCATTGGGTATCACCGGGCGTCTCTTTGTAGGCAAAGCGGGTGTTGCCTTTTGAGCTGTGCTTGGGCTTGAAGAGGTTTTAATGATTGAATTGTGAGCGATTCTCTTCTTTGCATTTGCATCGTTTAACTGCTGGAAATGAAAAAATAAATGAATAGTAAATCCTACAAAATGATATTCCATTAAATTCTTACAGGTTCATTGATTGATTCTTTGCTTGCTAGATCGTTGAAACGGTTAAACATTATTTGTGAAGGTGTCAATTTAACTGGTTTCTTCGCCATGGACAATTTCATCGTCTATAAAAAAATAATAAGAAAATTAGGTCTAGAAAAATAATGAATGGGTTAAGAGTTGTCATGCAAATTGTGAAATGTATATCGGATCAAACTTGAAATACACAAATTTGCATGTCATACTCTTTGTCAAAATAGGTTTATTAAAATGTTGTTCATACCAGTTCAGATGGTCCGCTGTGAGCGACTCTTGATTTTTTTGCTACAGAAACTTGATTCAACTCGTCTTCTGTGGGTGGAGATTCTAATAATTCAGCTAAATCGTCTTTCCTAAAGAGAAATAACCAAAAGGGAAATTAGTATGAGAATTTCAACAAAGATTGATAAAAAAATTACTTTTGACTATCTGCTACCAGTTTCGATGGAGATTTTTTGGATGTATCGACAGTTGATGACTGGGATGTTAATGATGATGATGCTGAGTCGTCCGATTTGGTAGCAGAAACTTTCACAGATTTTTTAGTTCCATCATGGTTTAATTTTGTTGAACTTGGAGTTGTACATGGATTTTTGGATGATGAAGACTTGACTGATTCTTTGGTTGGAGGCAATTTTTTTTCTTCTGAAGTTGACTTGTTAATAGATTTGGTCAGATCCGTCTTTGAATCTTTAGATAGCTTCTTCTTTTTTAGTTCTTCTTTCACAGTGGGTTGTGTCTTGGTTTTGTTTAGTTTACCATTAAGCTGGTTAGATGCTTTATCCTTAATACTTTCTTTGTTTATTTCCTTAGTCTTGTCCTTAAATTCTTTCTCGGAGGCATTGGCTTTGTCGCCAACAATAGTTGCAATGATATCACACTCATCGTCAATTGGTTCTTTCTTTACTTTCACCAATGGCTCATTTGAATTTGATAACTCACTAGCTTTTCGCTTTCTTAATTCGGCAATGGGTGTCGGTTTGTATTCAGGAATCTTATTGATTGGTGTAGGTATATATGTTTTAGCAGTAGTAACACTGGCATGTTTGTAATGACAATGGGGGCGACAGCAAAATCCACTTTTATAATAGGGACAATGGAGATTCTTGAAATAACCACTTGTTGGGAGCATATTTAACACAATCTGATTTAAACTTTATAATTATGATCGTAAATATAAATGAGTAATATGAATATTTACATCAATGATAGTTGTCAAAACAAAGCCCGTCAGATGTTTTTAAAAGGTATTAAGCTTATGTATGAGGATGTACAGAGTTAACTCGCTTCCAAACAACCAATGAGAACAACTAGCGGGTAATAATGAAATCATAAAATTTTGTAATAAGATTTTGTAATCAAATCAAATTTTAAATTACCTTTTGATTGAAAAATTTCGCCAAAATTGCAAACCAAATAGATGGAAGAGTTGATTGGTTTCATTATCTTACTGATATTCTCTCTTTTCTGGCTTATGAGTATTTTCATCTTCAACTCTGTTTCAAAAAAAACAAAAACATTGCAAATTAAAGCATTTTAATCTGATTAATCAATACGGTCAAATTGAGAAATCAATTGAAATTTGAACAAAAGAAAAGGATGATTTTTTCAAGTTAAACTAAAACAATTGTCATAGATAGCGTAAAATTAGAAAAAAAACAAAATACAAACAAGAAAAAAATGGGAGAAAAGTCAAATTGAAAACTTACTGTGCTTTTACTGATTATTTTGTCATTGTCTTGACAGATTGATAATAAATAAGAAAATCTCAATAAAGCTGATCATGATAACTGACAATAAATCATTATGAGTAATAAGATAACAATAATTATAATAAAAAACAAAAAAAAGTTTATACAATAATTTCGGGCTTAACAATAATACACAAAGAATCAGCTGAAGATCTGATCCAAAGTATCAGAATCCATAATATCACTTGTTCAGCTAAAGTTGTTTTTATCTCACAGATGAAAGCCATTAGTGTTTTTCATAGCTCGTCATCTTCCATCTCATGATATCTCTCTCTATTCAAATCTAGCTCAGGTGCTTCATGGAGTTCCCCCGATAGTGACTCCAATCGTCCTACCAAAGCTGTCCTTATCAAATATCATTGAATAGTCCAGGATAGTTTTCAATCCTGGCAACCTTTTCTAGATACAGATTGTAGCTCAAACTCTTTTTGTATTTCATGTTGAAACATGGAGACCAACTTTAGTAAAATAATATTTTTTCATATTTAAACCTAGTCTCACTTTCATTTTCTTGATGCTAACAATGCTCGATACAAATCATTGTTGAAATGCGTCTTCGTCAAAGAATAAAAAATTCTTGCCTTCTGGTCCGATTTGATAATACATGAACCATTATCCATAAGTCCTGAATATCGGACATCTTCAAAACAGTTCTAACTTAACACCATTTGTCTCTAAATTGGCAAAAACTTTTTGTTCTTCATCAAATCAATTGAAGCATGTTCGATTGAAAGGCCAACTTGTGACCAACAGGGACTGTATTTAAGTAACTTTAAGCCATACACCGGCTAAATCTCGTCGAATACGCTTTTGAGTAAAAAATTAAAAGTAATTGCCATGTAAATTCAATAATTTAAACACTGTTTATTGAAAACCTTGCAATGCTGTGGATTAACATTGCTACAAGGTGGGTAAGTAGTTTTTTAAGAGAAGCAACCCAAAAAGTATAAAAATTCTGATCAATTGGATCGTGCTTCAGTTTCAGCTTTTAATCTGGTCCGAGCAAAGTCCTCGAAGATAATATCATCTTCTGTCGGTTCTCTATTGAAAAATAAAAATAAAAATGATAAAAATGTACAATCTTTTGGTCAATTAGAGTGATTCATTGATAAACACAGTACTGTCCAAAGTCAATAAATTAAAATCATCAACTTCGTTCTGCAAATTTTCAGAATTAGATTTCTGAGTTAAAAAATAAGATGAAAATTTTAAATTAAATAAGTACATATTTAGTTAGTTGATGTCATTAAGTTGAATCTAAAAATACTGCATCAATAAGCGATGAACCCGAAACATGCGACATAAAAGGAAGTGAGCAAGAGAGACAGAGTCAAAATCAAAACTCACGTATCCAATTGGATTAAGTTAAAATCGTTGATTAGATCTTGTTTATTTGCATCATTGCTGGCATGATTTGTGCGAGTGTCACCTTCAGTTGAAGTCTCAAAAATTTCATTCTCATCTTCAGGCTTGGGGTGCATCAAAACAAATGGTAATTCTGCGACAACATCACCACCCAATGGGCCCAGGCAAAGTTTGACTCTAACCTTATATTGAACTATTATGCCAAGGTTTTCCTTATGCGCTGGATCGTTTATGCTGTTGAAAAGTTGAATAGAAACATATAATTATAAGAATAAATTTTTCCACATTTATGATTAACCTTAACATGAAAGGTAATATTTACATGGTTGATGAAGCTAGGTTGGTATCTTCATGTTTAAGTTGACCGTCTAGAGCCAAACCTCGTTTTGATTTGTTATCCGTTAGAAGAGGTCGAAGGTGATAGACTTTTGATAAAGTGAATCCAGGACTAACAGGAAAACCATCCCTGATTTGATGTGATCGGAATAAATATGAAGTCAAAACATTTGATGAACATGAAAAAATGAGAGAAACAATTAATCAAAGCTAAGATAAGTCTAATCGAGAATGGAATTTCAATCACGTACTCACTCTGGATTTCAGCTACTGTGCATTTATATTGTGCCGTTGAAAACAAACAGATATCAGAGAATTGTCGAACTGATACTTTGATTTTCTTGACCGATCGATTAGAGTTGTTGGCAATATGAACATTAACTGCAATGTCTTCTCCATGATGATAAAGCTAAAGAATCAAATCAAAATGAATAATCTAGAGATGAAAAAGTATTTCAAGTCTCAGAGCTATTCAGGGAATCAGAAATTTTCAATACCTAACGATTTACAAGTAAATTTACCGCAAAATACGGTAGATTCCAACTTAACCAAATCCTAAAAGTTCAACCCATTATTTGACTTCTAGCTACTCTAACCAACTTTAAGCATTCTGACCAAGAAATTAAGTTATCAGCAGATTCAAAATTCAGGTGTAAACAATCGTATTACAGAGACCATTTAGACAGTCATTATTGCTGAGCTCTTTTGAGTAGAGTTAATTTTTGAAAAATATCAATCAAACCCATGAAAAGGGTTTACTCTAATAAACAAGATTGAATACATCCGAACATTGAATTGGTTGTTGTTTGGTGAATTTTTGTTTCAAGATTTGCAAATGAATCATGTTGAGATGGTTAAAGTTCAAAGATTAGGAGTAAGCCATATAAAGATTGGTAAAGTTGGACCGAACCTTGGAAATTGAGCTTTGAGTTTAATGGTAATCCTTTTAAAATGGAACAGCGTAACTTCAAAATTGCTAATCTAAAACTCTTTTCTAAAATCCTTTTTTGTTACAAGAAAACTCCTCTCACTGTTTCCATTAAATTGACTGTTTTATAAGTTATAAGTAATAAACAAGTTAATGGAATATAGATGTTTGGAAATACAAACCTCTTTATCTAGAGAAGCTTCTAAGTGGAGCTTATTTGGGGACATCACAAATTGTTTGCTAACTTCCACACTGGGTTGTTCGCCTTGTTCACTTGGTGCATAAGTAATTTTTCGTATCGCCAACCTTACAGAATTACGTTTGTGAGATTTTTCGTCTACATTGTCAGCAACATATGCTTTTAACTCATAATCAACTCCACATGGTTTACCGGTGTCTCCTGGTGCTGGTTGGAGTGTAACCGATGCTGGACAATGCGAAGGAAGCTGAAAAATATTTTTAAGACGGAAAAGGAAAATTGATGAACATAAGAAAGAAATGAAGACGCAATAAGCACAAGTAAAATGTCAAGAGATGAATGAATACAACATATTCACAAATTGTGATTGAGATTGCAAGAAAATGAAGCAATAAATTATAAACTTCATTTACCTAAAAATTGAAAGCTAACAATATAATCTTTTTGAAATAATCATTTGATAAATTGAAAGCTGATATTTAAAACTGCACACTAATAAATGACATTAAATTGAAAAGAATCAATTGACAGATATCAAGTAAGTTTAGCGGGAATCGGAATAAAAATTTACCTCGAAATAAAACGGGAATGCATTAGGTCCCAATTTTTTTATTAATCTTTCTTGTAATCTGGTTCGAGGTTTTTTCTTCGTTTCTTCCGTAACTGGAAAAATTTGCTCCGATGCTAGGTAAAGATCTTTACGAAAAGTCAAACCAAGAACATCTAGATCTTCTCTTCCATAACGAAAAGCAGCGGAGACATGGCCGAATACTCGGCGATCTTTGACATACTCTGAATCAACCAAGACTACGCCATCTAAGGCACAATAAAAGGAAAGAGAAAACGTAGGAATAAATGGGCATGAATAATGAGAGAATAGTTGCATCTTTAAGATCGAGTATTCAATGCAAGTAAACAAGATCAAAGTAAATTAATTTGGTAATATTAAATCGAATTGGGGATTTTACCTATTGGATCAACGTGAGTAACATGGTCGACGAAATCCCTTTTACCAAGATAAACTGTTATTTTTCCGTTTGGCGCGGATTTCTTGAAAACTCGAGTACCAGGCCTTTTAATATCATCCTGTTGACTCATAATGATGTCAAAACAATTTTTAAATAAAGCTGAATAACCATGAAACTTGATAAAAATATTATATTGATGAAAAAAAACAACAGGACGATGTAAACAGATGATAAATATGTTTGTTTTTTGTATTTATTTGATTTATACACAATAGATGGAGTAGTCAGCATCAGTCCAAGATTTTGAATTTTGGATTGTGTTAAAGACCAATCTTCAACCTGAAAAGTTGTTATTGATTCAATCAAGATGATTAATACAATTTGTATTACAACTAATCATTGAGCAAATTACCAGTTAGATGATTTGCCGTTCATAAACCCAACAGAATGTCAAGTCAAGTTAAATCTAGACTTTAATTTTAATAAAAGTCAACCTTTTTCTTCTCCTTTTTTATTTTTTTAAACTATTATAAATTGGTATCTTCCAATTTAGAGCTGCTATAAGTCTTGATTAAGCGTTGGATGTGAGAGCTTAAGTTTTATTAAGACTTTAGCTTCGTTAGACTCATACATTATACAATATACTGATTGTTTACATCTGAATTTTGAATCTGATAACTTAATTTCTTGGTCAGAATGCTTAAAGTTGGAATTTAAATATTAGGGTTACCTTTAGGCGTTAACAATGTTTTATCTGTAACTTCTAAATAGTAGTTAAAGAATTATTTAGCATGTTCAAAACCTATGTCAAATTTAATCTCAAAAGTTCTCATATAAATTAAACATTTTCAAACCTACAATGATCTTATTGTTATTGAATGATAATTGTTGAATCCATAACTATTGCTCCATCAAATTAAGCGATGATATCGCGTTTACGTTTGAAAGTACATCAATCAAAGGGGTTAAGTTTACAGTATAACACCATTGAAGAACCGTATAGAAACTGAGATAATCAAGTGGAAATATTGCATTTTCGATAAAGTAAAATGTTATTAAATAGCTATAAACGAAATGTAAGAGGATGAAAGGGTACACATACAATAGGTCGAGAGGTAATTTGTGTTTTTGATTTTGATAGTAATGAAGGTAAATTATCAATTGGTAATAAATCTATGCCAGAATGATTATTGAAGGAGTATAGTGGCTGACGCCAAATTGAATAATAGTTAGGACTTAATTAGAATTGAAGGTTCATTCCAAACTGGTGATATTTTACCAGATTTATCTTGCGATGTTGTTGTTGTTTCTGTTGTATTTTCATTCATGTTAATCGTCCTTTGATTATTGTCATTTATTCCAACTTGTGAAGGTACTGTTTGTCCAACTGTCTTCACTGGTGATGTTATTGTTTTAGTTGCTTTCGATAATTTATCCAATGGTCCATTTTTAACAACTTCAATTAGCTTCTCATTTAAAATATCATGACTTTTTGTTTCTCTTAAATGTTCACCAATTAATTCAACTCTCTTAATTAATTCTTTATCATTAAGAATTTCATCAATTCCATTCAATAATTCACTTTCAGTTACTCGATAGGGTAAGAAAAATTTACCAATCTTCTTGTCAACAGCTCGTCGTCCATTATCATGTTGATCACCAAATAATGGCATAACAATAAAAGGTTTGCCAAAATAAATTGTCTCAATGAAACTGTTATTACCACCATGATGTATAACCATATCAACACGAGGCATTATCTTCATTTGATTCAAATATTTTGATCCGACCATATTATCAGGTAATACCATTTTATCATGGTGTATACCCTTTGATACAATAAACTTGTGTGGTGATTTACCCAATATGCCAATTAATCGACTCATCAATTCATAATTTGATGTTCCAAGTGAACCAAGTGAAAATAGTATAATCTTTGAATCGGCATTCTCTTTAAAGAAACTTTCATCTATTCCAAGTGGTATATCATCACTTCCTCGTACCATATGATCAACTCTAAACCATTTATCTGGAACTGGACCAAATTCAGAATAATCTAAATCCTCTGGATAAGGATATAAATTTAAATATGGTGATTTACCAAGTATAGAGAAATCAAGACGATCCTCTGTCTCTGGATCAATTCCTTTAGATCGAAACAAATCGTCAAATTGTTTTTTAATAACAGCTAAACTATCATTAAATGCCAAACGTAGTCTCTCAAATTCTGTAGGATCATCATTTATTCCAAGAGCTGATGAATATGGTGGTACATTTGGTCCCCAATAAGCAATCAATGGACTGGTTGACCATAGAACCACATAAGGTATTCCAGAATTAATAATTGCAGGAACAGAAACCCAAAAATCAAATATAATTAAATCTGGTTTCATTCTTTCAAGAATCACTGTATATTGATCATCTGTCTTTAACAAATAATCATAAAAATTTTCATTACTTGGCACATTTAAATGAATAAATTTTTCAATTGTCTCCATATCAAATACACGTGATCTTTCCTCCATGAATTTACCCCATTTTTCTTGAGGATCTCTATCAGCTTCAAAACCATCAGCAACAATTGATTCAATACCAAAATTATTTCCTGCAACAGCTTTTGTCCAATTTTTTGGTACAACAAAAATACATTCATGATTATATTTTTGTAATATTTTAGCCAAACCAATACAAGCATTTACATGTCCATGCCTATTGAAAAAATTACATAATAATAATGTAAAAATGTTGAAATATTAATATAAATCAAAGAAAATTAAATATAAATAAATAATAATATGAAAACTTACCCGTCCATAGGAAGAAATGCAATTTTTAGCTTCATTTTTAATTTCAAGGTTTTCGTAGTAATGTTGATATTAAACAATATTTATCTTGATGATATTTTTGTTGATGTTTAAATTGATGATGATTAATATAAATTAACAAATTTTAAAATGCTGGAACAGTAAACCTGAAAACTTAAGTGGTTGAAAATGTTGATGTGAACTTGATGAAATGAATTCTGAAATGAGTAACCAAGTAAAAGTAGCCAAACTAATAGTCAGAAGATGAAGCAGAAGAAGAAGAAGATAAAGAAGACACAAAAATTGTGTGCTTTTAGAGAGCAAAGGAGAGATGTAAAGATAGACAGTGAGATAGAGTAATTGAAAGAAAGACAGAGACTGATTGATTGATTAAAAGACAAAATGACAGAGTGAGAAGGTAAGATGAATGATAAAAGATAGTAATTGGACTAGAGCTTCTGTCTTTAACCATCTAGATTTTAGCTTTACATTACTTTACATAACTAAAGGTAAAGGGTCAAAATAACTAAAGGAAATCAAAACTCTTTGATTTGCTCGCTATTTTTTGATTATTTTCAAGGAATTGGTTTATTTTTGTAAGCAATATGGTGAATAATTTGCGTTCATTTCATGATTTCATCAATTCAGTTTGAGCCTAGAAACTCGAATAATGGGAAATTTTTAGCTGCTTTGACTTTATCAGAACTGCTTTAGCTAAAAAAAAGTTATCATAAAGGTTTTAGATTGATTTTGATAGCTGATATTTAAAATTGCACACTAATAAATGACATTAAATTGAAAAGAATCAATTGACAGATATCAAGTTTAGCGGGAATCGGAATAAAAATTACCTCGAATTAAAACGGGAATGCATTAGGTCCCAATTTTTTTAATAATCTTTCTTGTAATCTGGTTCGAGGTTTTTCTTCGTTTCTTCCGTAACTGGAAAAATTTGCTCCGATGCTAGGCTTGTATTTATTTGATTTATACACAATAGATGGCGTAGTCAGCATCATTCCAAGATTTTCAATTGCATTTTGAATTGTATTAAAGATCAATCTTCAAACTGAAAAGTTGTTATTGATTCAATCAAGATGATTAATATAATTTGTATTATACAGCTATTCATTGAGCAAATTACCAGTTAGTTCATTTTCCGTCCTAAAAGGATTTAGTGGTTATCAGTCATAATCTTTATTTTATTAATTTTGCAATAAGTTTCATAACATATTCTTAAATTAGATTTAATTTTGATTTTAATTTTTGATTTTAGACCAAAAATCAAATAATTGAGACCCTTAACGGAATAGTAGATAGACTTCAATAAAGTACAATGTGCATTATCATTGTGATAATTAAAATCATTGTAGAAACAGTAAAGCCTCAAAAAGTGACGATCAAGGCAAGAAGTAAAATCTTAATTGGATTTGATTCGCCACGATTTAAATTGTAAATTTTTTATAATATTGCGTTAGATATTTTTGGTTCATTTTTTTCAAAGTCAACAAGGTAAATTAAGTACATAATTTAGAGATTAAATGAATAACAAAATGAACAAGTGTCCTTGGTTAATCATGTCTTTCCACAAAAACAGTTGATTGTTGAAGTTCGTCTTGTTTTCATGATCTTACATTATCACAATAAGAAGATGACAATAACAATGAAAAGTAGATTATCTGGTGCTGATACTTGTTGGATATCAATTTTTTTAAAAGATAACAATTAATATTTGGTAACTTGAAAAATTATTTGGAGGTGCTCAGCGTTCAACAGGTTAAAATCGCAACATTATTCAACATTAGGATAAGTATCATCTGTGACAGCAACAATCGATCTTTTGACAAACCAACAACAATTAACATTTGTTAGTGTAAAAAAAACAAAGAAGCCTATTGTATGATAAAACTAATCAAATTTCAATCAAAAACAAAACCACAAGCTAATAAGACTAGTTTTCATCGATGTTATACTTATTTAAACATAAGAATAATCATATTGCAGTGTTTTCATGAAGAGTAATTTATCCGTTGGTTCAGGTCGAACTGTTGCTAATGATTCAACGTAAAAATATTGGGCTACTTTAGCAGCTAATTTCAACGAAACTTCACGGATATCAGATAATGGTGGGTAAACTCTTCCTTGGGCCAAATCTTCATCAGTTACTTGGTCAGCCAAGGCTTTGGAGGCAATGAGAAAAGATTCATCAGGAATGGTATGAACACCGCAAGCAATGGCTGCTAATGATATTCCAGGGAAAATGTAGGCATTATTACCCTGACCAGGATGAAAGGTTTTACCGTTTATTTCAACAGCATCGAATGGACTTCCACTAGCAAAAACACATCGGCCTTCGGTGGCATGATAAGCTTCATCTGCTGTGCATTCAGCTTTACTAGTTGGATTACTTAATGGAAATATCAATGGTCTATCACTGAGAGCGCCCATCTTTTTCAATATTTTTTCATTGAAGGCTTTAGGTTGTGCAGCAACACCTGAAATAAAACAAAATGGTATCAAATTAGTAAAAATAATATCCATCTGGGATTAGTAACCTTTGAAAGAAATGACAGTTATTTTAAACTAATTCAATACTAACCAATCAATGCTGTTGGTTTAACCAAATCAACAATTGCTTCTAAATTTTTCATAGGCTCAGCTTTTTTGGCAAACTTTATTTTCTCATTATCAAGTCCTCCTTCACGATTTTCAACAACAAGACCTCTCGAATCCATAAGCCAGATTCGATCTCTAGCCTCTTCATTGGGGACACCTTCTTTTTCCATAGCCATTACTAATAAATTGGCAATTCCTAAAGCTGCTTCACCGGCTCCGAAAAAGAGAAACTTCTGCTGACTTATTCTCATCCCGGTAATACGACAACTGGCCAAAATTCCCGCAACACAAACTGATGCTGTTCCTTGAATATCATCGTTGAAGGTACAATAGTTGTCTCTATATTTCTCTAACAATCGGAAAGCATTTCGATTACCAAAATCTTCAAATTGTATCAAACAAGATCTTCCCCAACGTTTGATAACAGCCTCCATAAATTCATCAATGAGATCATCATACTGTGGACCACGGACTCGTCTTTGTTTCAGACCAATATAAAATGGATTATTCAATAATTCTTGGTTATCTGTTCCAGTGTCAAGGGTAACTGGAAGTGTTAAGTTTGGAGGAATACCAGCAAGAGCGGTATAAAGAGATAATTTACCAACAGGAATACCCATTCCATTGGCCCCAAGATCACCAAGACCTAAAATTCTTTCGCCATCAGTTACTACGATCGCCTGTAATAATAAATAAAAATACATTAAGATATAATGGTTTTGAATATTTACCCAATTTGCTTAATTGATCAATCAAATATTGTACCAAGATTTATGCTAATGTTTACTAATGTATCATGAAGATAACACGAGCTAAGCTGCTATCGACAAAATGTCAAAAGTCTGCAATTAGTTGAGCAAATAAATTTTCAGCTATTAAAACTTATGCCATACAATTAGATGGAAAAAATTAAAGCTTATAATTGATGATTAAACCAATGTGAAATTTGTAATTGAGCTATTGAAACATTGATTGATCTATCTGCAAGATGAAAATTAGTTTCACAATAATAGTTCATGGTTTAATTTGATCAAAGCAACCCCAGCTTAACTTTGACCTGTTAAATTAAAACTGTTTAAACTGATGGTCATATAGTAGATAGATTAGAGTATAGTTCAATTGTTATCCTGATCATTCAGCCGCAACTAAAAGTTGAAAATGGTACAAAAAGACAAATTAGGAAAACAACTCGGTTTACCTTGACATCTTTTTCAGGCCAATTGGCAAGTATATTTGATATTTGACCAGAATCATGAACAGTGATGTACATTCCTCGAGCTCGTTGAAAAATACGGCTATAATTAATACAGGCTTCACCCACGACCGGAGTATAAACCAGAGGCATAAGCTGTTCAGTATTTTCACATAGAACGCGATAGAATAATCTTTCATTTCGATCCTGTAATTCCCGGAGAAACATGTATTTGGTCAAATTGCTTTCCAATGAGTTTAAATACGCCATTGCGGCTTCAGCCTCTAATTTTTGACCTCTAATTGCTGCTGGCAAAAGACCACGAATTTTGTATTGATCACGTTCCCTCATGGTAAATGATAAATCCTGTTATAAATGAGAAGAAGAAAAAAATATAAAAAAGATAAAAAAACTCTCAACATTTGATCTTCGAGGTGGTAAAAAGAATCAATGGAATCTTGTAAAGATAAAGGGTTCTCGTGCAACACATAAATCATGTCAAGGATGGAAATGCACAATTTATATTCCAATAACTTGTTGTGACGCTTCAATCATGATAATTTACGTGCTGTTTAAAGATTAAATATCAAGAGATACATCAATGGTTTAATTTCAATCACTTTGACTGATGTGCGAGTTTATTTGTAATATTTGTAATATTTGATTGCAAAGAGGGAATATTACACATTTTACTGATAAATTGAGTTACAGTTCAATATTAGTACAATTTGAGCAATAAGTAAGCTTGAATAATCATCAATGACGGTTCTTATGAGCTTATATTTTGATTGCGAACTAAAGTATTTAAAATAAATACTTATTAGCAGTTTGAATACAAATTGCGCAGACATGAGCCTTGATCAAGTTTAGTTCATTTGACCATCACAATAGCACTGAAAAGTTATTATTTGAAACAAGAAACAAAGAGATAGTGAAATATCAACACTCGTTAATTTAATGGGAAAAGGCATGTTATTACAGAAATACTTGATCATTGTCAAACTATTGTATATCGTTGTGTATAATGATAATTAAATATACGATCAAATGGTTTTCACTTGAAAGGAGTTATGATTAGCTCGTTATGCTATTCAATGATTATTACCATTATCGGTAATAAATAAAATTTTGCTTGTAAATTGTAATACAACTCTTACAAGTACAACTTTGCCGTTAATCATCAGCAGCAATAATACGTATTGAATAGATTTTTCAATGTTAAATGTTATTCGTGACATGGTAATAAACAATGAATTGGTTAGGAAAATTACAAAACGCTATTAATTAAATGATAGTTTGTTTGTTATATTAGCAATATTAAAAAAGGGTTGTCATTAAAATAAATCTACTTTTAGAATGATATTTTTCAATATTTCATTGACTCAATTTGTCTCAATCAATCAAAGGGTGTTCATAAAAACACCCATGAATGGTCAGCTTTGAATATTTTATTGGGAAAAATCTGTTCCTACAAATGTTGAGATTTAAATCAACAGAGGTGTGTTAGGTTTGATTAGTTAATTATTGGTAGTTTCAAGAAAAACTGACCAGACGATTTAATGAATGTAGTTTGGGTAAAGCAATCAACAAGTGTTAACCATAATGGCAATAAAATGAGGTATCAAATTGACCAGGCGTTACAAAATTAATAAAAAAGTCGCGTCTGGTTAAACAAATCTACGAAATCAAAGGCATTGAGAATAAGAAACGGTAATCTCAATGACAATGGTAACAAATAAATGGGTAACAATAGGGTTAATACATTAACTTTTACCTTTTTTAATGGCAATAGTCAATTTTGGCTTTTAGAAAAGGCTGTTATGAAAGGAGAGAAAATACTCAAAAAGTGTGTTTAAACTGTTTTAACAAGGTTCTACAGGCTCAATCAACTGTGATAATTATAATTGTATTACTATTATTATTGTCATTACTATCAAAATCAACAATAACTTGAAAAACATACACACATTTACACAAATTGGGAGTACAGCCTTGAATTGTTAGCTAAACATTTTACTTAATTTAAATCAACAATTAAGCTTATTATATTATGAAAAGGCTCAAAGAAAAATTTTGCAAATTTCGTTTAACAAATGAGAATAATCAAGAAACCCAAAAGTCTATATATGCTAATAATACCTGTATTTATCTTTGCCATAACCTTTATTTTCAATTTTTTCAATCATGGTTCAAGAAAAGCTGAATAAAAGGTGATGAGAAATCAAGTCGTAATAACAAGTAAAGCTTAACATATGAATAGAACCTAAAAATCCTTGAGAAACCATGAAGAGTTCATCTGTTAATATTGTAAATCAATTCTTCAGAATATACACAATCGATAGAGTCAGGCAGAAATAATCACAGTTGGCTAAACAAGTTGAGAGGGGACAATATGGCGAACCAGATCATGGTAAAGAAAAACCGAAGAGTTTCCAAGAGTTGATGATTAAACAAGTGAAAAATATGGTTAAAGTGTGAGACAAAGGGTTTGTTAGCAAAAAGAGGGAAAAATGGACTCTGTTTGTCATCAGGCTTAATGAAGAGGGAAGGAGTAAGAGTTAAAATGGCGATGGTAAAAGATTAGAGAGTAAAAAAAGGATCCTTTAAATTTGAATAAACTCAACGGTTGGCAGAAGATTAGAGGGATTATATGGAATATACATTTTAAACTTACCTTATTTTGACGATTATCCTTAAGAAGGTCTGATCCAGATAATTGCCTATTCGACATTTTGGTAGAGTCAAGTGAAAACCAACGTTTACCGGTAACTTGTTGGTTAACTTTTGAATAATATGGATTGCCAGAGAAAACTGTGGTTCGATATGGAGTTGGAGATGATGAAACTGGTTGAGTTACACAAATCTTATAATGATCGACTGTATTACAAATACATGCGCATCTATTCAACCCTGATTGTTGATTTTTTGATTGCATTAAACCCATCTTGTCAGATTAATTGTTAATAACAAATTTGAATTGATGAGAGAGCGATGAAAATCACAAACTGAAAAACAATGTTCTCCACTATGAAATGAACAACTTAAATTTTCACCAAAACTAAAGTTCAGATTGTTTAGCTGATTGTTTGGTCACAATTTTATTCAAAATTATCTTTCAATCTTACCAAACTATTTTCAAATTGAATATATTGTCGTTATTTACAGGCAACTCAAATTAACAATGAACAGCAGTTAACGGTTTTGAAGAAACTTGAAATTTATAAAGGAAAAGGTTCCAACTTTCTTATGATTTCTCCCTCTCTCTCTCTCTTTCTTTTTCTCTCTTTCTTTCTTTCTTTCTCCTTTCCTCAACCTAAAGATACAATTCAATTTAGTAAATCTGAGTTGGTTAATTTCAATAGAAACTAATTTCAAAATGTAACACTGATTAGTTAAAGTAACACTTGTGTTTACCATTACAATCAAGATCGACTATTCAATTTTCTTGTTTCCAAGTTTAATGATTTACAGGCAAACTATTGTGTTTCATCGCAGATTTGGTGGACAATCAACTCATCCAGACATCTCAATTAGCTTAAATAAATTTTAATCAGTTAATTATAATCTGTTTGTTTACTTTCTACTTAAGCCTAATCCTTCAACTTTCACACATGTGGCTACATGAAACTGGGCTGAATCCTAGAAAATATGGTTCCAATTTTTCTAGTTATCTGAATAAATTGTATCGAAATTGCTTCTCAACTTTCTATCAATTAGGTGTCATCACAATTAATTGTACTAATCAGGTTTCAATTGAATTTTCAATCAAATGTAAATTTAACGGTCAAAAGTGATGATAACGCCATCTAATATGGGAAAATCAATTTAAAACCAGCTAAATAAAATTTTTGCGCCAACTTTTTTTTCTGGTTTGCTTAATGATTGATACTGAACCCAAAATAAATGGATTTGCGGTAAACTAGCTGAACAAAAAGTAAGGATATCTTGATAAAATTAATTTACTTGAAGCTGTCTCCGTTTTTTGTTGGCAATGTATTGTGTTTTTAAAAAAAGTAAATCAAGGATTAACTGTGAAATTTTGATCAAACCTTGAGATCATCTCCTGAACTGAATCTAAACAGTTACGGATCATAGATAATTTAACGGCTAAATTATATTAAGGAAATGATTATTAAAAATGTGACCAGCTAATAAAAAGTCCTTTGACTAAAGAGCAATCATCTGCATAGAAACCAGAAAGACAGATTTAAGACTGTGATAGGATAGACAAGCTTTATACAAATGCCAATTGGATTAATTTTTATTGTGCTATTAGATGTGAATGTTGAATGGTTGAGGATGAGGTAAATATCATTTGATAAATCAAATTAAGATGTGAAGATCAAGCAATAAGATAACACATGTTGAAAACCTTTAGATGAATTGAATGTCCATGAGTTTATTCATTTATTACTAATCAAAGCTATAGCTAATTGAACGATTGACTAACAAAAGACATTTTGATGAGACATTTTCTATTAATCATAAAAGGTTGAACACCAAGTTGAGTTGTTAATTGTTTGAGTCAAAAGGTAAAATTTGAGGGATCATGTAGAAATTTACTTTCATTATCTGGTTCGTGTTAGTAAACATTTAACCCACAGAAGATTCAGTAACGAGCAAAATTGTGCAAATATGGGTCATTTTTCAATTGGTTATACACATAGTCAAGGAGGGAGAGCAAACCTGAATTTTTGATTGCAAATAAATGTTCAATGATAAATGTAAAAAAGGAAACTTGGGCAACTAAAACATGAAAAGGATATATGTTTCATGCTATTTACTGTTTAACTACATAGAGTACAATGATACTTAAAAGGATTGAACATGTTATGTGTGTAATATGGTATTTATGTATAACCGAAAATGTTTACCTTTGGAGATTGAATGGAGAAAAAATCCATTCTGGTTAACTCGGAACAAAGACATTGTTAATTTTCTTTGATAGGTTAAACTTTAAGATGATTTCCTTGTTCAGGTTAACATTGGTAAATATTGGTTAATTAGCAATAATGATACAAAAGGTGATATTTTAACGTTTTATTGTTCTTTAAAGTTTAAACTTAGGACCAACGTTTGGGAAGCCATTTTCAGCAGGCAAGATACACGCCATTTTGTACAAATCACTGGATGTTGTTCACTGGAAGATTGTGCGTAGTGAAGAGAACTGAGAACGGAGGTGAACGCAGCCGCATCTATATATCAGAGTTTCTTGTTTTGCAGACAACATTTAGTTTTGTTTTTAAAATTGTGAATCAACTTTATCAACCTCTAGAGGTTAGTGAGATCTTCAAAACAAGATGTCAAACTCAACATTTGACCAAGGAAATCATCAAAAATTCATTCAGTTGAATTAACTTCTATGTGGTCAAATCTTAAAACCAAATATCAATTCAAATTGAAACCTTTTTCTCTTCACTGTCTCTCTCACTCTTCTTTATCTCCCTCCTCTTTCTATATCTTTTCACCTTTCCACCATTTTCAGCAGCAGCAGCATCTTTCTTTCTCACTTTTTTTGACTCGCTTTTTTCCCTTTTTCTGCTCATAAGAGAGCAAAGAAAATTCATTCTCTCGGAAGGACAAATCTGTTCAGTCTAATTTTGTATCTCTTTTCTATTTATTAATTGTGGTTTTAATGGTTTATGTTTGATTACAATTATTTCTTCTCTATTCTCTTAATTTTTGTTTGATCTCAACTGATGTCTCATTGTTTCTCTTTCATCTAAATAAATGTTCACTTACAGGTATTAACTTATAATCCTGTTTTGTTTTGGTGTTTGTTAATATGTGGCAAAACGACGAGAACAAAATGGAGATGAATCAAGGTTGGAACATTCCTAACAGAGGAGATGATAAAAACAGTGACCATCAGCAACAAATGGATGCAGATAACAATAAGCTGGGCTTGGAGAATTTCGATGAACTTCTTGGTGCTATTGGTGGTTGTGATAATTTTATGAGCACTGGAAGTAAAATGACTAATAATAATAGTGTCAGCAAAACCAGTGATAATAGACTCTCATTTAACACTGGACCAAACTGTGATGATGGTGATGACCATTCTTTCCCTAATTACAACTTTACCTCTGGTAACACTTTTAATAATCACTCAGAAAGGTCCCAGGATGGACCGAGCAAGAATGAAGGATGGCCTTCAATTAGATCTCAAAGAGGCGAAAGCAGTGCAAATTGTGGAGGCCCATCTATTAATTCAATGTGAGTTGAAGAATCATTCTTTGGTTAATCACTTGTTATTAATGAGTAAAGTCAATTTATTTATTGTTTCTATCAATTGAAACCTAATTGACTTGAATTGAATATCAACTTGACAGATTTTACTAGATTTCACTAAATTCATTTTAGATCAATTATTTATATGACTTGGGCTTCTAAGGTTCTAAGCATTATTTTTTGCATATTTACGAATTTATGTTAACAATTTGTGTCAAATATTTTATTTTAAACTCAAGAATCACCATTTACTTGAATGGTATCAGCGATGTTAATGCGTCGCATTCAGTGATTGACTTCATTAATCTAGCCTAATTTAGACAAAAGTTGTCCTTATTTTTAATTTTTGATTATTTTTTCTAATATTTTCAGGAATAATGATTCTGGCTGGGGTTGCGCTAGTCAACAACTTCAACAAAATCAATTTCAACAAAAGAAACAAAATAACAAAACTCAATCCAACAACCAAGGAGCTCCAGGCCCTAGCTGGGGTAGCTCAACTGCCTCCAAAGGTTCTGGTAATCGAAATTGGCTTAACGATAGCAATATTCAGGACGGTAGTGAAGAAAGCCACATGATCCGTGAGAATGATTTTTCATATGGATCTCATCCCAATTCCGCCGTCGCCATGACTGTCACCGATGGAGAGGGTAAACCTGCTCCGAATGACTATCTCAAAGATGCTGCTCTCTTTTCTGATGACTGGGGTAAAACTGTACGTATTAGATAAATGCTTTTATGGCGCTTTTCTCTTCCTCACAGCTTACTCATATTTCTTTTATTATTTACAATATAGGTGATAAACCAGGAAAAGGCCTGGGATCTCCCTCCGTCCCTTCAGTCGAGTCCAAATGAGAATAGCTCTTTGTGGTCTACCGGTTCTATAACAGGCACAGAAATTTGGGAATATACCGTCCGTAATAAAACCAAAGCACTTATCTCAGTGGCTTCGGCTGCATCATCATCATCATCAGCTGCACCTATTGCTGCAACACCAACAGTCTCAACGAATCAAAAGGTATCTCAACAATGGGGCCATAACTCTGCATCTCATATCGGAGGCACTTGGGGTGAAGAAGAAGATTCAAGCAATGTTTGGACAGGCGTTCACTCAGGTGTTTCTGCCACAGCTTCTATGGCAACTGGAGGTGTAAGTGCGATTGCAGCTCCTGTTATGAATGCCAACAACAATCACTCTGCTCCTTCCGGTAAGAATAAAATTCTATTATTTTATATTTTTCTGTTGAAGAATATCTAGTTCATTCGTCTAAGCAGAAGCTGGTATCAATTATTTGACTATCATTTCAACGTGGCAATTATTTGATTTTTTCAACTTAATTAAAACCTTTGGTCTAGTATTCACCCACCAAAGGCTCATTATCTCTTACCTCTATTGTGCGCTTTCGTTTTAAGATGAATTGATTTGATTGAAAGTTTCTTGATCCGTATATATTAAATGATAGTTCAGCATTTTTGAATGTTCTGGCTTTAACATTTAACATCACAACGCTCTGTTTGCTTTTTCATGTTGACCTGAATGGAAAAATCCACCCCCTATTTATTTCCCTCTTTATTCGCTTTACTTTTACTATCCCCATTCATTACTTCATTAAAGCATCAAATTATTTTATTTCGTTTAAATTCATTCCTTAACTCTTAATCATTAATATTTGTCTCTTTTAAGTGTTTTTTCTTTTTCTTGCGATTTGATTTCCTGGTGCATACCAGTCAGTTTGTTCCTTTAAAGTTTTATACATCATCTGCTGCTGCTCTTTATATTTATTTGATCGTAATTGCATCAAATGTTCGTTTATTTTTTTGTCTGATTCGATATTTAATATTCAATCTTATGTTACAGAATCTGATCCATGCTCTGACAATGCAGCTTCTATTTGGGGAAGCTCAAATAAAGCCAATAATGGGAATGGTGCATTAGCATCAAATAATGTTTCAAACAACAATGCTGGAAACTTTGGTGGTCCTATGGCCGCTGGCTCAAACTTAGGCATTGCTTACCCATCCGGTGTTGGTATGAAGCGTGATAATATGAATATGAACAGTAATGGCATGAAAAGCTCTTGCTCATCTTCAGCATCCTCTGGTTCAGGCTCTGGCTCAGTTAACATTGGAACCTGGGGCACTTCTCAAGGCGGATTCAATAAGAATAATGAATCAGTAAATCCCTCAGGTTGGGATGGTGACGAAGAAAATGCCAGGAAACGAATTCCTCCTGCATCTTCCGGTAATGGTGTCGACGATGGAACTGCTGTTTGGGGTAAACCTGAACAGCATAATAAAATAGCTCGCTGGAAAGATCCTGCTAACAATCCCAAAATACCAGGTAATAGTGCCAATGGAAATAATGCTCTTGCCTCACAAAGTAACAAAAATGGTGCAGGTTCGGGAATAACTTCGCCTAGTCCAGGAATGATCCGATTACCCCCTGGTGCCCCAGGATTGAAAGGAAATAACACAAACAAAGGTAACAATGGCAGCAACAATAATAACCAAAACAAACAAGCCAATGGATTGCCAGGTAATTTCACAAATGACAACAGTGATGGTGGTGATGGTGGTTTGAGTAATCAAGGCACTGATATCTGGAACAAACAAGCCAACAGAGGCTGGAGTGATAATCAGAACTCTAATTCAAAGAGTAATCAAATGCCTATTGGAGGTAATAACCAAAATAATCATAATATTAATAAAAATTATAATTTCAATGCTAACCCACCAAATGATGATGAACGTGATGCTAATGCTACAATTTCATCTCAAGGTTTTGGATGGGGCCAAAAACAAAATGATAATGGAACTCCTAAAACACCTGGTACACCAAATACTCCTGGAGGTAATCCTGCTGGAAATTGGGGATCTGATGTTGGACCTGCAAGTCCTCTTTCGTATTGGGGATCGAAAGGACGAACTGGTGGAGCAAATAATTGGTTAACTGGCGATGAGCCCACTGATGAAAATAATTGGAACAAAAATAAACAAGGAATGCCTTCTCAACAACAACCTCCGATATCAAAAGAAATGTTAAACAATAACAAAGTTTATCGACTATTGATGGAAATGGGATGCAAGGTTAGTACACCTGAAATTTATTTTTTTATTCTTTTTTTCTAATTTTCTTGTCTTTTTTGTCATTTTCTCAGAAAGGAGATATTGAAAATGCCTTACGTTCCAGTGGATTATCAAACGGTGATTTTAATGGTATGTTCTCCTCACCTTGCGTACAAATTTACATGTGTTCAAACAAACGCATTATTTATTTTGTTTATTAACTCTTCATTAATTATTTCATTACTCAGATCTTGCTCGAGCTTTCTCAATGCGTGATAATATGAATGAGATGGATTTGAGGGGTAAGGACCAGGTCAGCAGCAATACTCCGACTAGTCTACTCTTGAACCCTGGCCTCGTCAATTCTAGTCTTTCCAGTATTATGAATCGTAATCCATCTCAAGGGATGCAACAGAACCAGCCACAAGTGACTCTTTCCTCTCACCAGACTCCAGACCATATCATTAACGTCCAACAGTCTAATTCGCAGCAACAACATGATCAAAGCCAAATTCATCATCAGCTTAATCAAGCGCCTTCTCAAGCATTACCCTCAGTAAGTAAAACTGTTTGCTCTAGCATTAAATTGAATAAATTATGAAGACGGAAATTAACGAAATTTTCTTCAACAATTCCAACTTTTAGATCAATCATGTCCAAAATGTGCTAAGGAATCAAGCAGCTAAAAACTTGGGCTCAGGTCAGCCCAATTTGCCATCAGAAAAACAATTGATGCATTTGGTCCAACAGATTCAGTTAGCTGTTCAATCTGGCCATCTTAATGCTCAGGTAAATATTTCTTTCAATTATACTTTAATGAATCCATTCCTCCCTGGTTGAATCTCACAATTTTCATCTTATGTTTTCAAAATTTTTAGATATTGAATCAACCGTTGGCATTACCTACTATCCATTTGATCAATCAGCTTTTACAAAATATCAAAACACTCCAACAATTACAACTACAAATTGCCTCTCACCCCAAAAATGGGGGACCTTTCAATAACTCTTCTCAGTCAAATCTTCACGTACAAATCACTCAAACCAAGTTACGAATCCAAAACTTACAAAATCAGATAACTATTCAACAAGGTTTGTTCCTAAAACAACAGCAACAACAGGGACAGATGACTGGTGGTCCAACTCACTCTCAACCTATGAATTCACAAGCATCACTTGTAAATCAATCTGGTTTAATTTATTCTCAATCAAATGGTGATATTGGAGGAAATGGAGGTGTTCAAAACCATTCACAACAAGTGTTGGCTTCTGCACAAGCCTCTCATGCTCAAATATTGGCATTATCAAATATTGGCAATAGTAACTCTATTCCTCCGGTATTCAATTCAAATCATGGAAGTGGAAATGGAGCTGGCATGGACTTCCTCAAAGATAATGATAGCATTCAATTGAACAGTGATTTCTGTGATTTATCGCTCAAAGATTTTGTCCAAAGTGGTGCTGGAGCACATCAAGGGCTTGGCATTTCTGGCCTCAATGGAGGTATGAATACAAATGTTGGTAATCAACAAGGACAACAACAAGGAAATGGTCGACAACATCAACATTCACGATTGAAAACCTGGAAATTTTCTAACATGGATAGAGTCGAACATGGTTCATCTGGATCAAATAACAGCGGAAACAATGATTTTCTTCGTGCCCCTGGATCTTCAAAGCATCATATAAACGACAGTGGTGTGAACCGTGGTAATGGTAGTGATAATGGTTCTGGAATCGGAGGTTGGTCAGGTTTAAACTTCCCTGGAAATGGAAATGATGGTTCAAATTGGTCAAAAGATTCCATGATGAATGCTGTTTCCATGGCCTTTAATTCTGTTCCTTCCTCTGTTATGGGACCAAACAGTACGCAATCCGGAGACTTGAAAGGTTTAGTCATGTCAAGCTCTAGTGTGACTGGAGGCATAATGACAGCTCCTAGCCAAACGACTGTGAACAATATGGACCTTAATGATATAAATAACCTTGTTCCTGAATTTGAACCAGGTAAACCATGGAAAGGTGTTTCTGGTATGAAAATCGAGGATGATCCTCATATAACTCCCGGCAGTGTTACTCGATCTCCGTTCTCTGTGAACACAATCCGTGATCCGGCAATATTAACCGGTTTGTACAATAATTGGTCAGCCAAAGGTGCAAGTCCAACCTCAATGAATAGTGATTTATTGGCCCCGTCTGTTGGCTTATCTTCCAACGCTACTTGGGCTTTCAATACTAACGCCAATGCCGGTAATTATTTTACTAACTACCTTTGAATAATTTTTTCAGTCAAATTTGAGTGAATTTGGTTTTAAAAATATTTTCTTTGTATCAGGTTGGGGCGCTATTCCGAATGAAACTCCAAATAATGAAGTTATGTGGAGTGGATCTATGACAAAGACTCGAGGACCACCTCCAGGATTGGGTCAAGAGAGACTTGGTCCACGGGGAGATCAATCAATGGCAGGTATCCGTCCTCAATCAAGTTCCTATGGCAATTGGATGATGAATCCTTCCAATGAAGGTGATCATAGGATCAACGCTATGATCCTACGATCATGATTCCTCATCTCTTCAAAATCTCTCTCTTTCTCTACCTCTCTCTCTCACTCTTAATATCCTCACTCGCAAGTACTCAAAGAGGTGACCGATTCAGAGATGTAGAGATTATTTTCCCTCTCTTGCAATCACTTAACTTAACGAGAGGTCCTAAACAAAGATTTATTATGAATTCTTGTATCTATGGAGATTGATTCTCTTTTTCTTCCCTTCCTCCTTCCAATTATTTTGTCTCCTTTTTTCCTCACTTCCATTTTTTTGTAAAGCTCATTAGAAATCTTATTATTCATAGCCTTTACATCTAAAACCTTTAAAATTGCAAACCAACCCATTACAAACCCATGTATACATTCAACAAATTAGACAATTAGCAACCACGCAAGCATCATCAAAAAAAAGTGAACGAAAAAAAGTTAAATGATTGATAATTGTGTAAAACAAAGCATTAACATTAAGATTTTTAACAAAACAAAATCTACAAAGTGAGCTTTAATCAAGACTATGATTGTAATTTTGGGTTTTGTTTATCATTGTCTTGCAAAAAACAAATTAACTAATTTTTGAGAGAAAACATGTTTCAAGTTAATTAATGTAAATATAATTAATAGTCAACCAAAAAAAAAACTAAAAAAACAAAAAAAAAATGAAAACCTTTGACAGAAAAGCCTTTTTAAATGTTATTCTTTTATTAACATCAGTCAGTAATTGTCAGCTTAAGTTCACAACTCCTTTATTCATTTAATAATCCCGAATCTGTCTTTCAATTTAATTTTTGTCATCCTTTTCCCTTTTTTTCGTTCTGTACTCACATTTTTTCCCTTTTCAATTAATTGTCTCAATAACAATTGTAATTATGTTGTAACTCCAAAATCCTAGTCCATAGCTCTTTTTGTCAACAGAGTAATCAAAGGACTGTTTCCATTTAAACTACAAATTTCACTTTGATTCTCTTCATTTATCTGATTTTAATTTCTGTCCCTTTAACTTATCTCCATTTCAATTATTATATGTACTTGATTTTTCAATTTTGATTTTGTTTTTCTTTTTGTAAAGTAATCCTTTTGTTGACCGTACAAAGATTACTAATCTGATCAATATTGTTAGTAATTTGTTTTGCTTACTTATGACACCACAAAAACCCACCAATGGAGCAATGAACTTAATGCTGCCGCCGCCACAACAAATGAACACAAATGCGTCTTATGCCATAAAAGAAACACATCTTCACATTATCTTTACATTATCATCATTAATATCATTCTCATTGACATCATCCAAAAATAATTGTACACCAATAGTGACCAATCTAATGTATTTGCCGAATCAGCGTCATGGTCATTGCGATTTCTCATTTTTTCGTTGCAAAGATAACATTTTCTTCTCTAACTATTTTCCCTCTTCTTTACAAAACAAACCATCTCACAATCACTGACCAAATAATCCTTAATCAGTTCGTTTAAATTCTGTTCGCATGTTCATCACAAATTAACTACTCAACAACACCTCAACCTTTTGTATCCCTTCCAAAGACTTAACAATCTAAATGCGAAACATGCTTGATTATCATAACTCTCTTTCTCTCACACTCAATTTTACCTCTACGTTCGTTTTTGTTTCTCTGTAATAATTGCTATTACTACTATTATCTTTGTGGTTACTATTATTATTACTATTACGATTATTATTACAATAATTATAATTACGTGAATATTATATATATTTTATTAATTCAACATTTGCTCTACAAATCTTTTGTTTTGGTAAACGAAAATTTAATCTGGCCTTGTATCAAGTAACACTAAGGTGAAAACCACTCAATCCTCAAGTTTTACTATACAATGATACATTTTACTGTAATGCAAACTCATTAGTTGATTATTAAACTCAAATCCTTAGTCAGATACCAGGAAAGGTTGAAATATTTACTTGTATCATGAGCAAAGATTTAACAAAAAATATTGTTGCGTATAGAATAAAATAAAATTAATAAAAAAATTGACTCTTGATATTTTTTATTCACTTAAAGATTGACAATTTAAAAATTACAAATGAGACTAAACAAAATAGCCAATTGTGAGCAATGTAAGGTATATCGAGTATAAACCTTATCTCACTATTAAAATAAATATCCGTAAATATTATTTCATATTAATAGTTCAATAAAAAAACCAATTTACAAAAAATTGGCAGGAATGAACGGCGCTCCACCGTGAAACAAAATAAAAGCCCATGTGCTGTTCAATAAAAAACATTTACTATAAATATAGATTTAACCAAATTAACGAGATTTTGTTGTAAATTCATCTTCAGCCAATTTTGATTTGGATGTAAGCTCTTTGATAGCTGTGTAAATTTCACCACAACTATGGAGGATAACAAGTATCATCATACCTGGAGGACCAGCACAAGATTTAGCCAAATGAGATATTCCATGTGTAGCATTAAGAATGGCAAAAAGCAGGGCAACATAATGAATATAATTTTTAAACCATAAATGATGACGGAAAGCTGCTCCAGGAGAGGCTAGGACATAATAAGCTGATCGTAAAACTGACAAAATGGCATCGGTAAAAGGTAAAAATAGGATTGATCCTTTAGCGTACATTCTTAAGGCAAAGTAAACAACCAAAATGAGACTACTATTTCGTAAGGCATGATTGATTGGCTTTTGACCTGGCTTAGCCCGAAGAATCATCACCAAAGTAGTCATTATATCTGCTAATTTTAACCACAAATAAGTATAACTGAGTCGTAATAAAGTCTCCTCGATAAAGAAACCTTCTTTAGGCTCAGCACATTGCCAACAGTTGAAGCCAAAATTGGTTAACCAGCCAAGAATGGGTATAGCGATACCGTAAACACCAAAATTGAGTCCATTAAGAACCAACATCCAAGGTCGCAGATCATAGGGTCTAATTGAAGACATTAAAAATGGGCCAAGTTTCCATGCAATTAATAAATAAGCTCCAATAAATGTTAATATCTGCCATCTTGGATTGCTCACTAAAAAATAGTCAACAGTTCGTGGCTCATGATAACCACCAGAGAATAGATTCTCAATTTTGTTGCTAATCACTTCCATCATTTTGATTTTAGGTGTTAATTAAAATGTACAAATCTTAATGTTCACTAAATCACAAAATTAAATATTAAATGAGAACCAGAAAACACGTAAAAAATAAACACTGTAAATAAAGTCTAAGGATAAGATGATAGGAGAACAGCAAGCTTACCCTGAGAAGATGGCAGCTTATGATGATCAGTGGACAATCTTAAATGATTTGGATTCTTGAAGTGAAATGTTTCAAAATAAGGTTTAATTATGAGGAAACTTTTTCGCAAAATGAGAAAAAGGTAAGTTTAAGGTAAAATGTTACTTATCATTATGTTTTTTCCTATTATTCTTGATGACCTGTTTGCGATTAGCAAAAAAATACATTAAATGATCTTCAACATGAAAGCTAACCTTTTTGGACACTTATTTTCCTTGATATTGAGCATGTATTCAATAAATATACATGGAGCCTCTTGCAATTGAAAATAGCAATCTTTTAATAAGAATAAATTAATCAGCATATAATTAAATAAAACATTTCACTTCATTTCATTTCTCATTGGAGGTTTTGATCGGTAAATAAAGCATTGGGACAAATTTTCTGTCTAAATTTTGAATCTTCGTTCAGTCCTGTACTAATTTTCAAATTAATTGAACCATAATTTAATTAAGTTTTTCACTGAAATGACACCAAACCAACATTGATAATCTTCAATGATAATAGATCGATATAAAAGCACAAAACATTTTTCGGAAAAACCAAGATTCAGTTTATTTGGCGAAAAATTCGATCCATTATCAAATGAATTATATCTTTCGAGAGTGATTTCAGTCGCGACAAATTGAATGACAATTCTTTGAGTGATGAAAATCAATTGATTTCATGTTTTAATAATCTTTTAAGTCGATAATTATGTGTAAATTGTTTTGTTGTCAAAAGCAAACGTCAAAATAGTGTTGAATGTTGAGTTGTAATCAGCTTTGTTTTCAAATCTTGAATTATGAATGAAGCTTGTCTCACACGAGTTAATTGTTGTACTTGAACTGTCTTTATCGTTCAGATGTTCATTTAGGTTGATAGCAATTTCTTTGTTTTTGTAAATTCTCGCACAACAAGTCTTGGATGTGACTCACATGTGAGATGCTGTCCATTATCAACTTGTTTTAACCTCTTCGGACATACGTTGACGGTCATATTTATTTTGACCGGTCTCTCGGTTAAGGCACGATCTAATGTTTTCAGAATTATGATACAAAAGATATGAAGAGTAGCAAGTAGTGACCATCAAAGGCTGGTAATGATATCAAACATGAGATTCGGCTTTCTTCAGGTTCTGTCTGCTAAATTATTATTTTGATTTTAAAGTTAATTGAACCAAAATTGAATTGTTATTCAAACTGATATTAAACACGGAGTATCGAGAAAATAAATAACCTTGATAAACATCCGTCCGCCTCTGGTTTATTTTGCATTTTAATTTCCTTCGGTTGGTAACATCAAACAATTCCGGTCTATTAGTTATTTTACCAATTTTCCTTTTATAATTTAAAAAGAATCAACGAGCACCAAAATTTCAATGATAGTTCAACAGAATTTTGTCTTCAAAACATTCAACCAGAAAAAATTAGAAAAAAAACCAGTTTCTCTCTCCACCTTTAACTTTTTTAAACCAATGGACCTAAAATTTACAAATGAATTTGATCGAAACGAATAGGATTCATAATAAAGAAAAGATATCATTTGAATTGTCAACACTTTAAGGTAACTCATCAGGTTAAGTGAATACATCATCTCTGTGTGGTCGATCTCCTACTAAAAGCAGTAAACCTTGTGTCTCTTGCATCTTTATTGGTAAGCAAATTTTCCCACCTTTCCCAAGTTTTGTAAAATTGTGTTTTCTATTATTTACTGATATTTCAATGATAACTTCTTTCTATTTCAACAGATTATTTGATTGAAGCAAGCTGAAAATCTTTTTATTACGGATTAATTTTCAATTGACTCTTCGCTATGCTTAAAATCTAATGTTTACAATTGGTTTTGCCATTTCTTTCAAAGCTTGAGACCTGTGAAAAAGATAAAAGGATTGTCTACTTTACTTTTGAAAATGAAAGTCTCTTGCTTGATAGTAATTTTCAACTTGTTTCTCATCAAACTTGTTACAGGTTCACTCGTTAAAAGACAAAGTAAGTAAACCTTTCTTTCCTCTTGTGAATGACCATTAAACCTTTCTTTCCTTTTACTTTCTTTAGTTGTGTTTCCATCCGATGAAGACATAAAATCAGATGATTTACAAATATTATGTAAAACTTTTCAAGGTGGCCGAGGAACTTGTTTACCAATTTTAAAATGTCCCAGTATGCAAAAGGAGCGTAATTTACTCATACTGAGAAACTCAATTTGTGGTTTTGATGGTGTTGTTCCCAAATTATGTTGTCCTTCCTCGATACCAAATGGGATTGACAATGGAAATGGTGATCCTCTGGAACCTCAGCCATCTAAACCAGAGCAGGAAACGTCTGTAAACCCTGACTCTAGTGCTGAACTTATTGGACCAAATGATAAAAATGGAGCCAATATCCATGAAAACATTACACCAAGACCACAACCTGTCAAAACTACAGCTTTACCTAAACCCACTGGTCGACCCAAACAGGGAAATGATCGAGGTTTGAAAGAGTTAAACCTAAGGGTACCACCAACTTTGCCATCAAGTAAGTGTGAAAAAAGGTTCGGTATTCAACATGTTGCACTTTTTCTTAATCTGATTATCTGATATCTAATAAATTTGGGTGTTTAAAGAGGAATGTGGTGTCAATAAACAAGCTGAAACAAGGATTGTCGGAGGGGTCCCTGCTAAACCAGGAACTTGGCCGTGGATGGTAAGTTCAATTTCACATTTTAAATTTATTGTAATCTAATCAACTATTGCTAATAATCATTTCAGGCTGCTCTTTTATTTGATGAAGATGGCGCTAAAAATTCTCAATGTGGAGCTACTTTAGTCTCAGAGGAAATTATTATTACCGCTGCTCATTGTGTTTACGAAGCTGGTGCTGTTCGTGATCCATCCAAAGTGACCGTCAGGCTAGGTGAACATAACATCGAGCAAGATTCTCAAGATGATGCCGTCCAAGATTTCTTGGTTGAATCTATTAAAATACACCAATCATTTGATCCAAAAACGTATAAAAATGATATTGCAATGCTCAAACTGAAAAATAAGGTAAATCAAATATTGATTTACTCACTTATCTTTGTATTTTTTCACCTATACTTTGATTTATTTCTGTGACTAATTCATTGCTCTACTTCAATTTAATTACTAGTCATGTTATCTGCGTTTCTCTCAATATCAATTGTCAGTAAACAAAATTATTGAATAAATTTCTTGATATTTCTTTTCAGGTCTCTTTTAATGATAGAATGGCGCCAGTCTGCTTGCCTTTTGACTCACAACTATTACGCTTTGGCAATTTGACTGGAAGGAGTGCCACAATCACTGGTTGGGGTCGAACTTCATTTAATGGCCCATCGAGTGAAGTTTTACTCCAAGCAAGCTTCGAGATTGTCCCTCAAGAATATTGTAGAGAGGCTTTCAAAAAGTGGGTTCCAATTTCTCAAGTATATTTGTGTGCAAGTAACGCCGGTGCTACTCGAGATTCTTGTCAGGTATGAAATAAATTCTCAATTTTTGTTTTGATGATAAAAAAGAAATTTTTGTTACTCTTTAGGGTGACTCTGGTGGTCCATTGGTCATGTTTGATAACACAATGAGAAAATGGTATCTTATGGGTGTCGTTTCATTTGGTAGACGATGTGCGACTCCTGGCTTTCCTGGCGTTTACACGCGAATCCCTGAATTTCTTGATTGGATTGAAAAAAATCTGTGAATATTGCAACTCTAACTGAAACTCTATTTCTCATTAAAATTTTGGAAATATCAAGATTGACATTACAGTATTTCGTCGAAAGTTCACTATTATCATCACATCACCAAATAATAATGACAATTCATTTGAAACATTGTTTTGTTTAATACTCATTTCAATGAAAAGCGCGTTTTAAAATTCCTCTTCTGAGCAACTTGGGACTTAAGCTTTCAAATATTGAAGCAAATATCCTTCAACTCAACTTTTAAAAAATCGGTTGATAATGTCTGATAAAATTGAATATTATACTGATTGTAGTCATTTTAAATGAAATATTGTGCACCAATAGAAGTAACATATAAAATGTATTGTATACATCATTTGATTATTGTATAATTGAGGATCTTTGGCTTCAAAAAGGCGAACAAACTGAACCTCTTAAACTGAATTTATGAAGAGTATAAAGATTATAGAACGTATACATTTTTGAAAATTTGATTGTCATTAGCTGATTATAATGTTTATCGATGAAAATTTGATGTTGACAATTAATGTTTAGTAAATGGATCGCCTCGAGTTTGCAGAAAGCAAAATGAACTATAGCTGAGCTATATTGAACTTTTTGAAATTGTTAATCGATACTATTGTAAGCAGTATCGATAGGTTATGTTGCATTAGGTCCCAATTTTTTTATTAATCTTTCTTGTAATCTGGTTCGAGGTTTTTTCTTCGTTTTCAGTCCTTCTTATATTAAAAATATGAGGCCTGGGTTTTTATAAAAATAATATGTGACTAGTTCAAGAATCTTTATTATCTAATTTGACGCCTTAATACATTAATGTTTTTTTTGTGACGCTAGCCTAGTTTATAACATGAACTTGTCAACCTATGGACGCAACTCACAGGATACATTAACATTTCATGATCCTGAAGAAACAAATGAATCGATTGGTGGTGATACTCAGGGAACTGATTTTGATTTCACCGATTTTACATTATCTACATTGACCCAAAGGCAATGTTCTCAACCAATTACTGGGGCTGGACCATCAGTAACATCATCAGGAGATAAAGATAACTCAGCTAGAAACCTTGTTGGTACATCTCTACTACGACAGCCAACTAGATCAACCAAATGGAAAGAAAAATCAATTCAAATCAAGACCTTGGGAGGTGGACATTTCAGATTTTTTACTTGGGTACCTGCAAATGACGATGAAGATAACGATTCTAATTCAACACAACAATCTCAACTTCAACTGGATATGAGTGAATATATGACTGGTATCAAGAAAATACCCAAAGAGGGTATACCAGGAGTTGATCTATCTGATCCTAAACAATTAGCTGAATTCGCAAAAATGAAACCCCGTAAACCTTCATCGGATGACGATACTCGGACCATTGGTTGCCCACATAAAGGCTGTTCGAAAATGTTTCGAGATAATAGTGCGATGAGAAAACATTTACATACTCATGGTCCTCGTGTTCATGTTTGTGCTGAATGTGGTAAAGCATTTGTTGAATCAAGTAAACTTAAAAGACACCAATTGGTACACACTGGAGAAAAACCTTTTCAATGTACATTCGAAGGATGTGGAAAAAGATTTTCCCTAGATTTTAACTTGAGAACGCACGTAAGAATACATACAGGAGATCGACCTTATGTTTGTCCTTTCGATGATTGTTCAAAAAAGTTTGCCCAATCAACAAACCTTAAATCACATATTTTAACACATGCCAAGGCTAAAGCTAATCAACAACAAAGAATAACAACAATGGAAATACCAATATCATCACCAGCCTCATCAGTCTCAACGAATATGATCCCAGACGTTGGAACGGAGTGTTTTGTTATCGCAGCGCCCGATTTACTCAATTAGATTATTAAATTTTTTTGAGTGTTTCATATAATAAAATAATATCATCGTAAATTGTCATCTTCCTTTGCCTTGTCACAACAGCCAATTTTCCTCCTTTTCTTTCTTTCACTTGTTCTTTTCTCAAACAAACTTCATCAATCTCTGTTCTTACGGAAAACTTTAAGGGCTAATATTTTCACCATCATCCATCAAGTTTCTTCATATGAAAAATACCTTTTCGCAGAAAAAGACAGAAGTATTTAATTCATTTGCATTATTTCAAAATAAATAAATGTGCGCTCACGAGTTTTGCAAATACAGAAAATTGTTTATTCATTTTTTTAAATAGCAATCAGAAACAGTTTATTAACTACAGTGATAATACAGATAATGGAAAAAGTGGGAATAGCTTGTTGTTATTGTTCATCGAGTATCTTCTACCATCAAATATCTTTGATGTTTCTATGTTTCAATATTCAATTCGAAATTTTGATTCTAATAAGATTAAAAAAAGGTTTCATGTCATATGAAATCAACTTCACAGATAATAATCAAAGTACTTTGCTTTGTGATATTTGAATAGATTATTAACTTAATGGTGCTTAAGTTGTTTCAATTATCTTTAAAATAGTCTTAAAAAGTTTAACATTGTTTGCAGATTAAAAAATGACATTCAAGCATATTATTATTATAAGACCCCTTTCATCTTACAATGTTAGAGACTAGCGAAATCTCACTGAGAGCTTACTTCTATCATAGAGACTCTATGAGAAACAATAGTGTTTTAAATTATAAACTGTCTAAGCTTTTCATTTGTCTGTGTCACTTTCTTTGTTCATTTGTTTAGTTTGATCAACATGGTTAAAATCAACTGTCTGTTCAATTTTGATGGATTCAACCACCGACTAGAAGTAAATTCTAGTGACGATAAAAATGCTATCACATTTGAAGAGCTGCGAAGGAATCTTCGTGAACATCCAAAGCTCAAATCTGTAGACTTTTTTGACTCTGAGAAATATATCATAGAGGTAAGTAAACAATTACTGCTTTTGAAATTCTTTCTAATTCAAGTTCATTTCAATCTACTTAGATATTTGACAAGGGCTTCGATGATTACCTTAAATTGCCTAGAGATGCAACTATTCCTGATTTCAGCAAATTGAGAGCTCGTCTAAAACCTAAAGCCAACTATACCATGGCAAAGAAAGAAAATGAATCTCTTAAACGTCCTTTATCCATGTATTCAGAAATAAACATAGAAGAGGAACACGCTCAAAAAATTTTGAGGGGCTCGCCACCGCCGGTTAATCGTGCTCGACCTCATTCATCACCTCCTCCTGCTTTTCGTCGCTCCCATGCCCCCAGTGTTGAGACACCAAGAACAGAAAACTCTAACCGCTCCCATGCATCTAATGCTGAGATGCCGAGACTGGAAAACTCTAATCGATCACATACAAGCCATAATAGCCCAGTAACACCGAAACCTACTATTCATAGTACACCAAAGACACTAGTCCCTACTAAAACGCCAACAACTGCCCCAAGAGCAACAGCTGCCCCGAAACCCCCAGCCACTTCTAACACTCCAACTCTTCCGAAAGTACCAAGAGATACGGGCGCCTCAAATTCAGCACCAAATGCCTCTAGATCATCTGGACAAAATGGAAATGAAGATAACTTATCGGACTCGGCAAAATTAATATTGGCCAAAGCTGTAGCTAAATATAATGATGAATTTACTGATATTATGATGTTTGATGATATTTGGGCAACAGACAATGTTTGGAGTTTTGTTTTCCGAGAAATATCTGGACAAGGTGTGAAAGATATCAAAAATGTATCACAAACCAGGAAATTATTCAAGTCGTTGGTGGATAAATATGTCTCTTTATTACAAAACCCTTCTATATCAGAAATTGAGGCTATTGAAAGCTGGCCCTTATTTGAAATTTTTCACAATAAGATGAATCTCAAACCGTTTTATGGCCGCATACAAATGTTGAAAGATGCATTTGCCACCAGAAAGCCCACGAAAAACAATGATAGTAAACTCGGAAAGCCTGAGATAGCTAGCCAAATCAAACCAACATCACCAGCCCCAGCCCCAGCCCCAACCCCAGCATCAGCACCAGCACCAACACCAACACTAATTTCAGAACCAATTTTAGCGCCGAAACCACAAAGATTTACACCTAAATCATCAGAGGATATAATTATTCTGACTGGTTCAGAGGACAACGATAAACCTTGTGATGACATTGTGATGGATGAACAAGATGACGAACCAGAAATCCAGGAGATATCTAGCGTAAATAATTTACCACCACCGCGACAGACGAATGTTACATCTCCACCCGTAACTGCAGCTAGCTCATTAAATGTTACATCTGATGATTTTCGACTCTTGTTAGCTGTTGAAGACCACAACAAAGAGTTTTATGATGAAACTGTTCCTGAATATAGTATCTGGAGAGAGGTTACCGACCAAATAAATCTTTACAAACCTTTCGATCCCAGTTTAATAATGAAATACAAAACCAGATTTTATGAGCTGCTCGAGGAATTTATTAGAATTCAGAATTCTTCTATTCCTGTAGCCGAAAAAGCGCAATGGAAACTTTATAGTTCATTTATCAACATTGACACAACACCATTTGAATCAAAACTAAATTAGATTCCTCATTGTATTTTCTCAATCGCAGTACTTGATTTTTTTTCTGTTCTAGTAACTTATGAATGATATATTTATCCGTTAAAAATTATCATTTTCTTATTTTGTAAAATCTCGATAATCATAAACAATCTTTCATCTTTTGTCCTTCAATTTCGTCAATATGTATTAAAATCATTAATTTCATGGCAATAAAAGTATGATTGATAACTTCTTAGATATGTCCGTTCTAAGCCTAAAATAGCTAACCCCTTAAAACCTAATTTAAATTAGAAATTGAATAAACTGACCAAAAATCAATTTGGAAGCAGAATCAATGGAAGTAAAAACGTACTTATCTAACGGATCATTAATTTATCTTATTGTCTTTACATTCGTCGATTTTAAAAATACGTTGAATAAGCAAGGATCACAATTGTAAATATTAACAAAGGACAAAATTTAATTTGAAGTTTAGTACATTGGTGTCACTTTTATTTATATAAACTGTATATATAATCTTAATTTGCTTCTCACAGATTATTTCATGAATATACATCATCGTTTTCATTAAGCTATATAGTCACATTAGATTTAATTTTAAAATTTGATACGATGTTAGATTATCGGAAATGATGGTAACCCTGGTCGCTTTATCTAGCACTGTCCAGGCTTTCCGGGCTTGATTCTATGCAAATCACGAAATTTGTAAATTTATAAATATAGTTTTTGTTAATTATTGGTCAAATTTGTAATTGTTTTATCATCATTCCTGGGCAAATCCTTCCGTTTCTTCAATGGCATAAGTTAACTTTTCAACTAACTGTTCGTACGATTTGTAAGGTGGCAAGTCGAGTCGATTAAAACAAGTATGACTTTTGGGTAACCAAGTTTCTTTGCCAACTTTTTCAATACAAAATCTTTGTGGTCCATTAGAACCCATTAGTTCGGCAAAACCTCCAACAGGAACTCTACAGGTACCAGTTACAAACTGTAAAAGACGAGCTCTCTTTTCATTGTCCATACCTTCTTTCACAAATGTCCAGAACCATTGGATTTGTTTACTTCCTCTACTATAATGTCTGTAAATGGTGTTCTTTTGCCAATCTTCAATGTCGATTTCTTGCATACCACATAGAAGAAGTTCTAATTCTCTTTCATCGAAATAGTGGAGCCATTCTAGAGGCAAAACCTCATTAAAACCGTCTAATAAGGCTTTGGTTTGTTCTTCTTGCCCTCGACTGAAACGCCAATCACTGATAAGTCTTAAATACTCATCTTTGTTCTCGTCAGTCACTCGAATATCTGATCCACCTTCTTTAAGTTCCGTGCTCTTGAGTTGGCCCAAAATTTCATAATCAACAGTAAAATAAAGTTCCATTCCATCTTCAATGTCTTCAAGGCTATTCTCTTTGATCCAAACAAGACTATTGTAAAATTGGGGGTCAATTGATTCGATATCTTTCATAACAAGTTTTTTACCAAGCATTCGCTTATAGAAAGGCAGAGTAAATCCAGAATAAATGAATTTACCATGAAACAGGGCCATTGCAATGAACCGGCCAATGAATCTAAAGTATAATAGGTGATCTGGATTAACCGAAGAGGCTGGATTGATTTGAAGGGAATAATTGTTTTTACCAGCGTATTCGAAAAGACAATACATTGGATTAAGAACTTGATGAGAGAGAAGGAAAAACCATTCTCTAGCAATTCCTCCGTAGTCTAATCCTTCTTCACCTTTAAATGTAATGAATAATCTTCGACGTAATTCGTGGGGAGGAACTCTCATGATTTGATGGAAAGAATCTTCAAAAATATTTGTCCGAGAGACACATATCTTAATGTGAGAAGGCAATGCATTAATGTGACACAGATAACGGAATTGATGAAGTTTAGCACGAAAACAGCGTTCATATGTTATTAAGTTTGTTGCAGCGGATGCATTGATATCACCATTTTCAACAGGGATCCTTGGATCTTGAAATGTAGTTGATTTCCTATTGTGATCAACGAAATATCTTTCGCCGTCTTTGGTGTATCTAATTTCCCAACCTTTAGGTAATGGTAAAAGATCATAATTGGTTGCACCATTTAAACCATTAGCTCCATTCAGCCCACTTTGTAAAGTTGGAATAAATTTTCCTTGAGTTCTAGGATCTTCCCATTGAGTTGTTTTATTCTTATGATTAACATAATAAACACGATTATTTGGATCAAGACGACGTTCCCAGCCTTCAGGTAAAGGCTCTTCGTAAGAATTTCCTTCTTTTTTTACCGAATTGGTGGCAGGAACAATGTTTGCTGCTGATGCTAGTGAAGATAGACTTAAAGGGTTAACACTGATGCCACTTGGACCAGCTGATTGTGGAAGAACAGCTGATGCTTCGCTAGATTCTCCATTAGATACAGTATTAGATGTTGAGCCGCGATCCATTTGGGGAGTAGCATACATATATCGTTGACCACATTGTTGCATAACCTGGCCTTGTGATGATTGCCATTCATTAAAAATACGTAAGGTATTTTCAGTTGGTCGTTGCCAAGTAGTTGTCTTGGTATTATGATCTACATAGTAAACACGACCTCTCGGGTCTATCCTTAACTCCCAACCAGGAGGTAATCTTTGTGGTTTCTCCCATGTTGTACTTCTTGTATTATGATCAACATAGTATTTCCGATTGTATTGGTCATATCGTATTTCCCATCCAGGTGGAAGATTCTCGTCTGAATCATCTTCAACTCTAGGCCTTATTCCAGTTGGAGCACCATAACCACTTGTGTTAATGTTACTATTTGAAGGTCTATTTCCTGATGCAGAAGACGACGACGAGGTGGAAGAGGCATTACATATTGCAGATGATGATGATGAGGATGATGAAGAAGATGATGAGCCTCCATTGACCCAGTTTGAAGTTGAAGCTGAAGATCTATCATTTACATTAGCACCAGAGTGAACACCTCTCTTAGGGTCGAGTAATGACCATTTAGGCAATGAGCCCATAATTGATTAATATTTAAAACTAAATTTACAGTGATGACAAATCAAATTTATGATCAGATTAAAAAGATTGAAGAGGATCACAACAAAAACAGTTGATCAAACTGGGAGAAAGAAAGTACTCTCTCACTTGCTATTTTTATCTCACTGAGTAACAGGTAAAGTTAATATAGTCACTTTAAAGGATTACAAAAGTAGTGCTGGAATGTAGGACAGTAAACAATTTGAAAAAACAGGAGAAAGGAGAAAAGTGAAATAGAAGGTTGTGGCAGAAAGAAATACTATTCTACTATTGGTTATTGACTGGCTTAAAATGATTTAATATTTCATGTCAAATAGAAAGTGAAATCAAAAGCAATCTTTTTTCTATTTTCTATAAATTTTAAAGCAGAAGAGTTGCTGGAATAATACGACTTTTATATGAAAATAAATGATGTAATAAAGAAATGGAAATGAGGGGATAATTAAAGGAAGTAAAGAAGAAAAATTATAAAGCTAAACCTTAATCAACCATTGACTTGAATGTGAAACATACGCATTTAAGTGCGAATATGGTTGAGAGATATTCAAGATTTCTCGGGCAAGAAAAACAATTAACTCGTTAGTCCCTGTTAAAATTAAACTCCTAGATTAGTCAAGTCAAAAATGATAGACATGTGCAGGAAAATAATACACAGATTGTAAAAAGATAAACAGGTACAGTTAAGAATTCAATTTGTGTTACCTTATCGAAAGCAAAAAGAGCCGTAGTGGGGAGGAAGAGAAAAGGAGATAGCGAAAGAGAAAAGGTAGATGAAAAGAGAGTTAAAGCCTCAATTTAACTCTAAACACTTCCTCGACGAATGTACCAAATCAAAAATGATACAGGCGACGGTGATAAAGGTAATGGAGGCAATGGAGGTGGTGATAGTTTCGATGATGTCTGAACGTCTGTCGTACCAATAGTTTATAGATGATAATAAACTCCTCTTTCTGTCGGTGTTGGTGATGACAATAGAGAGAAAGTGACAAACTGAATGTAGAGTAAATGTTTTGGTTTTTTCTTAACCAAGACAAAGATTTTGAGCTGTTTGCAGTTCAATAATTACATATTTTTACAACAGCTACCACCGAAAGTATAATCTTTAGGGTTTAAATTGCCTACGAACAGAGTAATAACAAAACGTCAATATGAACAAAAAATTTAAGTGAGACAAAAGTAAAAACAGAGAGGCGAGAGAACGAGAGAAAGAGAGAGATACAGAAAGAGAAAGAGGATAACAAGAGAGAAGAAGAGAAGAGACAGAAAAAAATATAACATTCATTCTCATAGCAGATTTGATTGAATGCTGAAAGCAATCAAATAGAAAGGCAAAAGCTATCTTACCTTATTCATAAATACGGTGGTAATTTAACACCCAACTTGTCCAAAGAAAATGATAAGTCAAAATAACAACAGAAATAATTTTATCTATTAATTACATGTTTGTTTCCATCTTTCAAACATCGACTTTAATGTTATAAAGAGGGAGCAAAAAGACAGTCAGGCCTTTTTGAGCGCCTGACTTGAAAAATGATTGTTGAAAAGAGACTTTTTTTAAACAAATTTTTGTTATCAAGAGTAAACAAGAAAAATTGTTGATATTTATTCATTAATCAAGACACAATAAGTCTGCATATTTAATAGATAGATGGCTGATCAATAATATAATCTTTTTAACCGATAGCTATTAATTTTTAAACAACTTTTACACGAAAACGATTTTTACCAATTTGAGCAATAAATGTATACCAATACCATCTTTGATTCTGTTGTCTTCCGAAAATTTTTTCTTAAAAATTCATAAGATGACATAAGAAATATTCAAAAATAACATAAAATAAAAATACCTTACGATTCCAGCTCTAGCGAATTGTCTCTCTTTCATTTGCGAAGCTGTGATTTCGGCTGCAATTGAAGCCTGCTCAGCTTGAAGAGCTTTAAAGTTATATACAAAAAATAGAATAAAAGACGATTAGAAAATAATCTAACAAGGGAAGTATCCGACACGTTACGATTTTTTCGTGATTTAAATACGTTGAATACCAATCTTTCTACTTCATAAACTTTTCTGATAACAACCAAATTCAATGGATCTTATTGGAGCCTTTTCTTGGCGCTTAATCTTGAAGCCGCAAGAGTTCCTATTTCTGAACTATTTGTTGACGGCGCTATTTCTTGATCAGAAGTGGAACTCATTAAAGACATATCTGACTGGTCTGTGGATTTTGATGTTTCTTCTCTCGGTTCTGCAACTTCTTTGAAAACTTTTTTATTGCTTTGTTCAGGTACTTTTATCGGTGGTGGCATTTCAGGTTTCACTTCTATCCATTCCAATTCTTTTACTCGATGAATATCTTATGAATACTGGAAACTTTTCAGTCAATTATTTCTGGATTACTTTGGACGATCTAGTAGGCAACTGGGCGAAACCCGAACCTTTATTTGAATATCATATCTTTTTTTAAATGGATGTCTGATAATTGTAGAGCAAACAGATTTAGAATCACCATTTTCATCATCGTCACTATCAGAACAAGAGTCAGAAAGAGAATCTTCGTTAGCAGCTGCTTCCATAGTAGAAATCGGTCGAAAATAATCTGAGCATTGGCTGATTGATTTTTTTCTTTCAAGTTTCTAAGCTCCAGGTTCAGCTTATTAATATTTACTCCTACAGGCAATGTACCTGATTTTATCATACGAGCAAGGTTAGCCTTTGCGATTTGAAGCAATCTTTCTTTATCGACCTTTTCGTTAACTGATTGACTTTTTGATCGGCTTCTTCGTTTTCTCTTTGTATGAAATGATCGATCACGACTTTGGCTACGTGCTCGATTTCGACAACTACTTCTGTGACCATGATGATGAATGGAACATCAAGATTGATGATGCGAATCAGAATGGCGATCTTTATTCCGAGATTTGTAGAGCGAATAGAATAAAAGCCAAGACCTTTTCGCTCATGTGGACTGGCAGACTTCTTCTTTCTTGTCTTCTTTCGAGTTTTTGAATATTTATCCAAATTATAAAATCTTTTTTCTTTTTCTTTCGTTCCTTGTCTGACTTCTGTTTTTTCTTTTTCTTCTTATTATAATATTATCCTCGATCACTTCCTCCTCTTGAGAGCTTATGTCTTCCTTTTTTCTTGATGCTGGAAACTGATAATTAACTGCAATCCATAAAAAGCCAGGAAAAATCGATGGATTTTCAAGTCACTCCTTGGTTGATGGCCCCTGGCAAGCAAAAAAACGAGATAAAAATATTTACACTGACAAAATATTAGAACATGCTTGGACCTTAAACAATGGATCAAATTAGTTGAAAAAGATGATTATTTCGTGCAGACAAACTTAGACAATTTATATCAAAGCACCAAAATTAAGTCTAACTCACATAATTTATCATCGAAAATGGTACAAAATGGAGATTTCCATGAAGAAATGAATTTCAATGAATTTTTCTTCATTGGCATTAAGTAATTAATCAGCATTACGAGTTTATAGAAAAATTTCTTTCCTGTAAGATGCATCACGAAATAAACATTTTTGACATTGATGTAACCGTTTGAAAAGCATAATTTATTTAGATAAAAACATAAAAATTGTGACAAGTTTTCAAGTGACTTGTTTTAATAAAGTATTAAAGATGTGAAAATTTGATGACTTGATTAATGAACAAATATGTTTTGTTCACAGAAGTGAGTTGTTTAATTTAAAAATACCGATGGAAAATATAAAAAAGAATGGTTTGATTAAATGAGTGCAAAATTGTGAATAAAATCAATCATCTTCGCAAAAAACGCTCTCGTCGAACACATAGTAGCAATTTTTGGAAAACTTTTTAGCTACAGTAATTTTGATATAGCCAGATTTCAACATTTGCTTAGCATATTTATACGCTTCTTTCTTTGAACTAAACCCTCTGACCTTTTTATATAACCAGTCCACTAAATCCCGGCCTACGAAAGCATTTGCAATTCTAATTTTTAGCCACTTTCTGTCTTTTATAATCAATCCGCTATCTGGTCTGGCTGCAACTTTGGCAATTGTAAACATGGTACTGTTTGTTAATGAAAGTTCTGGCATTTCAGATAAGAGATGATGTCGCTCAGAAATAGGCATTGAGGAATGACTAACAGATCCTGATGAAGGGTGATCAATGGCCTCTGAAAAAAATAAAAAAATGAGAGCAATTAAATTAGTTATCTGTTATAAATATTGAAGTTATTTCATATTTATAAATCACAACTCACCGTTTAATCCAGTGGCAGCTTCAGTGGTTTGAATCCAGGCTTCTAAATTGAGAGGTTGAATTGGCTCTTCTCGAAGGATAGTGAAATAATTGTCAAGGTTAGGTTCAAGAATCTTGGCAACCACAAGTTTAATTGGTCCTGGTTTTTGAACAGCTTCTCGGAGTATTTCAACTGCCTGGTCATTTGTCATATTTGATAAAACATGGTCATTTACTTGAAGAATCATATCGTTAGGTTGAATAGTCCCCTCCGCAGCGACTGCTCCTCCTTTCATGATTGATCCAACATAAATTCCTCCATTTTCAGAGGAACTTGCTTGACCAACTAAGCTCATACCTAGAAAGTTTTTACCGTCTAAATTGAGGGTAACTGTTTTGATTGCTTGCCCAGGAAAACAACTAGCTGAAGAATCTGTTACACTAGAGACAGAGGATGCGACGGACATGGCACGTTTCCTTCGCATCACACTAAGCGGATTGTAACGGCTTACTGAAGTTTCATTTGTCGAGGTTGAGATCCTTGAGCTTGTATCATCATCTGGATAGTAGTCATATTGATGATGATAGTGAGGTGGGTGAGAGTGAGGGTGAGGATGAGGATGAAGATGAGAATGAGAATGAAGATGTTGATTTGGAAGAAATCTACTCTGACCAACATCACACATGCAGGCTGTGTCATCGTGAAGCTGAGATTCTACATAACAAATAATGTTATCTTTGAAAAAGGGCAACTTAGCATCATCATCTGTTATCAGCTCTTTAACTATACCAACATTTTCATCAATCGTTTTGAAAAAAAATTTATGTTCACAGGATGATTGAATGTTGATGGCAGATTTAAAGTCCCTTAAAGTCACTTGGTCTGGGGGAACAGCAAGCCGTATTAACACCGGTACATCATCATCGCCATTGTAATAGATAATTTTAGTCTCCGCAGGCTGTGAATCACTCATTTTGCAACTGGACTATTGCTTAGAGCTACAGTTAATATGACACATCAAACAAAAGTACCTGGAATATAAATATATTAAATATCTAGATTAAATATAGTAAATACCAATTAATAATAGCATTATAACTGCTTTCATAGATTTTATGTTAAATTTTTCGAAAACAGAAATAAAAACTCATCATTTAATTGCATTCAAATCCAACGCTGTAAATTTTTAATAAATATTCAAGTAATGAAGCTGAAAATATACTTTTTGATTGAAATTTAATCAGCTATTATAAAGCCCAGCCTCAAAAGGGACCATTGAAAAAACTAAGTGTTCATCTGATTTGACTCAAATCATTTGAGCAGCATCTGGGAAGAAACTGAAACTATTTCGAAAATAGGAATCAATAAAAACTCATTATTAAATTGCATTGAAATCCAACATTATAAATTGCACTAGAGATGGGCGATTCTCGATTAATCAGGTAATCGATATTTTTAGCGATTCGCGCAAGGGAATCGATTATATCGATGCTTAATCAAGGTAGGAAAATATTAAATCTTCAAGCATTAAACAAAATTTTCCAAGTTTGAGGCTCTTCTTTACATCAATAAAGTACAAATTAGTCTTTTAAATTGCACTGAAATCACTGGAAGAGTCAAGTATTTTAATTCTGAGTTGCTAAAATCATGCAGATTTCCCTTTTATTTTTTTCTGCAAACATGGAATCGCAAAATTCGTAAATTTTTAGCTCATGTGAAGCTTATCGATTCTCACAAGAACTAATCGATGCTCATTTTCTGAAAAAGAATCGATCCGTATCGATATAATCGAGGTAATCGCCCATCTCTAAATTGCACTAAATATTCAAGTCTTGGAGCTCAAAATACTATTTATACAACAGCAATCAGTGAAAGTATAATCTTAGGGTTTATACTACCTACGAACAAAGTAAAAACAAAACATCAACATGAATATGAATTAAGTGAGACAAAAGTAGAAACAGAGAGAACGAGAGAAAGAGAAAGAGGATAACAAGAGAGAAGAAGAGAAGAGACAGAAAAAAATATAACATTCATTCTCATAGCAGATTTGATTGAATACTGAAAGCAATCAAATAGAAAGGCAAAAGCTATCTTACCTTATTCATAAATACGGTGGTAATTTAACACCCAACTCGTCCAAAGAAAATGATAAGTCAAAATAACAACAGAAATAATTTTATCTATTAATTACATGTTTGTTTCCATCTTTCAAACATCGACTTTAATGTTATAAAGAGGGAGCAAAAAGACAGTCAGGCCTTTTTGAGCGCCTGACTTGAAAAATGATTGTTGAAAAGAGACTTTTTTTAAACAGATTTTGTTTATCAAGAGTAAAAAAAAAATGGTTGATATTAATTTATTAATCAAGACACAATAAATCTGCATATTTTAATAGATAAATGACTGATCAATAATATAATCTTTTTAAGCGATAGCTATTAATTTTGAAACACCAGGTAAAGTCAATTTTTACTCGAAAATGATCTTCTAACTTGGAAGTGATGAGAGCTGTAGCATTTAACAATAACATGTTGAATTAAAGGAATTGAATTTGTCAGGAATTCCTAATTAATTTATTTTCAAATTTCTGTAAAGATTTCAGGTTAAGTTGACAGAGATTGCTTGTATTAATAATAAACGATGAAGATTCAATTGTGACATTTATGCGTAGTTTTATAATAATCGCATGTTTCTAGGTTGATAACAGCAGAGGAAGTTGATAAATTGTGAGGTTTTAACAGGTGAATATTAGTTGAACATGTTTATAGTACATGTAAGAGAAGAAGCTTCGTTTACTGAAGATAATTAAGAACTCAAGATAACTTTACAAGTAAGAGTTAGACATGAAGTGTGAAGACACATTACACGTTCTGGTTAGCCTTGAATCAACGATTTCATGCATTTTAACACCCAGATTTAATATCAGCAAGATCAATGTCAAAGTTATTGGAATAGTTAAAGGATTGATTTAAGTGCATAGTTACTAAATACAGTATGATTGGTCATTTATAAAATCAAATTAATTTGCACCATAAAAGAATGTTTTTTTACTTTGTCAGTTATCCTAAAGGTCATCATTATTATCGGTTAATCACACCATCACTTCAATAAGGCACATGTTTAACTGCATGGCTCTATGTCAATTTTACTCTCAGTTTCTCTAAGCCATTTTTGAATTCTCGCCTTCTCTTCCGATTTAATTATACCATTATCCATAAGTCTCGCCAGAATATCGGACATTTTCAAAACAGATCTAACCTTAACACCATTGTTCTCTAAATTTTCAAATCCTTTTTGTCCTCTATCAACGAAAATTGAAGCATGCTCGATTTCAAGGCCAACTGATTTGAGTGATTGAACAGTTTCCATTATGGAAGAACCACTAGTAATGACATCTTCAACGACCAAAACTTTTTGTCCAGCTTGGAACTTTCCTTCGATTAATTTCTTGGTTCCATAGGTTTTGGGTGAGCTTCTTCGCATAACCATTGGAATGTTGTTATCTACCGACATAACCTAATTTTTCAAAGATTTACAAAATAAAGAATAAAAAAATTTAGTCTGTGATAAAGTTTTTCAAAGATTTTAGAGTTACTTACCACGGCAAAAGGAATAGCAGTTAATGGAACACCACAGATAAGATCAAATTCAAGGTCCTGGACCATTGACCACATCAATTTAGACATAGAACGAAGAAGATCTGGATGTCCGACCACCAACCGCAGATCAATATAAATTGGCGATAGATCACCAGACTTCAAGATTATGTCCTCAATTTTGATGGCTCCAATTTTGTAGAGTTCATCTATTAACTCGGTTTGGGTCAAAATTTTCATCTTTATTAACTAGTGTAGCACAGCACCGAGAAAAACGTTTTTCGTTTATAATGAGTCAGTTTAAATCTGAACAAGTTACAACTTGTAAATTGCAAGTTTCTTATTTTTTTGCTCAACTTCTGGTTATCAAGGTAACCGGTATTTGCCCGGTCTTTTTAAATAGCAATATTACATTGTATCATCAGAAAGATTAAGAGATAATTAAGCTCAGCACGAGTTTTATTTATATTGAAACAACTAGATCAGAATAAATTAAACAATTAGCGGCTTTCCTCCCTGAAATTCAACTTTTCCCAGCAATCAAATTAACTTTGGCTCACTGGATTCCATTCAATTGTTGCTCTATCATTTGTTTTTTACTTTTAATTGTAAACTGTTTAGCTCTTTGGCTTTTTCTTACTCCTTATGGTCGGATTATTATCGGTTTTACAACTTGAAATGGACAGTAAATCAATGTTTAAACTTAAATGAAAATTGCCATTTTTTGTTAAGTAAAAAGCAAGGAGTTGGTAGCTTTGGCTAGTCGTCATTTCACAGTTATTATTTATTTGGAGCCTCAGGATATAACCATCTTTACCACAATTAGTTGACCATGAGTTACATGATCATTAGTCGATAATGATTAACGACTTTTCTCCCCGACATTTACTTTTCCCAACAATCAAATTAACTTAGGCTCACTGGATTCCATTCAATTGTTCTATCATCTGTTTTTTACTTTTAACTGGGAGAACTGTCGTAAATTGTAATCTAAATCATCTGAAGTATTACCACAGTTTTCATCATAATAAACACCATGAGAATAGAAGGAGAAAGTCTTTTGTAAGGCGTCAATTGCAACAGTAACAGGTCCATGCTCAAATAGAGCCAATTCAAGAGCTTCAGCACTACCAGAAGTAACATTGACGAATCCGGTGAGCTTAACGACTTTTGGTACTTTTGAGTCATGGCATTTTCCATCTTGACCTAAATATGCACCATAATCTTCGTCAAGAGAGATTCCTCCAGCTCTTTTAATGTAAGCATAAGCTCTGAAGTCTTCTCCTCCATCACAACCGTTGTCTCCTTGATCCCAACTACAATCAACTAATTGTTGCTCTGACAAACGAACCAAATGACCAGTTTTGACAAAATGAACACCTTCAATGGTACCAATGGTTCCAAAAGACCAACAAGATCCACAAACGGCTTGATCTTTAACTGGAGTTACAGCACCAGCGATTCGCCAATCGAGAACTGGAGGACGTTGCTTGCTTTCTGGAAGAGCAAATGGACTTCCTCCATTATATCCCTTGGATCGAAGTCTTCCTCTCATGTATTTCAATTCAGAATCCTCAAAATCGGATAGATGATTCACCTTTGAGCAATTAATGTTGCGATGATTATGGCTTTCAATGAAACGATGTTTGTTATTTTACAGTATCTTGAGGCTAAGATTGTTGATCATTTTATTATGGGCTATAATATATTGAAATGTTAAATCATTTAAGATCCTTCAAAAAACTTATTACTCATATTGTCAGATTTGATACTTGATTTATAAAGTTAGTTGTTGGTTGTTACTAAAAAGACACAATTAACACAATTGTCACATTTACGCACAAATTAACAAAAAGGGAAAACAGGTAAAAATTAACTTCTTGTAAATTTAGACTCTGGTTTGTAGAGACATAAAAACCATAAAACCAGAGTCCATTTGGGCAATTTAAAAGCTTCTCCGATCAATAGTTTAAGTGAGAATGGACGTCGAAGTTTAAACTTGGTTAGCTTTTTGTGCAGTTTTAGAAGCAGATTTTTTCATGAAATTTCATTTTACTGATGTAACTATTGATTATCAACCAGAATATGTACTTATTTTGAGAAATAAAGTTTTCTGTCAAAAATAAAACAGATCAGTTCGATTTTAATTTAAACCGACTACTTTCTATGACCATAAGAGTTAGATAGCTGAAACTTATTATTCGTACATAAAAATTGTCGATACACATCAAAGATTGAAATTTTTCTTCAATTTACCGACAGTTCTCTTGATTTTGGCCATTGGCCGTAAAACTTTGAGCCTCAATATTTCGAGAATGTTAGCACCTACAATCGTTATTCTTTGGCCAAACGTTAGATTTTAGTTTAATCTATTGCATGATATGTTTGAACAGCGAAGAAAGTGCGTGCTAATTCATTCAATGATGAAAATTCTTCTAAAACATCATAAGATTCGTGTTTGATTAGCCATTTACCTTTATAAGAGTAAATAAAGTATAAACTCTCACAACATAAGTAATACAATGCAATAACTTTTTTTGTGGTTTCCTGAATTAAATGTCATTTCAATTTCATTATAAACCATAATAAGTGCTAATGATTGATCAAAGAATGATGATTGTAAGGGCCACCATTTTCGAAATATTGAGGCTCAAAGTATTTAGGTTCGTGGCCAAAATTAGGAGAACTGTTGCTAAATTGAAAAAAGTATTCAATCCATGATGTGACCCACTAAGTTTTATGGACTAGCAATAAGTTTCAGCTCTCTAACTCTTATGGTCACAGGAGATGGTCGGTTTAAATTAAAATCGAACTTATCTATTTGTTCAGAAAAACAAAATTTTGGTGCTCAAAATAAGTTCATTTTCTGGTTAAGAATCAAATGTTACATCAGAAAAATGAGTTTCACAAAAAAATCTGCTTCTAAAACTGTACAAAATGCGATCGAAGTTTAAACTTTTGACTCGATTTTCTCGAAAAATATTGATCACAGAAACTTTTAAATCACACAAATGGACTCAGTTTTTATGTCACTACAAACCAGCAAAAGTAATCTTAGTTGTCACCAAAGAGTATAACTCTTTGGCTGTTACTAAAAAGACACGATCAACTTAATTGTCACATTTATGTACAAATTGATGCAAATGGGAAAAAAGGGTAAAATTAATTTCTTGCGAGTTTAGACTCTGTTGGTTTGTAGCGCCATATAAACGGAGTCCATTTGTGTGACTTAAAGATTTCTCTGGTCAATATTTTTCGAGAAAATCGAGTCCAAAGTTGAAACTTCGATCGGCTTTTATTCAGCTATGGAAGCAAGGTTTGTCACGGAACTCATTTCACTGATGTAACTTTTGATTTTCAACCAGAAAATGGTCTTATTTTGAGAACCGAAATTTTCTGTTTCTGAACAAATAGATAAGTTCGATTTTAATTTAAACCGACCACCTCCCTTGACCATAAGAGTTAGAGATCTGAAACTTATTGCTAGTCCATAAAACTTATTGGGTCACATCATGTATTGAATACTTTTCTCAATTTAGCAACAATTCTCTTTATTTTGGTCATCGGGCATAAAACTTTGACCCTCGATAATTCGAGAATGGTAATACCTACAATCGTTATTCTTTCACCAATTTGACTCTTTTCTAATTATTAATACAATGCAATCAAATAACTTTACATTATCGCATTTCGGTCATGATATTTGCGTTGTAAATGTACAAGGAACAACTTATTCAACAAACAAAGCTCATCTAAACCCATTTCTTGGTAAATAAACCAATCTTCTGGTTAAACTTACGAATGAAGTGCAAAGAGCGCTACCAAAGACTCAAACATTTGAGCAAAGAGATGAAACTTGGTGAATTTGTAGGGAAATAAAAACTGAATCTATTGGTGCTATTAAATAGTTCATCCGATGGACAGTTTTTGCGAAAAATGAGATCAAAGTTGAAACTTCGATGGCCTTTTATTCAGCTAAGGAAGCAGATTTTTTCATGAAACTCTATTTCACTGATGTAAATTTAGATTGTCAACCAGAAAATGTAAATACTTTGAGAAATAAAGTTTTCTGTTTCTGAACAAATAGATAAGTTCGATTTTCATTTGAACCGGCCTCTTTCTGTGACTATAAGAGTTAGATAGTTGAAACTTATTATTCCTGCTTAAAAATTGTTAGCATAGATGCTTCATTGAACAATTTTCTTGATCTATCAACAGTTCTCTTGATTTTGGCCACTGGCCATAAAACTTTGAATCTCAACATTTCGAGAATGGCATCACCTAAAGTCGTCATTCTTTGACCAAACACTAGATTTTAATATGGGCTATAATATAATATGAAGGAATACCGCATAAATAACAACTAATTCATTTAATAATGAATGTTCCTCTAGCACTAAGATTTGTTTTGAGTAACCATCTAACTTTATAAATCAAGTCTAAAAACTGACAACATAAGTAATAAAATGCTATAACTTTTTTTGTAGAATCTTGATTCAGCAAATATTTCAATGTATTATAACTCATTATAAAAACGAATGAGTGGCCAGAGAATGGCCATTGTATGTGATGCCATTCTCGAAATATTGAGGTGCAAAGTTCTAAAACCAATTGCCAAAATCAAGAGAACTGTTGGTAAATTGAGAAAAGTATTCAATGCATAATGTGTACCAACAATTTTTATGCACGAATAATAAGTTTCCGCTCGCTTACTCTAACGGTCAAAGAAAGAGGTTGGTTCAAATGAAAATCGAACTTATCTGTTTGTTCAGAAACAGAAAATTTTATTTCTCAAAATAAGCTCATTCTCTGGTTGACAATCAAAATTTACATCAGTAAAATAGAGTTGCATGAAAAAATCTGCTTCCTTGGCTGAATAAAAGGCGATCGAAGTTTCAACTTCGAACTCGATTTTCTCGTCCACTGTCGATGGGAGAAATTTTTCAAGAGACACAATGGACAAACCTCACAAAGTCCCTACTTTTTAATTGCAATTCAAAGTTTTTGACAATAGTTTTAATTCGTAAATCATTTAAAAGCATTTATTGACAATTTACAGTTCATAATCAACAAAACATAAAACATCATAATCTTCACTGTATTTTTCTTCTCCTTCAACTGGTCCCGAAGCTTTCATATGAGCCAAATGTATTTTACCCAGAACCGTATAGCCATATGTTCGGAATCGTGAAATGTAAAGCTCTTCATCATATGCAGTGTAACCACCAGAAATGGTTCCTGTTTGTAATTTGCCTTTTGACTCTGTGGCCCAAAGTAGTCGAGATAGATTCTTTGTAGTTAACAAATCAAAGACTGAATGAGGATTAGCTTTATCATCATATGGGACTTCACATGAACCATTGCTTGGAAAAAATGTGCCTGGAATTAGTTCGTCTTTATAACTCATCTTGGCTGGATGTTCAGCTCGACAGACGTAAACTGTGTCACCATTGGCACCAGTGCCACCAGCGAAAGCATCAGTTAGTGAAAAATTGTGCGAACAGTAACGAACCCATTTAATTTCGTCTGTAATCGAATCGAATCCAATCTCTCTGCTAAAGAAAGTCAAGTGTGAAATATGTTCAGGGAAAATGGATTCATCAATAACTGAGCTAAAGACACAATTAAAGCTATCAGTTTTAGGTAGCAATAAACTGATATTTATCGATAAATTGTAAATAAATGATAGGCAAATGAAAATAACTAACACTACCTTTATATTACAATATTTACCTTTACTTGGTCATTATTTCAGCTGATTCAAAATACAATTCATATGATTCAAGTAAAAAGTGATAAATCATTGACTTTGTAATCTTAAAATTATTAGTAATTATTGAGTTCATCTTGAGTCCGATGAGTATGATTAGCTCATGAATACTTTAACTTTCAAGACTTCAATTTTCATCTGTTCACTTAAAATAGAGTCCAATATCATGCAACCTTGATTATTGTATTTCAACTCTTGTCATTTCAGACTCAACCATAATTATAAGTCTAATATTATATCTCAATCCAATGTTAAATTGTAATGCAATATATTTGATTAAAAAATGATGATTCAAATGTTTCACTAATGACTGAAATCATAATTGTAGTAAACCTTGAAATAACATTTTTCCTCTGTTTTTCCCTGGTAAGTAAATAATTTTGATCAATGTTAACAGATTTATTTTAAACATCAGATTGCCACACTCAACATCAGAACTGTTATTCACACAATTTTTGTAAAATGTTGAAGATTTGTATCTTGATCATCAATAATCTAATCCGAAAATCCACTCTGTGAAAGAAATGGTTCACTGATTGCTCCAAATAGATTATTTTAATTTATTGAAAGACCTAAAAGGTTGAACCAGAAACCCACTGATTTAGGTTAATTCAATTTTGCTCTTTTAAAAATTTAGCTATTTTAATTGAGCTTAATGAGAGTAATTAAATCAGGATACCAAATTGTTGGCTTAACAGCTGCTGCTAAATCACCGGTAATTTTCAATTTGCCGCCACTAGAGCCTTCATTGTTTACATTTCATTGGACTTTCATTTTGTAATTACAAGTCTTTATATTGACATGTTTCGTTTAGTCTAATTGATTTAACTCTCAATTGTCAGTGAATTATTGCAATTAACAAGTCAATATATCTTTTTAAATGGTTTCTTGGTGTGTCAACATTTAGCTTATGTTTAAGTTTTGTCAACAACACTTCAACATGATAACTTTGAGTTTATATCTTCATCTCAATATCACTTAAAGTTTGATGACAGCTTCGAAGTAATGAAAATTAAAACAATCAACAATCTAATATCCTGTTCATGTTTCTTATCTTTAATTAATTCTTCAAAGAAACACTAAAAGAACAATGTTAACTCCTTAATTTTAAAAAGCTGTTAAACCCTGGATGCATTTTTAATGGCGGTTCAAGGAAAATGTAAACATGTTTATCAAGATGATAAAAAACTCGTCAATAATCAATGTCCATGTAATTTCTGAATTGAGAAATAATTACATGACGTAAAGCTAATTTAGTTGCCATGTATCTGGTTATTGCTACTATAAATAAAATATTGTTCAACCTAATGATCACCTGATATTAGGTCTATCCTAAGATGCAGCCAACATGGAAATCCAAAAGCTAATTTCTCAATATCCAGAAAACCTGGCAATTTCGTGTTTCAAATATATTGAACTAATGGTACAAATCCAGCTGGTCATCGGACTTTTTACCCAATCCTTCCGATACAACAAGCCTTTGGTTATCGATTCCACGTGGTTCATTGTTTACTAGTTTGATTGACGTGAATAGCATCAAACGTGCCCTTAAAATCCATCAATAACAACAAAATTTTTGCTGGCAACAACATCAGATGAATTTCAATGAATAAATATTATCAGAGAAATATTTCTCATTCAATGAGGATCTTTGAATGAGCCGTTGGGTAAACATGGATTATAAGGGAAACAAATGCCTGAAGCTGTTGTCGTACTTGCTGTTATAAGTTATAACTTTTTTCAACGGCCATTTAAACCAGCACATTAGTCATGTAAGAAAATGATACGGAATTGCTAATTGTGCCATCAATTCATGCAAAAAAATGAAGAAGAAGGGAAAACCGAAGAGCGAAATATGTGGCAGCAAGAAGCAAGACAGGTCTCTACAAGGAATGAGCAACTGAAAAAACCCTTTCCACCATCTTAGTCCCCTCACCATTTCCCCGTTTTTAAAGACTTAGTATTGGTCAAAACTCAAGCTGAAGTTTCGCACTCTAGCTATTCATATTCTGTGTGAATTTAACCTGAAGGCAAAAAAGGTTGCCCCGTTTTATCCTACAATCCTTTCTTCACTCAAACTCTGATTAATTGAGTCCGGACAAACTAGTTCTTCTCCAATCAGCATTGGAACAAAATAAGGAATTACCAGATCGTTAAGGGAGAAAAAAAGGGGAGCGAGTTACACTTTTTGCCTTTTATTTCACAGGGATAACTTGGTGGTCACTAAGAAGTCCATTTAAAAAGGAATTAACGTTTTAAATTTTCAGTTGAGTTGGAGAGCTTGCTTGGTTACTTCTTAGAAACTCGTGTTTACATATTTGTGGTTCAAAGTGTTTGTGGCGTTGGGATATTTTCAGCAATAATATTTAAAAAATTGGACAAATCAAGATGGTTATTCAAGAAGACATAGCTCCAGAAATCATTGAGTAAGTTTAACATCTTTATTTATTAGTGAATTATCCTTAACCGTTTTTTTAATTTTTTTTTGTTTTCTAAATCAGAGTTTTCAATGCTTCCAAATATCCAATGAGATGCTTTGATCTCTGGGATCGAACAAAGAAATGGCTGGCTGAAAATCCGTCATCTGTTAATCCAGATGATGCTTTAATGTTCTTTGCCCATTCTACACCACTCATTGCCTTCCTCGAATCCCACGATTGGGATACAACTAAAGCTTTCAATGGTATAAAGTCTATAGCAAAGAAACGCCATTCTGACCCCACAACAGATGTTGTCTTGTTGGATTTCCCAAAAGATTATCATGAACTTGGCGCTCTTCTACCAAACCTTGTGGATAAAAATGGCCGACCAGTGTTATGGGTTCGCTCAATCGATCCACCTGAACTTCTTTACCCAAAAGTCATGCGTATGTTTGCTTGGGTAACAGATCGTTTCTGTGAACGTGTCTCCGCATCACCTTTGAAACCAGGTCTTGTCTTTGATTGTCAAGTAATGACGACCAACTTCAGATTGATTAAAGATTCAATTACAATTGTATTGCAACGTTGCCCTCCTTGGGTGGAATACATCGCAATTGTTGGTTTAAGTTCCTATTTCAGATTTTTTGGTCGAATCTGTCGAAATTTTCTTCCTCGTTACTTGAAAGACTCGCTAATTTTCATTGACATTGACGACTTGGACAATTATTTCGATATGAAACAATTACCGCATTACTTGGGAGGTGAAACTAGATTGATAACTGACAAAGAGTTGGAACAATGTCCAAGTTTACAGGAATATGCTGAAAAATGTGGCCTAGAGCCTACGCTGTTTGACAAATGGAGGGAAAACGCTCACTCGAAATACATGAAACATGCAAAACCTAGTGCTAAAATTAAGCCAATTGAAATGTTTACCTAATCATCGTCTTCATCATCTCATCATATGCTAAAATTACAAACATATTGCAATGTCACTTCACATCATCTCAATTATCATGTAATGATTTTCCCAAGATAAATAATAAACTAATAAATTTAATAAACTGATCACCACCTTTTATTGAGGAAATCAGGCGAGTTCCTAATTTCTTTTTACCTGATCGATTAGATTCAATCAAATTATAAACAATAAAATCGATTTGTATCAAGCATTGTTGGCACCACGAAAATGAAAATGAGACTAGGTTTAAATATGAAAAAATATTATTTTAGTAAAGTTGATTTCCATGTTTCAACATGAAATACAAAAAGATTTTGAGCTATCCAGAAAAGGTTGCCAGGATTGAAAACTATCCTGGACTATTTAATGATATTTGACAAGGACAACTTTGGTAGGACGATGTGATGTTAGATTGGAGTCACTAACAAGGGAACTCCATGAAGCACCTGAGCCAGATTTGAATGAGACAGATGTCATTAGATAGAGGATGATGACTTATGGAAAACCCTTTGGCTTTCACCTCAGTCTGGTTGAGTCGCCTGAGTTTCTTAGGATAATTTGGGTTCAAAATTTGGGCCTTTTTATTTTAAACATATTTAAAAATTAATTTATTTCAATTAATTCAGCAAATATGTTTTAGAAAATTAAAGTAAAAAAATAATTGAAATAAATAAATCAATTTATGAAAATACAAAATTATAAATTGGACGAGTTTCTAATAAAAGTACCCAAATTTTGAACCCAAAATCTTTAGCTTACAGATGAGAGCCATTATGATTTTTAATAACTCACCATCCTCTATCGAATGATATTAACCTGATTCAAATCTGGCTCGGGCGCTAATGTACTTCCCATGTAAGCAACTTGTATGTTGAGTCTTGAGGTAAGCTTTTGACATTTATTTTTCTTTATTAACACCATTTCATTTAAGATATTATTTCTTGCTATCTTAAATGGTGACCGTGAAGGTAATGATGAAAAAGTCATGGTAAAATTGTCGTTTAACATAACAATCCTAATAAAAATGAGCGAACCTTTTCAAACCAAATATACAAATCAACAACTATTTCAATATCATCTCGGGCATATTCTGGCGGAATTTCAAGGGTATCCTCATCATAGTCGTTATCAAAACTGTACAAATCACTGAAGAGATCATGTTTATCTTCTCGTTTCCTTAATGATTGGTTATTATGTCGAGATGATTGTGAATTTGTTGATGGACAGGTCCAGGGTATATCAGAATCACATTTTAAAGCACGTTGTGAACATTTTGAGATCAATGAAATTGCTGTGGTTGGTTGAGAGTTACAATGATTGTTGGACTTTTCGGCACTTTGATCACAAGATGATTTCTCACTAATATCATGGTATTTAGTACTATTTTTATCCAATTGATTTGGTATGCAATTGTGGGAGTCACTTGTATCATCCATATTCACTACTGTAATGAAGCAGAGAGAGAGAAAAAAAATAATAAAAACGGTTTCACTTGACTATCACAAATGAAGTGAGTCCATAGAGCGAGTTTGTGTGATCAAGAGAGAGAAAGAGAGTGAGAGTGAGAGAAGAGAGGAGGAAGATAAAGACAAAGAGAATAACTTGAAATGATAAAATAATATCCAGGACAGATTATTGAACAGAGTCAAAATGAAAACTAGAAACATTAACAGATGCACACATATTGAACAGTGACGATGTAAACAAATTGAAAAAATAGCTTGAATTGAATGAGTTTGAATGAAAATATCAATAATAAAGCGTCAGCAGTTGATACTTGATGTGAAAACAAGGAAAGATGGATTGAAGCTGTAAAAATCCCAATCAGTAAAGTTAATTAAAAAATCTGACGAGGAATTAAGGAAGAGTTTTCATGAGACAATGAGAGAGAAAATGAAAGAAAAAAGCAAAAAGAGAAAATGGAGAAAAATAGAAAGCAGAGAGAGAGAGAGAGAGAGAGAGAGGTTCAGCTAAATTAAAACTTAATAGTTTGCTTTGTTTCCATGATTTTCCTGATGATTACCATAAAGAGTTTTCAGATGACAACTTTCCTTATCTTGATCATAATTTGATCGAGAAATGTATAAAGAAATAAGGAGAAATGAAACAAATAATTGATTGAGGAAAGTGAAAGGAAGATGAAATGACAAATGGTATTTGGATGAACAAATGGGACAAAAAAATGTTAATTTTATCAGAGAAAAATCAGGTAAACAGAAATGTAGTGAGCAAATAAAGCCATACATGAGATTTGTATGAGCAGCCTACTACCAAATGGTGAACAATCAAAATTACGGGGAAAAAATGAGTCAAGGTACACTTTCAGGTTGAAATGATTTGAACAGTATTGGCAGGTTGACTCAAATCAAAATGAAACTGGAAACAGAACACAAAAACATGTACAGAAAGGAACAAAAAAAAGAGACAAAATGAAAGGAAAGCATCGTAGACTTGATCTTTGTCTGATCACAGTGATTTTATCCAAATCAATTGTCAATATAACCAACAAAATCAGGTTAATTGTTGACCTGTTAACTTACCGAACAACCTTTTCACCTTCACTTTGGTATAGCACAATAAGATATTCACAATTAACAATAAACAGATAAACAAACAAGCATGCGAGTCAAAAAAAAGCGAGATACAATTTTTGTAGACCCCAAGAGGAGCGAAAGCACAAAAGTAATAGAAACAGGTTACCAAAATAAAGAGGGAGGATAACAAGAAGGTGGTGTAGAGGAGGAAGAAAAAGATGATCGAGAAGACAGAGTTTGACGAACTAGATGAGGAACATAGACATTTGAAGATTAGACAAGTTAATAAGCTTTCTTGTTACTGGCATTTGTTTTGTACTTTGAAAGCGAAAAGTATATTTCTTCATCTTATCTCTCGCTCACTCACTCTCCAAGCTGATTCGTTGATCTCAGTTTTGTATTTCAACCTTCAGGTAATTTGCTAATTTTATCATGGTAGTTGATTGTTTGTTTCACCTGAGGATACTCACCTTCAGAGCAATGGACCATCAAAAGGGATGTTTGTCATCAGAGAATAAGTTTCAACTTGGGAAAAAACAAGAAAGTAACAATCATTTTTGTTCACAGGTGATGAAAGAAGGAATTGTAATTTAATTGTAAACAAACAATGGATTCCAAATTAGCAATAATCATATAAATTGGGTTCAAAGAAAAGCATATTTTTCAAATTTAAGGCAACCAGAAAATTATTGGAAAGGAAGAGTCAGGGAAAGATAAAGATACGCTTAGAGGCGGTTTCTCGATTTTTTGGTTTTTGTTTTTGAATAGTTCCCTACATTTTAATAAAGGTGAGCCTCTGTGAAAAAGGTAATACGTTCAAATTGAAGACAAAACCACTAGTTTGTTTTCATTTTATTGACTGTTGATTAATGTAATATTAATATAATTTTATATTAAACTTCTGGGTAGCTGGAGGAGGAAGGAATTCAAATGTTAGTTTAACTAAGCAATCATGATCTACCATAGCCATGCTTAGTGTGTCAAGAAAAATATTAGTTTAATATTATTGGACGATGAGTTGAATGTCCACCGTGGTCCATGCCTTCATGTGGATGAACAGTGGTCATTGGTTCAATTCTTCGTTTACCACGATCGCTCTTCTTTGTAGTACCAATATGGTGTTCGTGTTCCTTGATTGCCTCCTCATGAAGTGAAATTAGGTCATGTGAACGAGTGAACCGTTTTCTTCTAGGTGCACGAGTTCCTGAACCTGTTCCATCCTTTTCATCGCCACAATAAGCTAGTCCAATGAGCCTAAAGAATGGTAAAAAAAACAAGAAACAAATAATTGATTAGTAAACATTATTAAATGTTAATTGTAAATAAATACAAAACTCACACCACAAGAACAATGGAGATAAGAGTTAATTTATCAGCAGACATAAAACGAGTCATTTTCATAGTTTGTTGATAACTTTGAATTGGGAATATAACAGTTGTTTTAATCTAAAGACTATTTAACAAATCTTAACGATTAACTGAAGACTATGATTGAGGCGTTCATTTTTATAACACCATTGCTAATACTTGTGATCGATGTCATCCGATTAATCAAATTACATAGTCTCAAAGATGGAAATGGTAATTCAATCCAACTTGTGATTAAGCAGGAAATATTCATTTTTCAATTAACATCTCAAGAGTCAGATTACACAGCATATTGGACAATTAATTAATATCCATTTCTGTCTGGTTCAATGTAATTATTGACAAAAAGTTGATTTTTTTAACACAAAAAGGTTGAAATGATTACTGTAGTGTTATGGACTAACAAAAAGTAGTCAATTCAATGTGTTGACTAAAAAGAGGTTATTATTTTGGCTTTGATTTCTGTGACTTTAATTGCAATAAAAGTGATAATAAAATGAATCCTTTTGATTATTTTTTCACTCCTTTTCTTTCATCAAATTACTCTTAATGATAACATGTAATACATAATGATAATGTTTACTTGGTTCAGTCAAAAGGTATAGCCAATTGGTATAATTTTAATTGTAATCTCAATGTTTAACTTCACAATAAGCTTCAGGTCAAATGTGTTGTGTCAATGTTTAACTGGCTTACTTTGAAAATATGAAAAGAGATTGATAATTGAGTATTTTAGTTTGTACAATTAATCCAAGGTAAAACCGTATTAATTGTAAACACTTATTATTGTCCAAAAGTGCGAAAGATGCAAATCTAATGTTTTCAACGAATCCACCATTAAGGATTAACAATCTTTAATGATTAAAGTCCTTGAAATAATGAAACTGATATAGCTTGAAAAAGATGTATAAATAATCACGTTAATAGCAAAAAAGTGAATCAACTAAAATTTAACCTCGATTAAGTGGCCATGAATTTTAATATGCTTAAAGGTAATTTAAAGACTGACCTTCACTCACTTTCACTTATTTTACTTTTACTTTCAGGTTTTACTTATTATTACATTTTCAAAATTAGGTTGAACTTTAATCTGAGAACAAAAAACATTGATTAAGGTGTAAGTCAATCCAATTTTGAGCTGGTTTTTCATGTTGGCAATAATAATAACCAGTATTAAACTAATTGGAAATCTTTGCTATTTTTTCCTTCTTTCGTTTAAAGATAGATTTTGCTTTTTTATCTCATTATCAACTAAAATGGAACCATTCTCAAAAGAGGAACCAAAGATACAATGTAACAACTGAACTAATTTGATCAAAATATGTTTATTTATTTGTTTGGTTTTTGTTCGATATTTGTTAATAGTTTGTTACAATCACATGAGATCAATCATATCATGATAGTTCAAATCAAATTACCTTAGAAATTGTATGGATCAGTCATATATGGATCTTGAGAAAGTTCGGTCTGTGAAAGCCCAGGCTGGGAGAAGGGGTGTTGAGATAAACTTGGATAGGGTAACTGGCTTATTTGGCTCATTGACAGTTGATTCTGTGTCAATGGACCCTGTGAGAAAGATGTACCACCCACTTCTTGACTTGCCGGTTGACTACTGGGACATGAACCGTTCTCCAGTTTAGTTGTTCCAGATCGACGAGGAGGCTGATTAGGGTTAAGACGATTGAGTCTACCTGAGGTGACACCTTTGGATCGCTGTTCCGGAATACCTTGTTGCCGTGATTGCATTGCTTGTTGATGTTGATTGTAAAATCGAGGTGGTATATGAATCATGTTCATGAACATTCCAATTGGAACTGGAAGGTTAGATAGAGCTGCACCAGCTTGTGCACGCTCGGGACTTATGTACGATATTTGATCATGTGCGCGGAAATATGGGGGATGAGTAACATTTGGTAGAGGTCCAGAGTTTTGGCTTCCAGCGGCAGCAGCAGCTGCTGCTATTAAATGAAGTGATCCATTGAATCGATTGTTATTATTACTGTTTCCTGATCTATCGTAAATACTTCCAGGAATCATAGCTTCACGAGCATCAAAAGTGGTAGTGTGCATGAAATGACCACCAGGATTAATCGAGTTCAACATTTTACGTGGCTTACTGAACTGAATCATACTTTCTTTCAGATTATTTAAAGGTCCTTCGACCAGAACTTTGTTTTCCTTGTAAAAAGTAAGCAAATGATTCCAGAGTGGTTGTTTGGACAGAACTTTTGGATTACCAACAATTATAATACCGTAACGAGAACGGGTCAGTGCAACGTTAAGTCGACAAGGGTCATTAAGGAAACCAATACCTTGATGTTCGTTGGATCTTACACAAGACATAATAATTAAATCCTTTTCTCTTCCCTGGAAAGCGTCGACACTGGCAACTTCAATTTCTTGGTATAATTTAGCATGTAGCGATCCATTGTATTGCATATACTGGACCAAATAGGCTCTTTGGCCTTCATAAGGGGTAATCACACCAATCTGTTCTGGTCTGACGCCACCTTTAAGGAAACGTGTAGTTATCTTTTCAACAAGTGCAGCTTCAGTTCTATTTAAATACGATGTGCCAGATCCAGCAATTTCTTCTTGTCCTTGACAACAATAGAAAAACATGGGTTTATCTGGCTGTGGCCATGGAAAATCAACTCTTTTCATTTTACGATCATCTGGATTTACCCCATTTTGAAGTGAACCTTCATAGAAAAAGTTGGATGGGAATTTACTCAACGATGGATGCATACGATATTGAACCTCTAATCGAAGAGGTCTAATACCGAGGACAACAAGTCGCTCAAAGAGCGATTGAGAAAGACCAGCTCGAGCCGCTTTCTTACACATAACAACAGGACCCAATTGGCAGTGGTCACCAACTAGAACCAGCTGTTTAGCACCTAAGACAACAGGTACCATGCATTCTGGTTCAGTGGCTTGCATGCTTTCGTCAATTAAAATTGAATGAAACTTGAAACGAACCAATCTGGGATCACCGGCACCAACACATGTACAGCAAATGACATCGGCTGCTTCAAGAAGCTCTCTTTCACTTGCTTTCTTGAGCATACGATATCGTTTTTCATCAGCAGATGATAACTCGCCAGTTTCATCTTTAAGCTGTTGTAGTTTATGTAACTCTGAATGTCCCTGCATATTACGTATTTGGTTATGAAGAGCGAGAAAAGATACTGGTGAGCTAATTGCTTCACGACTTTTTGCACATAACCGAACAACTTTTAAACCTGTACGGTGAATTTTTTCGGTCAATTGGTCAACAGCAATGTTACTAGGAGCGCAAACTAAAACTGGAGTATTTCCTGTTTTAACAAGATGATAAACAATTGTTGCTGAAGTAACAGTTTTACCAGTTCCAGGGGGGCCTTGGATTAAAGATAACGGACGTTGGAGAGCATGTTTAACAGCGATAACTTGTGATCGGTTCAATTCTGGTAGATTTGGGGCAGAAAAGTGCTTGGGTAGATTACATCTCATTATAACATCGTCAATTTCGTGTCCAAGTAAACGATGATAAATATATCCGGAAACAGAAGATTCGTCAACAGCAAACTGACGAAGAGCAGCTTGCATCCTAAAATGATAGATAAAAAGAATGAGAAGAGTAAGCAAACATTGGTTTTAGTGACGTGAATTAACTTAAACAGAATCAGAATGCGTTTGGAAATATAAGGTAGATTGAGACACTTACCTATCAAAAGATGTAGATTTCCAAACAAAGTCGAGAACGAAATTAGATGTACATTCAGTTGGCACGCAAATATTGCTTTTCATTTCAATACCAACTTCTTCACTGTAATTGTCAGGTATTTTAATAACATGGCCGACTCCAGACCATGGTTTGTCAAGTTCACCCAAATATCTCAGGCGAAGTTCATCTCCATGCATTAACCGCATATCACTATCAGATTTGGCAATGTTGAAATATGCAATTATCTTTTTGTTCAGACCAATATCCCATCTTACTTCAATATTATCCTGAGTTTGTGATTCTTTAAGTTTTTCGTCATAATCTGCTTCCATTTTAACAAGTGGACCAAATATATTTTGGTATTGGTAGCCATCTTCATACCGGAGTAGAACCTGTTGAGGTTCTTCATCAACTCCTGGCTTCTCAAGGTCTTGGAACGTAGCGTCAACATTATCTTTCCAAAGCTCTTCTAGCTTATTTATTTGCTGAGCTGTTATCTGTCTAGCTCGTGACTGTTCCTGACCAGAGGGAATTTTAACCAACCAGGATAAGAAAGTTCGGTCATTGATGAGAGGCTTCCATTGTTCCAGATCCCAATTCATGTCTTTAAGACTGCTTTGTGCAGCACAAGGTTGACGACACAAAAGTACAACAACAGAGTCAGCTTTAGCTGGAATAAATCCAAGAACAAAAACATTTCGACAGCCGCAGCTATAGCATTCTAGGACAGTTTCACCAAGTGGCCCATCTTTATGGAGAGTTACCTCCTTATGTTTGGCTCGAACAAGATGGTTTATGATGTGACTCCCTGAGGTATTTCCTCTTCCATTGCAAAACCATTTTTTACAAACGTTACATTGAACAACACATGATGGATCATGTATGCCACAGTATTTACAAGCGTGATCTGGTAGATCTTTGTTGTAATATTGGTCTTCCTCTTCTTCCTCAAAATTCAGCTCACCAAATGCTTGAGCAACAGCGGTTATATCTCCATTCTGTAATCCCAAATCTCCTTGTTTATGAGCCTGTTGATTGTTAAAAGTAAATAAAAATGTCAATTAAAATAATGAGCATTTTAACAGCGTCTAAAGTAAAAATTATGGACTTCCTGGTAAAAATAGGAAAGGGGTCAATATGAAGTGAAAGGAAGCTAATGACTTCAATAAAGCTAAAAGACAACGTAATTAACAACATGGGTTATAAGATGAGCAACCTGTTCAAGAAATAGCATTTTATGAGGAATGTTGAGAAATTTAAACTTACGCTAGATTGACCATCTTTATCTCCTGATGTTACAGACGGTCCTGCACCAGTAAGGGGTTGGGAACATTGACTTTGAGTCAATGTGGGTAATGTAAAATCGGTGAAATCAAAATCAGTTCCTTGAGTATCACCTCCAATCAATTCATTTGCCTCCTCGGGATCATGAAATGTTAAGGTACCCTGTGAATTGGGTCCATAGGTTGACAAACTCATGTTATAAATTGGGCCAGCTTCAAAAAAATATCAATTTATGAATTAAATTAAATGATGAAGATTCTTAGACTAATCACATATCATCACACTAAATAGAATAACTCAACAATAAATTTTATCGATGCACTGAACATCAATATCTATCGATATTCTTAGCAATACTATCGATGTCGTTTGAAAAAATAAATAAGCTGATCAAAACAATCGAAACAAGTACATTGTAATTGAATTGGTTGCTCCAAAATTTTGATTTAAGCTGATTTGCAGAAGGCACTTCAAACTCTTAATCTTAATCTAATTCTGTAAACTCTTTTTCAGTGCTTTACTGAGCGCAAGAAAATTCAATTCCATCGATAAGTAACAAAATCCTTATTTTTGCAAATTGGTTTCAATACTTTTAATCGTGTTACCATTATTCATGTACTGAAACTACAATAGCATGTCCAGTTTAAAACCTATTCAATTAATTTATGTAATGACCATTGTCTTGTGAATTGAGCGACTAGTCATTAATAAGTGTATCTTACCTATGGCCATTTATTAATCATCTAATTAAAACCGGACAAGTGGTGAGACTACAGTAACTGTTCTGAAAGTTTATATGCTTTTAAAAACGCGAAAGATTTATGATTTTTTGTCGCTGTTTACATAAACTACAAAAATAATTTACGCAAATCATTTGATCTTTAATTAGGAGAAGTTTAATTATCACGATTCACCATTTTTACTGACAATAGATGGTGTTAACTCCACCGTATTGATGTTTGAATTGATCAATGAATGAAGAATGAATTAATCCAAAGAGTAAAGAAGTTTCCTCTACCCTTTGAATTTAATCAAGTAAAGTAGTATCAATATTATTCAATAATCAATTTTAAAGAAAGATTGAAACAAAACTGTTATCTTTGTGCCATTAGTACTTTCATTTATCTTGGTGTTAATATGATTTTTGTTTTAGTCAAATGGCATTTATCATTGAAAAGACCAGGTTTGGTTCAGATACTTCAATTATTGGATTGTTTAATTGGTAATAAAATATTTTCTGAGAATCAAATCACGCGCTTCTGTTGCAATATTTGCAGCTGTTGCATCAAATCATTTAATTGTTATGAAACTCATATGAATCAAGTGATTCATTAAGATTTTATTGATAAATTAAAAATTGATTGTTCAGTCTCTGCCGCATGTTGCAACCCAATAACAATTTCACTTTTTGATGTCTGAGTTTAATTTAGTTTATTTACTACTCTACTCTTCGTAAGATCGTAAACCAGTTTCTATGTGTCAAAATTAAAAGTTGGTCCTCATTTATTTGTCTCTTGTCCATCTGAAATTATCAGGTCAACTGAATGAGGTGAACTTATTCAAAATCGAAGCAAGATCAATGGTAAAAAACGACAAAGCTTTTTGATATCCTAATATTTTTCAGTAAATGAACCTCTTACAAAGAAAATTGACTCTTTTGGATTAAAAATGAAAGTTGAATTTTTGATGTACAATGTAAGTCAATATATAAATTCAAACTCTCATGATTCAGATTAAAAGTAAAGAAGCTTATCATGAACTTCAAGTCAAACAAGAAAAAACTCAACTTAAATATCTAAAATAATTCCTATCAAAAACTCGAAATGACAGGTGAAGATATTATAAAACCTTTCAAGAAATTATTTAAGACTGTGAATTTGCGCTCATACAATATGGATCTGTTGGAACATCCTGATCAGAATACGTCTTGTATCAAAATTTATATTTTTTGAAACGAATCCAAGATGGAAAATATCTTATCCCAATGCATTTTAATTGTGTTCATGATTCAAATTGTTATCGTGTATATTTTGTTATGATCTTATTGTAAAATAAGGTTTGGACCTAAAACAGATAAACTCAATATTGCTATAAGGTAAATTCATAAGAGCATCTATTGGTCAACCACTTCGATCGAGTTAGTCAGCTAAAACTAGTGTTTTCATATTCAAATCAGCTTAAAATTGACTGAAATCGGATGTGATACTAAGAAATTGCCCTGAAACTTGAGCGAATAGATTAATTAAAGTGTCTTAGTAACGCTAAGTGAATTATTTGATCACTAGTTCCTAGAAGTTTAATTATCAACCTTTTATACACCATGTTTATTCGCAATAGATGGTGTTAATTCCATTGTATCAATGTTTGAATTGATCAAGAATGATTTAATCAAGTAAGATAATATCAATGATAACCAATAATCAATCATCTTATAAACTTTCATTCTTTCCCTTTGAAACAAATTGATTGAATTGTAGCTGATTCAGCACTGATAATTTTGAATCAATTTTAACAAGATTGAATCAGCTGGAAAATTACAGAAAATTGTTCCACTCTTAATAAATAAATATACTTCTTTAGAGTAATCAATTAATGAGATTATGTTTAATTGAGGTGAACTCTTTTCATGAGTATCGCCAGTTTAATGACATTGTTAATCATCAGATAAAATTGTTGATTCCGCAAAATAGACTCATCAAAGTGTTACTATAATAAAATGCAGTTTTTAAAAATATAAATCAGTAACCAAACAAATGTTTTAAATTGCTTGAAATGTCTACATTTCCTGATCGATTCACAGGTTACATCAATAATCAGGCTGGAATGATTGAAGTTTTGGACGATCCATTAGTATCGATAATATGTTGTTCATCGTTTTTGACTTTGCTTTCAAAAGTCAAGAATCCTTTCTTCTCGGTAACCTGTTGATCAATAAAGTCAAAATGTTAGAGTAAATCAAAATTCCCAATAAAAGTATTTATAAAATAACTAACCTTGTACGGAGTCCGTACACCGCTTTCACTGAAGAATGTACATGAAACTAAGGTACTTTTACCAGTTCTTTGATCATAAACATGACATTTGTTTATCGCTGGTGCGTAAAGATGAAGACTAACAGCTGGTTCCACATGGCTTGGATTTTCCACACGGTGAAGACCAATTGTATCTGGCGGAAAAAAAACAAATGTTTAGCATTAAAATGAACTCGCTTTTTCTGAACCAAGAAATCGATTGGAAAGCTGACACCAAAGAAAGCAAAGAACTCTGAATGAATAAAGAAGCATCTAGAATTTTATCGCCTGAGATTATTAGCCCAAACTATTACACCTGTATCTCTTATGTGTGTTAATAATTGAGATAATTAGCTAGCTATAATCTAAGCTAATCATATTTTTTACTATAATCTGTTGTTTGATGATGTGAAAACTATAATCTAATCAATACCAGTTTTAATATCGAAAGGTAATTTATCTCTTTTTTGTATCTTTATAATCGATTAGCAACTCATCTTTGAAACCAGAACACAGAGCAATACCTATCTTAATACTTTTTGAATCAAAAGAATATCTATCTTTATCAGATAGTCATGATGGAAATCGTCAATGATTAGTTAAGGATTGATAATTGTTGTTAGCTTCAAATGCTAAAGATAAGCGGAAAAGTAACCAGAATGAAGAATAAGATTAAATCAGAATTAAATGAGCTCACCATTAATGTAAGCTACTTGATCACATTTGAAAGTTGTTTTTGATATAGCTTTGAGCTCACTTCCTTCATCGAAATGAGTTTCGGGATCTATTTCGCTATTCTCAGGCCACGCAAATTGAGTCTCAAGAAGTGAACCAGACATCATCTGAAAATAAAAAAAACATTGAACTGTAAACCAATTTGTCTTTAAAATTGAAAAACGTAAAGTTACGCGGGTAAATAACACATTTTTGCATTACAGTAATTTCTCGCTGAATTACCAAACGCAGAATAGTTATTTCAAATAAATTAAAAGTGACATTACCTTCATGAAACAGTGAGAATTGGCATGATCATGAATTCCGCTTCCTTGACCAGGAGACCAGCAAATAAGGATAAGGTTGTATTTGCCATTACCAGTATCAATCAAATTACGCGTATATCTATACAAGTCAACAAAAGATCAACATTACTATTGTTTTCACAGATTAAATTTATTAATAAATAATTATAATGGATAACGAATAGATGTTATTACAGATTTAATTTCAAATAATTGAATGGAATTGAAATATAATTCCATTTTAAACAAAAATTAAAAATGTGACAACATTTGGGTTGATTTGAGAAACAGCAAGATTTTAACACGTGATTAATTGAATGAAAGGCGGTAAAAATATTCAGATGTCTTTTTTTAAAATTACAGAGAAACAGCTTGGTTTTAAATTGCCGTTAATCTTATTGATTAAATTACTTATTTTTCCGTCATTAAATATTGGTGTGAATTTTATTCTGTTTAATCAGATCATTTGTGATCAGCGGATGTTTATTATATTCATTGTTTGTTCGCTCTCTTTAAATTTCTGTTATTCAACTTGGAGGATTACCCTTGATGTTCAAGTGGATAATCAATTGAATGTGAAACAATAACAGATCGCAATCTTTTACTTGTTGCTACTTTAGATCCTCGGATACAACTTATCAAAAGGTATGGGAAAGGTTCACTTGCATCAACATTTCTCAATCATTCCGTAAATTATTCACAGAAGCTGTAGCTAAAGCTTTAAGACTTCAGTCATCTTGTATTTCAAGGGTCATACTTGAATCCCCACCAATCCACACCACACACCCACATCCAATGGATAGGGCACTTTTTCCCACCGAACGGTAAATCCATAGAAAATTAAAATATCGAACAATTAAACAGTGATAGAGACAAAGAAAATTACGTTCTCGGCAATGAATATCCGATTGACCAGTTTGAATTTCTCACTAAACTGTTCAATCGGAATTACCAACGGTCAAAGAAAGTACCAGGTTTGGTGTGGGGTGTGGATAGCTTGGATTCAAGTAGGACTCAAACAATCTAGATTTTATTCTCAATCATTGATTCTTACCTGTGGCGATCAAAATGAGCATATTTTCGCCATTCTTTTGGATTACTTCGATGTGTGGACATTAATTGCTTAACCTGGTCAATATCAACTTTGTCATTGTCAAATATTTCACGCAATTGCTTGATAAGGCCATCCAAGTTAACTGCTTGCTCTTTGCTTTCCATAATTAATCGATGTACAGTTAAGAAAGATCAGGAATGGACTAGAGATATTACAGATACTTAAAAAAAGGATTGGATCTCAGTCTTTCGTTGGCAGCAGACAATTTCAAAAATAACGTCTTTTCAAAGATTATCACTTAAAACAATTGATTGAATCAAACAAGGAAAATACTTTAAACCACAAATTATAATAATTTTTAAGTTGATTTCTAAAAAAAGTGAATTTGGTAATATTGTTAATCGTGCAACCAGAATTGTATGTTGAAGCAAAAATGTAAGTCTCATTGGTTTTATTAAGATCAGTTGTTTTTCACTGACTAAAATCAGTGTTTCTCTCATTATTTTCTCACTCATCTTTTCTCTTAACAGATAATTAGTAATTTTATCTTGTCATTCTATCACCTCTTAATCCACCTCTTAATCTCTTCCTTAGATTGTGAACAAACACTCGAGATTGAAAGGCAAAAAAGTGGCTGATTATGGAAAGAAGAAAAAAAACCATCCAGAACGGAAAATACAATTGATGGATGGAAACTAAATGTACATGATCAAGAAAAGAAAGAACAGAGGAACAGATAAAAACAATTATATTTATTATTTATTAAATTGTATCCAAATCCATGTTGACGTCACCACAACCATTACAATTAATTGAATTGTAGTTTCAAAGTATCGAAACAAGGCTGTCCAATTTGGTGAAGTTACCGGAGAGAAAGAGCAATCAGGCGATTTATCTTTTGGATTATTACAAATACAAGTTCCTTGGTTAGTACATTTACCTCGATTTTGGCAATTGATTGGACATGGTTTCGTCTCAATAACTTTTGACACTGGAATGCATTCTTGGTTGAGACACATTTTATTTGGAGCACAAGGCGCACCATCAGGTACTAAACCTAAATCGGTTGCGTTACGATGGAAGCTTCTGGAAATATGGATAACTCGACAGGGTGGGTTTAGAATGTCACGTAGTAAATTTGCATATGCTTGTCCAATTGAGCTTCTCAATCTGCCACTTTCAGTGCAATGTAATCGGCCACATTTGACATCTTCATTTTTACATTTTTTTGCTTTTCCGTCGAAAATTTTAAAATATTTAATTGGTGGACCACAATTAAAATAATTTGTAGCCAATGTATTTCTTTCATAACAAAAATCTGGCCCTGGATCAGAATTTTCGAAAATTTTATCACAAGAAAGATGATAACTGCCACATTTACCATTAAAACAGTGACCCTGACCGTATTCACAACTCCAACCATCGTGCACATGAAGATCAGGAGGACAGAATTGCGATGATCCGTCACATTTTTCTTCTATATCACAATCACTTTTTGCTGGACGGCAAACATGATTATCTGTTGACTTGTAGAGCTCACAAGTTTCAAAATTACAACAAGGTCCGTGTCCACACTTGGCTCCTTCTAAAAGTAAACAAGTTGATGGATTGCAACATTTTGAACAATGTTTTATATCCGCACAATCACACTGTTCGTAGCCGCTTAAAGAGTAATCCCCACAATATTTGCCTAACTCTGGTTTATCTAAAAAGCAATCAAGATCACCCGATAAAATAGATGCTTCCACCTGTGAAATTGTGAATGGTGACAATCCTACCTTTGGTTGACCTCGAGCTAGTTTTATTACCAGTATTCAAAGTGAAATTGAAAGTCGTTTTTTTGCAAGAATCAATTAAAGGGGAAAACAATTTACATATAATATTATATTATGGTTTATATATGTACAAGGCTTTAAAGCTAATAAGAAAAATGTAAAACGCAACTAACTTCGCAACTAGAAGAGTTACTGACCCAGGAATCGAATAATGATTCGGCCAATATTTAATTTTGCTATTGAAGTGTCAAAGTTATTTACAGTCACTCTGTTGTTGACTTTTGTCAAGTCTTTAACGATCATTTTCTGAAATCGTGAATTTTATTCCACTGATGTTTCCAAATCAATATTCATCCTTGATCAAAAGTTGGAGATTTTTAAAAAACGTTGTTTTGCCTGAATCATGGAGGACCTTTGCTATTTCTGCAACTATAAATATTAGCGGCTTGTGAAAAAATCGTCATAAAAAGATATTGATTAGGTGAATGAAAATTTGCAATTTCAGAAAATGGCCTCCAAATGCTTGACAGAAGTCAAATAATACCAAAAATGAATGTTGCCTGAATAACCTATACTCAATTGCTGGGTTAATAACTCTTCGAGTTGCGAAGTTATTTGCGTTTTTACATCTTTCTTATTAGTTACATAGCCATTTAGAGGAGTAATTTCGAGTCAAAATAGTTAAGCTTGATCAACATCTAAGATGCCTATTGTCTACTTACGTGCCGAGGAGTACATCAAACAATGTTCATATGGACAATAGGCTTCTTCTGTGAATTCTTCCTCATTGTCATGGACTACTCCAAATGTATGAAGTAACTCATGAGCAAAAGCTGTTGAAAAAGTATAATCACTATCGCTATCTCTTACAACAGTTCGTCCCAACATCGGATTGCAAGCTATGTTAAGATTTGTTACTCCGAGCCGATCACAATTATTATTGCATGGAGCTGTAATTCTCACAATTACATCATAATTGCCAAGTGTTTCATGGTTTTCTATGATATATTCTCTGAATTTAACCAGCAACGTGTCGGCATCATATTTGTAGGTCTTTGCTTCATCACATTGACCTGGCAAACTTTTAATCACAGTAAGTATTGCAAAAATATTCATTTGTGTTAGCAGCTGAATTGCCCTTTTAAAAATGTTTACTAATTCATGCTCTTTAGCGTAATATTTAAATTCAGCCGTACAATCAATTGCAATTCCTACTCTAACGTATCTTGGAGTGGACATCAAAAACTTTGGATCAAAAAGATGATTCAACGATGCATCATGAACTCTTATTATATTTTCCGGTTCCAGTCCATCGAATGTATCTATTGGTATAATATCTCGAATATAACATTGAGACGATTGAATTTGATAGCATTCTTTTGTTTCATTGAACTCAATTAACCAACTATCATTATGAATAATCAAACAAATGACAAGAGTTGAGTTTTTCAATGAATAAGAACAAGTGTTAACTCTGACGCGATGTGATGTTCCGTTCATTTTCCCAGTAAAAATACAATCAGTACCATTGGCCTCGATAAGATAATATTTACTAGTAGCTGGTTCAAGTTGAAATGTTAAATTACCATGAAAAGGAGATGCAATTAGTAATACCTTTGGATCAACACAAATATCACTATTATTTTTGGTACAGATTAATAGAGGATTCGGAATACACTGGGTAATGTTTTGGTTAGCATCCACATCTAATCCATAGATATTGCAGATAAACAGTAGACTTACTATTAACACTGGTTGGATTTGCATTCTTTGATTATCTTATTTAAATATGAATTATCAATCTAGATGGGAATTGCGTTTACAGTTGAAAGGTCAGTCATGTTTAAAGTTGTTAAAACATGTTATATGCTTGTGATGAACATTATTAGCGTTCTGGAAGCTTATGTTGGACAAATGTCCAAGGATAATTATTTTCAATCAAGACATATTATTGTAGTTATCTTTTGTTATGAATCTGTCAATATCCAAATGTGCTTTCATTTGCCCCGCGTTTATTTAAAAATACATGTAACATTGGTATTTTGGTTAGACTTTGATTATTGAAAAAAGGCGAAAAAAAATCAATTATTGTCATCCTTTTTACAATTGCTGTGAATTGAATCAATTTAATTAAACGTTGAATGTATCGAGGTATGGGCCAAACTTAATCAATAATTGAGGAGTAGGGAAAAACATTTGTTTCTAACACAGAGAAAACTCCAATCTAAATAATTTTAATGAAACCTTTTTTCAATCCCAGTTTACTCAAAAGGGTCTAAGAGAATTGAACAATTTTTCAAAATATTCACTTATTTTCTTTCATATATTGATTAGCTCTTCTTAATCTACCATTTCTAGAGATAGTTAATCAATGAGAACCTCGACAATACCCAGTTCGCCAATTCTTTTCTCTTTAACATCAAAACATGGTCAAATTTGTTTACCCAATTCAGTTAATCGCCGACCCAATCGACCAAGACCTATCAATTTTCCATTCAACAATTCAACCCGAAACATTAACCGTGGCCGTAGTCCCATATCATTAAAACCAGACAATACTCAACCAAAAAACGGTAATAATTCATCTTTCAATTCCAGGAGACGATTACCTCGAGGTCTTTCATTGCGGGAATTTATTCAAGGATTTCGCATGTTTATCTCTGGTGATGTCGTTGGACTTTTCAATTCAACCGGACTGTTAACTGGTTTAGGAGTAAGTTCATTGGTAATGTATTTCATCTACAAATGTCAGCTTTCTCATATTAAATCTTTGTATTAATTTCAGGAATCAGGATCGTTTATTGATACTGCAATCATTCAATTGGCCAAAATATATGGCATTAATATAAAATCCAGTGATGACTTGATTCCAGCTTTGTTTCTTAAAGGATTTGCTGACATTACGGTGAGTTAATCACGATTAATGAAGCACATTTCATGTTATCTCATCTCTCTATTTATCTAATTAAAAGGGTTGTAGATTTTGGGTCAGTCTAGCGTTCAAATGGATCAGTTGCATTGGAAGCCACATTGAGAAATATCACATTTTGAATGGAATGTGCCTATTGTACTGCACCTTGGGTTCGATCCGTACTTAGAGTAAATTCATCGTCAGAGAACGAAGGATCGAAGTGAATCCCCTTGGTATATTAGACTTATTACAGACATGTTAGCTGATTTAAGTCGTCCAGAGGGGAAAAAGGAGAAAAAGCCATCCAGAACGGAAAATAATACAATACTAAATTTACATGATAAAGAAAAGAAAGACAGAGAAACAGATAAACACAATTATATTTATTATTTATTAGCTTGTATCCAAATCCATGTTGACGTCACCACAACCATTACAATTAATTGAATTGTAGTTTCAAAGTATCGAAACAAGGCTGTCCAATTCGATGAAGTTATTGGGGAGAAAGAGCAATCAGGCGATTTATCTTTTGGATTATTACAAATACAAGTTCCTTGGTTAGTACATTTACCTCGATTTTGGCAATTGATTGGACATGGTTTCGTCTCAATAAATTTTGGCACTGGAATACATTCTTGATTGAGACACATTTTATTTGGAGCACAAGGCGCACCATCAGGTACTAAACCTAAATCGGTTTCGTTACGTCGGAAGGATCTGGAGATACGGACACCTCGACAGGACGCACTTCCGGATCGGATTACCGTCCTAGCATATGCTTGTCTAATTGTGCTTCTAAAGCTGCCGCTGTCAGTGCATAGTAATCGGCCACATTTGACGTCTTTCTTTTTACATTTCGTAGCTTTGCCGTCGAAAATTTCAAAATATTTACTTGGTGGACCACAATTAAAAACTTCATCCCCCACCGTATTTTTTTCATAACACGAATCTGGAGCAGGCTCAGAATTTTCGAAAATTTTATCACAGGAAAGATGATAACTGCCACATTTACCATTAAAACAGTGACCCTGACCGTATTCACAACTCCAACCATCGTGCACATGAAGATCAGGAGGACAGAATTGTGATGATCCGTCACATCTTTCTTCTATATCACAATCACTTTTTGCTGGACGGCAAACATGATTATCTGTTGACTTGTAGAGCTCACAAGTTTCAAAATTACAACAAGGTCCGTGTCCACACTTGGCTTCTTCTAAAAGTAAACAAGTTGATGGATTGCAACATTTTGAACAATGTTTCACATCCAAACAATCGCACTGTTCGTTGCCGTTTAAAGAGTAATCCCCACAATATTCGCCTAACTCTGGTTTATCTAAAAAGCAATCAAGATAACCCAATTTAATAGAAGCTTCCACTTGTGAAATTGTGAATGGTGACAATCCTACTTCCGGTTGACCTCGGGCTAGTTTAATTACAAGTATTCAAAATGAAGTGAAAGTCGTTTTTTTGTAAGAATCAATTAAAGGGGAAAACAATTTTAATATAATATTATGCAAGATGCTGTAAAGCTTATGCGAAAGATGTAAAACGATGTGATGTAATAGATGTCATAACGAGAGTCGAGTAATGGTGATTCGGGACATTCATTTTTGCTATTGAAGTGTCAAAGTTATCCACAGTCACTCTGTTATTTGGCTTTTGTCAAGTGTTTATCAAGTATGTCAAGTATTATAATCATATCATAAAAATTTGAAATTTCAGAAAATGGCCTCCAAATGCTTGACAGAAGTCAAATAACAAGAAAATGAATGTTGCCTGAATCACCTATCAATACGTTAATAACCCTTCTAACAAGGGAAGGTCATGAATTGTAAAATCGATATTGAGATTTTATAATTCATGACCTTCCCTTGTAAGTTGCGAAGTTATTTGCGTTTACATCTTCCAAATTAGATGACTAGCCATTTGGACTCAAAATAGTTAAACTCGATATACATTTGAAATGACTTACGTGACGAAGAGTACATCACACAATATGCATAGGGACAATGAGCTTTTTCTGCCATTTCTTCATCATCGTCATGGACTACTCCGAATGTATGAAGTACCTCATGAGCAAAAGTTGAGGCAAATAAATAATCATCGCCATCTCTTACAACAGCATCTCCCAAACTCGGATCGCATCCTATACCAACACCAGCTAATCCAAGCGCATTACACTTGCATGGAGCTGTGATTCTTACAATTACATCATATTTGCCAAGTGTGTCATGCTTGGCTCTTATATATTCTCTGAATTTGCTCAGCAACGTGCCAATATCAGCATTGTAGGTTCTTGATTCATTACACTTATCCAACGTATCAAACCTTTCAATCACAGTAAGTATTGAAAAAATATTCATTTGTGTTAGCAACTGAGTTGCCCTTTTAAAAATTTTATATATTTCTTGATTTGGAGTGCTAAATTTTTTTGTCATGCAATCAATTACAATTCCTACTTCAACGTATCTTGGAGTGGACATCAAAAACTTTGGATCAAATAGATGATTTGACGATACGAAACCAACTCTTAATATATTTTCCGGTTTGGGTCCATCGTATGTATCTATCGGTATAATTCCTCCAATATAACATTGAGACAATTGAATTTGATAGCATTCTTTTGTTTCATTGAACTCAATTAACCAACTATCATTATTAATCATAAAACAAATGACAAGAGTTGAGTTTTTCAATGCATAAGAACAAGTGTTAACTCTGACACGATGTGATGTTCCGTTCATTTTCCCAGTAAAAATACATTCAGTACCATTGGCCTCGATAAGATAATATTTACTAGTAGCTGGTTCAAGTTGAAATGTTAAATTACCATGAAAAGGAGATGCAATTAGTAATACCTTTGGATCAACACAAATATCACTATTATTTTTGGTACATATTAATAGAGGATTCGGAATACACTGGGTAATGTTTTGATTAGCATCCACATCTAATCCATTGAAATTGCAGATAAACAGTAGACTTACTATAAACACTGGTTGGATTTGCATTATTTGATTATATTATTTAAATATGAATTATCAATCTAGATGGAATTTACTCTTACAGTTGAAAGGTCAGTCATGTTTAAAGTTGTTAAAACATGTTATATGATTGTGTTGAACATTGTTAGCGTTGAAAAGATGAAATCTTGTTTGGATCAAATGACCAGGATAATTATTGTCAATCAAGACATATTATTGTTGTCATCTTTTGTCATGAATCTTTCAATATCCAAATTTGCTTTCATTTAGCGCTGTTATTTAAAAATACATTTATCATTGATTTTTGGTTAGACTTTGCTAATTGAAAAAGGTGACAAAAAATCAAAGTCAATGCTGTGAATTTAATCAATTTAATAAAACATTGAATTGACCAAGGTATGGACCAAACTTAATCAATAATTGAGAAGTAGGGATTAACATTTGTTTCAAACACAGAGATTTCAATTATTCAGATTGAAGTTTTCAATCAATCAGTTATCAATTTGAAGATTGAAGTTGTTGAATTTTCAATTCAACCGGACTGTTAACTGGTTTAGGAGTAAGTTCATTGGTAATGTATTTCATCTACAAATTTCATCTTTCTCATATTAAATCTTTGTATTAATTTCAGGAATCAGATCGTTTATTGATACTGCAATCATTCAATTGGCCAAAATATATGGTATTAATATAAAATCCAGTGATGACTTGATTCCAGCTTTGTTTCTTAAAGGATTTGCTGACATTACGGTGAGTTAATCAAGATCAATGAAGCACATTTCATGTCATGTAGATTTGGCTCAGTCTATCGTTCAAATGGATCAGTTGCATTGGAAGCCACATTGCGAAATATAACTGATCTTATATTGGTAAGTATCTTAATCTAATGAATAAAAAGATTTAAATTGATTTTGATGTTAAGAGATTGATTAATCTTTTGCTCACTTCTTTTATTCAAGAATTCAGGTTGCATTTGGAAACTTCCCAGATTATTCAGCTTATTTCAAAACTCATCAGAACGTCTTTTGAATGGATTGTCCTCTTGTACTGCACCTTGGGTTCGATCCGTGCTAAGAGTAAATTCATCGTCAGAGAAGGACTTTGATCAAAGTGAATCCCCTTGGTATATATTATTAGACTTATTACAATCATGGTTGGCTGATTTAAGTCGTCATCACTTATCTGTTGCTCGACAATTGGGTCACCAAAGCTCAGATTTGATTGTAAGCTGTCATTTTGCTGGTAAAAAATGTTATCCCATTGAATTTGAGTCAATCTTTTCAAGCTCTTATGGCAACTGTTACACTTATAACATGGCTGAATCTTTAATATCCAGTGCAACCTTATCTAAACCATCTGATCAGAAACTCTCTGGATTCACTGGACCTAAATTTGGACTTGAATTGGTTTTAAATTTAGAGGTTGATCAATATATGCCAACATCAAGAGAAACAGGAGCAAAAATTGTTATCCATGATCGCTCTCAAAAGGCTGATCCTGATCAAGATGCAGTTCATGTTCCTCCAGGTAATCAAGGAAATATTTAATAATGAAATGCATTAAAATTAAAATCAATTAATTTAAGTCAAGAGAGAAATGCTATCAAATCTAACTAACCAATCTTATACCTCTATCTTACAAGTCTTGTTAGTCGATCGAGTCTTATCAATTGATGTATGGAAACTGAATGTAGATGACCAAGAAAAGAAAGACAGAGGAACAGATAAACACAATTATATTTATTATTTATTAAAATGTCTCCAAATCCATGTTGACGTCAACACAATCATTACAATTAATTGAATTGTAGTTTCAAAGTATCGAAACAAGACTTGCCAACTCGATGAAGTTACCGGGGAGAAAGAGCAATCAGGCGATTTATCTTTTGGATTATTACAAATACAATTTCCTTGGTTAGTACATTTACCTCGATTTTGGCAATTGATTGGACATGGTTTCGTCTCAATAACTTTTGACACTGGAATGCATTCTTGGTTGAGACACATTTTATTTGGAGCACAAGGTGCACCATCAGGTACTAAACCTAAATCGGTTGCGTTACGTTTGAAGGTTCTGGGTATAAGGATACCTCGACAGGACGCACTTTCAAAGTCGATTATAACATTTATATATGCTTGTTTAATTGAGTTTCTTAATCTGCTGCTGTCAGTGCATAGTAATCGGCCACATTTGACATCTTCCTTTTTACATTTTTTTGCTTTGCCGTCGAAGGGATGAAAATAATCAGTTGGTGGACCACAATTAAAATAAAGTGTGCCCACTGCATTTTTTTCATAACACGAATCTGGAGCAGGCTCAGAATTTTCGAAAATTTTATCACAGGAAAGATGATAACTACCACATTTACCATTAAAACAGTGACCCTCACCGTATTCACAACTCCAACCATCGTGCAAATGAAGATCAGGAGGACAGAATTGTGAGGATCCGTCACATCTTTCTTCTATATCACAATCACTTTTTGCTGGACGGCATACATGATTATCTGTTGACTTGTAGAGCTCGCAAGTTTCAAAATTACAACAAGGTCCATGTCCACACTTGGCTCCTTCTAAAAGTAAACAAGTTGATGGATTGCAACATTTTGAACAATGTTTTACATCCGCACAATCACACTGTTCGTTGCCGTTTAAAGAGTAATCGCCACAATATTCGCCTAGCTCTGGTTTATCTAAAAAGCAATCAAGATAACCCAATAAAATAGAAGCTTCCACCTGTGAAATTGTGAATGGTGACAATCCTACCTCTGGTTGACCTCGAGCTAGTTTTATTAAAGTATTCAAAGTGAAGTGAAAGTTGTTTTTTGTAAGAATCAATTTAAGAAAAAATTTCTGAACTTGATAAACATTTGAGATGTCTATTGTCTACTTACACGGTGTCGTGGAGTACATCAAACAAAATGCATATGGACAATGAGCTTCTTCTGCCAGTTCTTGATCATTGTCATGGACTACTCCAAATGTATGAAGTAACTCATGAGCAAAAGTTATTGAAAAAGTATAATCATTGTTATCTCTTACAACAGCATGTCCCAACATCGGAGTGCAAGCTATAAAAAGATTAGTTACTCCAATCTTGCTACAGTTGCATGGAGCTGTGATTCTTACAATTACATCATATTTGCCAAATGTTTCATGGTTTTCTATGATATATTCTCTGAATTTGCTCAGCAACATGCCAGCATCATCATTGTAGATTCTTGATTCATTACATTGGTTTGCCGTGTCAAGCTTTTTAATCACAGTAAGTATTGCAAAAATATTCATTTGTGTTAGCAACTGCGTTGCCTTTTTAAAAATGTTATATATTTCATGATTTGGAGTGACATATTTTTTTGTCATGCAATCAATTGCTATTCCTACTTCAACGTATCTTGGAGTGGACATTAAAAACTTTGGATCAAAAAGATGATTTGACGATGGATAACCAACTCTTAATATATTTTCCGGTTTGAGCCCATCGTATGTATCTATCGGTATAATATCTCGAATAGAGCATTGAGATAATCGAATTTGATAGCATTCTTTTGTTTCATTGAACTCAATTAACCAACTATCATTATGAATAATCAAACAAGTGACAAGAGTTGAGTTTTTCAATGAATAAGAACAAATGTTAACTCTGACACGATTTGATGTTCCGTTCATTTTGCCAGTAAAAATACAATCAGTACCATTGGCCTCGATGAGATAATATTCACTTGTAGCTGGTTCAAGTTGAAATGTTAAATTACCATGAAAAGGAGATGCAATTAGCAATGCCTTTGGATCAACACAAATATCACTATCATTTTTGGTGCATATTAATAGAGGAGTCGGAATACATTGGGAAATGTTTTGATTAGCATCCACATCTGATCCATAGATATTGCATATAAACAGTAGACTTACTATTAACACTGGTTGCATTAGCATTATTTGATTATCTCATTTAAATATGAATTATCAACTAGATGGAAATTACGTTTACAGTTGAAAGGTCAGTCATATTTAAAGTTGTTAAAACATGTTATATGTTTGTGATTAACATTATTAGCGTTCTGGAAGCTTATGTTGGACAAATGTCCAAGGATAATTATTTTCAATCAAGACATATTATTGTAGTCATCTTTTGTTATGAATCTGTCAATATCCAAATGTGCTTTCATTTAATCCGCGTTTATTTAAAAATACATTTATCATTGATATTTTGGTTAGACTTTGTTAATTAAAAAAAGGTGAAGATTGAAAAAGGTGGCAAAAATTAATGACTGTTATGCTTTTTTCAATTGCAGTCAGTTTAACCATTTTAATGAAACAGAATTGACCAAGGTATCGGCCAAACTTAATCAATAATTGAAAAGTAGAGAATAACAATTGTTTCTATTAGGGTGTCCGGCTCAATGTGTCATAGTTATAAATGTGAATATTTTATTGATGAGCGAACCAATGCAGCCAAATCTTTTGAAAATCGTATAAATAGAGATTCAGAATTCTTTTGACACTTCATTTATTATTTTCCGTTTTCTAATTCGAAATTTATCGAAAAAATGAAATTTTATGCGGCTCAAAATCTTATTAAAAACCAAGGATTCCCCCTGTGATTTGCTAGCGATAGAAACTTTTTTAATTGAACATTTCATGAAAACTTGAAGGTCAGAGATAAATTGTGAAAAGTGATTTACAATCAACCCAAATACTATAATTAAATGGAATAAAATTGCAAAATTTTCATTGTTATCGAACGCTATATGGCCACAAAGTTCGAAATTTATATATTGGTCTTATATATATATCTTATATTGGTAAGTATTGTAATAAGTTAATTCAATGTATAAAAAGATTTTTATTGACTTAAAATGATGATGGAAACTAGCTGTACATGATAAAGAAAAGAAAGACAGAGGAACAGATAAAAACAATTATATTTATTATTTATTAAAATGTCTCCAAATCCATGTTGACGTCAACACAATCATTACAATTAATTGAATTGTAGTTTCAAAGTATCGAAACAAGGCTGTCCAATTCGATGAAGTTATTGGGGAGAAAGAGCAATCGGGCGATTTATCTTTTGGATTATTACAAATACAAGTTCCTTGGTTAGTACATTTGCCTCGATTTTGGCAATTGAGTGGACAAGGTTTCGTCTCAATAACTTTTGACACTGGAATACATTCTTGGTTGAGGCACATTTTATTTGGAGCACAAGGCGCACCATCAGGTACTAAACCTAAATCAGTTGCGTTGCGTTGGAAGGTTCTGTAAATATAGATACCTAGACAGGGCGCACTTTTAAATCCGAAGGCATTCCATTTATATGCTTGTAGAAATGAGTTTCTTAATGTGCCGCTGCCAGTGCATAGTAATCGGCCACATTTGACATCTTTCTTTTTACATTTCGTTGCGTTGCCGTCGAAAGTTTCAAAATATTTACTTGGTGGACCACAATTAAAAACAAGATTACCCGCACGATTTTTTTCATAACACGTATCTGGAGCAGGCTCAGAATTTTCGAAAATTTTATCACAGGAAAGATGATAACTGCCACATTTACCATTAAAACAGTGACCCTGACCGTATTCACAACTCCAACCATCGTGCACATGAAGATCAGGAGGACAGAATTGCGATAATCCGTCACATTTTTCTTCTATATCACAATCACTGGTTGCTGGACGGCATACATGATTATCTGTTGACTTGTAGAGCTCGCAAGTTTCAAAATTACAGCAAGGTCCGTGTCCACACTTGGCTCCTTCTAAAAGTGAACAAGTTGATGGATTGCAACATTTTGAACAATGTTTTACATCCAAACAATCGCACTGTTCGTTGCCATTTAAAGAGTAATCGCCACAATATTCGCCTAACTCTGGTTTATCTAAAAAGCAATCAAGATAACCCGATAAAATAGAAGCTTCCACCTGTGAAATCGTGAATGGTGACAATCCTACCTCTGGTTGACCTCGAGCTAGTTTTATTAAAGTATTCAAAGTGAAGTGAAAGTCGTTTTTTTTGTAAGAACCAATTTAAGAGAAAACAATTTATTATAATATTATGTAAGATGCTTTAAAGCTTATGCAAAAGATGTAATGTCATAGATGTAGTAACTTCGTAACTAAAGATTTATCGATCCAGAAATCGAGTAATGGTGACTCGGGTAACATTCATTTTTGCTGTTGAAGTTATTCACAGTCGCTCTGTTGTCAAGTTTTCAAAGGCCACTTTGAAATTCATCTGGTGATCTGAAAATTCCAGAAAATGGCCTCCAAATGCTTGACAGAAGTCAAATAACAAAAAAAAATGAATCACCTATTCTCGATTGGTCGATAACTCTTCTAGTTGCGAAGTTATTTGTGTTTTGAATCCTCCATGTTAGCTGAATAGCCATTAGGAGAAATGATTCGGAGTCAAAATAGTTAAACTTGATCAACAATTGAGATATCTATTGTCTACTTACGTACCGAGGCGTACATCACACAGAATGCATATGGACAATGAGCTTTTTCTGCCAGTTGTTCACTATTGTCATGGTGCACTCCAAATGTATGAAGTAACTCATGAGCAAAAACTATTGAAAAAGTATAATCATTGTTATCTCTTACAACAGCATGTCCCATACTTGGATCGCATGCTATATTAACACCAGCTAATCCAAGCTCCTTACACTTGCATGGAGCTGCGATTCTTATGATCACATCAAATTTGCCAAAAGTGTCATGCTTTTCTTTGGTATATTCTCTAAATTTGATGAGCAACATTGCAATATCATCATTGTGGGTTCTTGATTCATTACACTTGTCTAACGTGTCAAACCTTTCAATCACAGTAAGTATTGAAAAAATATTCATTTGTGTTAGCAACTGAGTTGCCCTTTTAAAAATTTTATATATTTCATGATTTGGAGTGCTAAATTTTTTTGTCATGCAATCAATTACAATTCCTACTTCAACGTATCTTGGAGTGGACATCAAAAACTTTGGATCAAAAAGATGATTTAACGATGCATCATGAACTCTTATTATATTTTCCGGTTCCAGTCCATCGAATGTATCTATCGGTATAATATTTCGAATAGAGCATTGAGACAATTGAATTTGATAGCATTCTGCTGTTTCATTGAACTCAATTAACCAACTATCATTATTAATCATCAAACAAATGACAAGAGTTGAGTTTTTCAATGAATAAGAGCAAATGTTAACTCTGACGCGATTTGATGTTCCGTTCATTTTCCCAGTAAAAATACAATCAGTACCATTGGCCTCGATGAGATAATATTCACTTGTAGCTGGTTCAAGTTGAAATGTTAAATTACCATGAAAAGGAGATGCAATTAGCAATACTTTTGGATCAACACAAATATCACTATCATTTTTGGTGCATATTAATAGAGGAGTCGGAATACACTGGGTAATGTTTTGATTAGCATCCACATCTAATCCATTGATATTGCAGATAAACAGTAGACTTACTATTAACACTGGTTGCATTTGCATTCTTTGATTATATTATATTAAATATAAATTATCAATCTAGATGGAAATTACGCTTACAGTTGAAAGGTCAGTCATATATTGTGATAAACATTATTAGCTTTGGAAAGATGAAATCTTGTTTGGATCAAATGGCCAAGGATAATTATAGTCAATCAAGACATATTATTGTAGTCATTTTTCGTTATGAATCTGTCAATATCCAAATGTGTTTCATTTACCCCGCGTTTATTTAAAAATACATTTATCATTGATATTTTGGTTAGACTTTTTTCATTGAAAAAAGGTGGCTAAAATTAATGACTGTTATGCTTTTTTCAATTGCAGTGAATTTAATCAATTTAATTGAATTGACCAAGGTATGGACCAAACTTGATCAATAATTGAGAAATAGTCAATAACATTTGTTTCAAACACAGAGATTAGTTTGATTGAAAACTTCAATCTGAATTATTTTAATGAAACCTTTGTCCAATCCGAGTTTACTCAAAAGAGTCTAAGAAAATTGAACAAATTTCTTGAATGTTTCATTTGTTTTTTATATATTGATCAGCTCTTCTAATTCACTATTTCTAGAGATGATTAATCAGTTAGTTGAACTATTTAGAACCTCAACGATACCAGGTTTTCCAGTCCTTTTCTCGTTAACATCAAAACCTCGTCAATATCTTTGGATACTTGTCTTGATTGTTTTCCTTGGACTAACCACCAATTCATTGATACAAATTGTATTAGAGTTTCTTTCCTTTCCTATCATTGTTAATGTTTTAGTCGCTGATTCCAGAGTATTACCCTTTCCTGCAGTTACAATTTGCAATCTTAATCCAGTCCATCGATCACGATTTTGTGCCTACCAAGATGAAAATATCAATAAGCCTGTTGACGTTGAAAGTATACTTTGTGCAAATCTGGATAAAATGTTGGATCTTTGTGAGATTTCAAGCTTTCTCAATGAATTGCTCGATCAAGGAAGAGAAATTTGTTTACCCAATTCAGTTAATCGCCGACCTAATCGACCAAGACCTATCAATTTTCCATTCAACAATTCAACCCGAAACATTAACCGTGGCCGTAGTCCCATATCATTAAGAACAGACAAAATTCAACCAAAAGTCGGTAATAATTCATCTTTCAATTCCAGAAGACGATTACCTCGAGGTCTTTCATTACGGGAATTTATTCAAGGATTTCGCATGTTTATCTCTGGTGATGTCGTTGGACTTTTCAATTCAACCGGGCTGTTAACTGGTTTAGGAGTAAGTTCATTGGTAATGTACAAATTTCATCTACAAATTTCAGCCTTCTCATATTAAATCTTTGTATCAATTTCAGGAATCAGGATCGTTTATTGATACTGCAATCATTCAATTGGCCAAAATATATGGCATTAATATAAAATCCAGTGATGACTTGATTCCAGCTTTGTTTCTTAAAGGATTTGCTGATATTACGGTGAGTTAAACAAGATTAATGAAGCACATTTCATGTTATCTCATCTCAATATTTATGCCATTAAAAGGGTTGTAGATTTGGTTCAGTCTATCGTTCAAATGGATCAGTTGCATTGGAAGCCACATTACGAAATATAACTGATCTTATATTGGTAAGTATCTTAATCTAATTAATAAAAAGATTTAAATTGATTTTGATGTTAAGAGATTGATTAATCTTTTGATGACTTTGTTTCATTCAAGAATTCAGGTTGCATTTGGAAACTTCCCAGATTATTCAGCTTATTTCAAAACTCATCAGAACGCCTTTTGAATGGATTGTCCTCTTGTACTGCACCTTGGGTTCGATCCGTGCTTAGAGTAAATTCATCGTCAGAGAAGGACTTTGATCAAAGTGAATCCCCTTGGTATATATTATTAGACTTATTACAATCATGGTTAGCTGATTTAAGTCGTCATCACTTATCTGTTGCTCGACAATTGGGTCACCAAAGTTCAGATTTGATTGTAAGCTGCCATTTTGCTGGAAAAAAATGTTATCCCATTGAATTTGAGTCAATCTTTTCAAGCTCATATGGCAACTGTTACACTTATAACATGGCTGAATCTTTAATCTCCAGTGCAACCTTATCCAAACCATCTGATCAGAAACTGTCTGGATTCACTGGACCTAAATTTGGACTTGAATTGGTTTTAAATTTAGAGGTTGATCAATATATGCCAACATCAAGAGAAACAGGAGCAAAAATTGTTATCCATGATCGCTCTCAAAAGGCTGATCCTGATCAAGATGCAGTTCATGTTCCTCCAGGTAATCAAGAAAATCTTTAATAATGAAATCTCATCTGTTGCTATCATAATACCAATTTTAACCCGATTTTTATTTCTTATTTAAAAAGGTGTTGTCACTTACGTTGGGATCCAGTTGATCAATATAACTCGACTTCCAGCTCCATATCGAGATAAGTGTTCAGATGATTGGGTAGAGGGATGGGTCAAAGAATGGGCTATGACCGTTGATCATGGTCCATATACATCACAGTTTTGCCTTAAATTATGTCTCCAAACATACACATTGAAAGAGTGCAACTGTTGGACTGTTTCAGCTCCTCCACCTTATAACTCGACTCAACCTCAATGTGATTTACGGAAGAATCCAGGTTAATTAAAATCAACAGAGAAATGCTCTAAAATCTAACTAACCACTCTTATATCTCTATCTTAATCAGTTCAAGTTTCCTGTGTGGAAAGAGTACGGGAAAAATATTACGCTGGTCAGTTGATTTGCAATTGTCCACCAAGATGCAAGTGAGTATTTAATATTTGTTTCTTTCACATTTAAAAGCTTCTAATTGAAAAATCTTTTTTTTGTCAAGTGAAAAAGTGTATGAAAAGTTCATCTCAACTGGTGTTGAAGCTGCTCAATGTTCAGCTTTATCATCTGGAACGGAAGAATCCTCACTTGATCACAAGTATAATCTTTAATTTTCTAACATCATGCAATGTGCATGTGAAAAGCTTAATTTTAATTAACTTTTCTTAAATAATCAAGCAGAGAAAATATCGCTAAAGTAATCATCTATTACCAAACATTGAGCTTTACTGAAATCACTCAAGACGTCAAATATACGGTAAGTAAAGATTAATGTTTAGCTGATCAACAATCTAATCATTTATTATCATTTCAATTTCTAGTGGTCGAGCATAATTGGTGCAGTTGGTGGAATCCTTGGTGCCTATTTGGGTTTCAGTTTTATCGCAATTTATGAATTTTTCGAGATTCTCACTGTGGCTTTGATAAGATTGATATTTCCACCCAAGACTTTTACCACTAAAATTAAGACACGAATCAATTGATTGATCAAATTATGGCCATTCAACTCTTGGATAATTTCAAAGCACTACAAGTCAACAGTTCATCCATTTATTTGATAATCACAATTATCCTGATTGCCTCGAAATAAGGTTAAACAATGGAAATCTCAATGGATCAATAAATCGCTACTGTAAAAGTTACATTACTGTAAAAGTGTAACCTATTGATTAATCCAATATTTCTTAGCACAACACAATTACTTTGATGTTAATAGTGACAAAATTTTGTCCCAATTTACATTAACATGAGCATTAATTACCAATAATATCTTCGGTATCATTGCCATTCATTTCACCATTAGTAAGCCAACATCAACTCTGTTGGGTAAACTGGTCAACCTTATTTTCAATCATTTAAAATGTTAATTGTCCATACTGTACAAACCTAAATTGTTGACAATGCTAATCAGTTATTTGTTTTTACTGTTTGGCTTACAATTATCGAAACCAGAATCTAAATGGAATCGGCTGTTTTTAATAATCAACTTAATCAACTCGCTCATTACCTTTGGATTGACTATTCTTACTTGCAACTATTTTCATTATACTTGTATCAATGGTTAGCTTTACCGTCATCATCGGACATTATCAACAGAAGGATAAAGAGATAATTAAGCGCATCACAAGATTGATTTGTATTGAAACTACTAGATCAGAATCAATTGAACGATTAACAGCTTTTCTCACCGAAATTCAACTTTTCCCAACAATCAAATTAACTTTGGCTCACTGGATTCCATTCAATTGTTGCTCTATCATCTGTTTTTTACTTTTAATTGTAAACTGTTTAGCTCTTTGGCTTTTTCTTACTCCATATGGTCGGATTATTATCGGTTTTACAACTTGAAATGGACAGTAAATCAATGTTTAAACTTAAATGAAAATTGTCATTTTATTTTTTTAAGCTAATGTTTGCAATCAATGTAAATTGCCATTTTTTGTTAAATAAATTTAGGCAAGAAGTGGGTAGGTTGGGCTGGTTGTCACTCCACAGTTGTTATTTTTCTGGGCCATCAAGATGTAACCATCATTACCCCAATAAGTTGACCATGAGTTCTTGATTAGCCAATAACGTTGACCATAGAGTGTTCCGTAACCGACGGCAAGAACTTGGTGATCTAAATCATCTGAAGTATTTCCACAGTTTTCATCATAATAAACACCATGAGAATAGAAGGAGAAAGTCTTTTGTGAGGCGTCAATTGCAACAGTAACAGGTCCATGCTCAAATAGAGCCAGTTCAAGAGCTTCAGCACTACCAGAAGTAACATTGACGAATCCGGTGAGCTTAACGACTTTTGGTACTTTTGAGTCATGGCATTTTCCATCTTGACCTAAATATGCACCATAATCTTCGTCAAGAGAGATTCCTCCAGCTCTTTTAATGTAAGCATAAGCTCTGAAGTCTTCTCCTCCATCACAACCATTGTCTCCTTGATCCCAGCTACAATCAACTAATTGTTGCTCCGACAAACGAACCAAATGACCAGTTTTGACAAAATGAACACCTTCAATGGTACCAATGGTTCCAAAAGACCAACAAGATCCACAAACAGCTTGATCTTTAACTGGAGTTACAGCACCAGCGATTCGCCAATCGAGAACTGGAGGACGTTGCTTGCTTTCTGGAAGAGCAAATGGACTTCCTCCATTATATCCCTTGGATCGAAGTCTTCCTCTCATGTATCTCAATTCAGAATCCTCAAAATCAGCTAGATGATTAACCTTTAACTTGTAATGAATGTTACGACGATTGTGGCTTTCAATGAAACGATGATTGTGTCGGAATTGATTTCGGCGTTTCTCTTCAGTCAAATTATTTTCATAGTTTTTGTTGTGAGCTGATTTGAATAGATTGAAAGCTCTGCTTACTTGAGCTTCCCGAGTAGCTTCATCATTGACAAATTCAGACATTGGGTTGTGTAAATGACGCACTTTACCAGCACCAGGTCCAGGGAAACTTCCACAGGTCATATTAAGAGTTACCTCAAATACTTCAGCTGATACAGATCTAGGTCGATAGTTTTGGTAAGATACTTGATATTTGTCATAATGTGAACCAAAAAGAGAGTTATAACCTTCCATATCATAATGAACTGGAATTGGCGATCCATCGGCTTGATTTCTTTTCATCCAGAAAGTATATTTGCTCTTTTTTTCTCCATTAATCACAATGTTGGTGTATTTTTCACAAATATCACTTCCTTTAAGTTCAGATCCATACTGAGGGCAGGCTTCGTTTCCTTGATAAACAAATGGAGTTAGATCTGGGAAAGCAGATTGTGGTGCAATTGGATCAATTGATGAACCATTAACTTGGAAACAAACTCGTCCAGGATTACCAGCAGCATCCACATTGTAGGCAATTTTGTAGCTTACTCCTTGAACATCATCGTCATCCAAATTGATGTCACCTCTTTGCAGGGTTAAAACCAAATCACCATAATAGTCGATTCGACTTCGGTTAGCTGCACCATCATAGTAGGCTGTAAAAGTTTCATGGATTTCAGCATAAGGAAGAATAATAACACCTTCTACATAATAATTGTCATCAAAGGTAATAGATCGTTGATTGTTGGTTGAAGATGAAACAAAAAATGGAAGGCAAACTAGAAGAAAACAGTGAATCACCAGGTTAAAGAAAGACATGGCTGGTTAATGTTGTCCAATGAGAAAAAAGCAGAAGAATGAGATTTCTTAAATAAGACAACACAGCTCTTAAAGTTGTCTCTTTCCTTTGTCTTTACTCCCTTGTACAGTTTCTCTTAACATTATCTTGATTTAAAACATCTTTTGTTTAAATATTGATGTGTTGATAATTATGTTGGTAATTAACCAACTCATCGAGCATAACTTTTAAGCTTACTTTCATCATTCTAAATGTTACACAAAATAACCTTTGTTTGTCTTGGTTAACTTAAACAATGAACTCTTAAACAGACCATTGTGATCACAAGTTGCAAAGCTACAAAACATGAGAAAAAGCGAGATTTTGCAAAATCTCTTTTGGATCAAGATCTCTTTAGTAATCAAAGTAGTCGATATAATATCAATCATTATTTAACCAGCATCGTAACAACGGTTAATGATCATTAATACTCTGGATAAGTTTATTAATTAACAATGAAGTAAACAAAAAATAACAGATCACAATGTTTCATTATCACTGTCAAGTTGCTTTAAGATGCTTCATTATGATCCATGATCAGATAATAAAAGATCTTTAATGCTGTTTAACAAGAATCACTGTGATATCACTTGAGTAAAACAAAAGAGACTTGAAAAGCAATCACAAGAGCTATTCATAATTAATTAATTGTTTTCCTTTCACCTATCAAATCGACAAATTAACCAACAAGATTAATTTACTTTTCCTCATTTCTAATCCAATGCATTAAACGGTTGATTAACCAACAATTTTCCTTAGAACCTTATTTGTTGATTATTCATGTTTATTTATGATTTTTGTTAATGTTGATAAAATTAACAGGAACTTTGATATAAAACAGGAATTATTTGTCCTGAAATCACCTTCTAGGTTCAATCAGTTCAACATTGAATATTGGTTCAGATGTAAATATGGTACTCAAATTGATTTGAAAATAACAAAAATGGGAATATTTCATTATATCATTTCTCAAATTTGTATCTAATCATATTTAAATACAGATTTCGGAAGATATTGCTACTGTTTGAACCGGAATGTTATCAAGTTATATGATAAACAATAGGGCCGAGGGTTTAGCTTCTTGATACAGTGATTTAAATGCTCAAGTAACATTTTAAAATCAATTAGTTTACATGTAATTGTGGCTGTAATGTGTACATGATTGAAATTGCATCTAAAAATTAAAGTCAAGTTTAACAGTTCAATATCAACTTATTTACAATGAAACTTGAAGATAATCTTAATGAAGTATTATCATCTCCTGGGTAAGTACACAACAAACATATTTAACTTGTCAGATCACTTTTACCAGATTGATTCCAGCCAGTGGAAGATTCTGGTCTTGACCTAATATTATGACAGAGCCATCAAATGACTTTGCATAAAATTACCCAAAAAAGTTGTGAATCAAGATGCTGGTTGGGATTTTTCAATCCTATGTTTTGATACAGCGATAATGATAACAAAACATTGACTGACTTTTAATAAAGAAGTGAATTTACAGTAACACCTTTGAATTCAAGATTTCACACTAAGAATTTCCGATTGCTGTTTACTAGTTTATCTACCATGATGTTATATCCATTGTTACATCTTTCAACCCATCTGAGAATCAATGATAGTTCCTGATGTTTCATCATTTTACCCTTTTCGTACAAAATACAATTTATCGACATTAAAACTTTTCTTTTCCAATAGTCTTACAAGGAAAAGGATAGCGTTCATTGGTATTGGTGTTTTAGTGGCTACAGTTGTATGCATCAGTGTTATTGTTGCTGTTAGTGTAAAGTCTTCATCGCCCAAATCATCTTCAATCTCAATGCGTTACTACAGTAATTATATTTTTAAAAACAAATCAACAAAAAATGATACAAACTGGACTGGGAATTAAACCCACAATAAAAGCTATTGATTGTGAATAAATAAATGAAGATGAAGTTTCGTTGATGCAAATTTATCGACTTGTAAAATGTGAATAACGGCATTTTTTCAAATATAAATATTTTAATCTAAAGTTAGTGTTAGATATTTTTTTGCCTATTTAATTACCATTTAATCTATTAATGTCTGTTTATGGTTACTTAAAACTGATAGCTTTAATTGTGCCTTTAACTCAGTTATTGATGAATCCATTTTCCATGAACAATTTAACATTTGACTTTCATTAGCAGAGAGATTGGGTTCGACTGCAGATGCAATTAAATGGGTTCGTTACAGTTCGCAAAATTTTTCACTGACTGATGCTTTCGCTGGTGGCACTGGTGCCAATGGTGACACAGTTTACGTGTGTCGAGCTGAACATCCATCCAAGACTAGTTATAAAGACGAACTGATTCCAGGGACATTTTTTCCAAGCAATGGTTCATGTGAAGTCCCATATGATGATAAAGCTAATCCTCATTCAGTCTTTGATTTGTTAATTACCAAGAATCCATCTCGACTACTTTGGGCCAACGAGTCAAAAGGCAAATTACAATCAGGAACCATTTCTGGTGGTTACACTGCATATGATGAAGAGCTTTACATTTCACGATTCCGAACCTATGGCTATACGGTTCTGGGTAAAATACATTTGGCTCATATGAAAGCTTCGGGACCAGTTGAAGGATACGAGAGGTACAGTGAAGATTATGATGTTTTATGTTTTGTTGATTATGAACTGTAAATTGTCAATAAATGTTATTAAATGACTTAAAATTGATTTCAATTGTAAATTAAATGAATTTCAGTGACTGGTAATTTACCCATTTTACTTATCAATATTAAAAGATACAACCTAAACACCTTGAAATAAACTTTTGTTACATAAAATCAAACTCGGCAATTTTAATTTTGACATAATCTCGATAGTTCTTTTTAATTTTCATGATATGAGGTCAACAGGTTCAAAAGCGTATCAAAAGTTAGAATAACTCATTTATTAACCTGGTCAGTGATACCATTTAGACCTGTATGAATTATTTTATGCTCAGAAGAAGAGTGCATTTCAGTGAATTTGTGGATTTATAAAATCAATTCTGCTCAAGATATTACACATTTGCATGATTAAGTTTACAGTGTTTTAGTTTACTTTATCTTGGTGGTGAATCACATATGATTTTAACAAAAATAACGCCTAATATTTACTGTTTGATTATATATAATACTTCGTTTAATTTATTTCACCCCTTTAATTGGATTACAATTAAATGCTATAAGAAATGAGTAACAGTTTATATTAATATAACAATCAATACAATCAACTAGACAAGTTATTGTCACTTGTAATGTGTAGTTGATTGAAGGTGAACTTATAAATCACGTTTAGTTGGTCACTAGCAATCTCTTGATAATGGAGTTGGAATCAAATCTTAATGAGACATCATCATCCTGGACAAGGCAAGTACCACGTACCCAACGAACATGATAACTTGTCAGGTCACTTTTATCCAAAATATAAATTCTATTCCAGGCAGTCAAAATTTTGTTGATTCAAATTGAAAACAAAGTTATTGTCTCATTTTGTATCAATTTGTGTTACCAATGTAATGTAATTTTTGATTTTAGATTTTTATAAATATTCAAGAGTCAATGTTTGATGCTTTTATAATTTCATGATTGTAAACTCACAATATACAATTTATTTACTTTGAAATTTCAATCTTTAGTAATCTCACAAAAAAAAGAGTAGCATTCATTGGGACTGGCGTTTTGCTTGCTACAGCTATCAGTATTATTGTTGTCATCAGTGTCAAATCATCGTCGAAGGCGCCGTTAGCTTTAAGTGTATTCAAGGGTAAATATATCTTGAAACTATTATTAAACTAAATTGCGATGATTTGCATATACAGTAAAACCTATCAAAGATTGTGAGAAACACATCTCTTCGATCTAACTGATTTGATTACAATTACGTATTTGACTAATGGTTTCAGGAGTAAGCTTATTAAATGAATAAAAAAGATCCTTAGCATCGAAAATGTTGAGAAGTTTATCCTTTACTCTAAGCTTTCAATCAAATCGGGAGTTCGTGGTTTGATCTTAGCTCGGCTCGCAGCGAGCGAATTTTTTCTGCCATCTCTACTGTATATGAATTTTCATCAGTTACCTGTTAACCTAACAAGCGTCAGCTCATTTTTTAAGAATATATTTTATCTTTAACATTTCTTTACAGATAAGATGAATTTGATCAAAGATGAAATTAAATGGATTAGTTATAGCACTGACAATTATTCACTGACTGATGCTTTACCTGGCAGCACTGGATCAGTGGATAAGAATAGTGTTTACCTTTGTCGAGCTGAGCAGTTAGCATACCTCCTACCTGGAACTTTTGATCAAACTGATGCTTTATGTAAAGTCGCATACATTAGAGTGCGTACCAATCGAAAGTTTGATTTGCTTGTTACAAGAAATCCCTCTCGATTAGTTTGGGAGAAAGAATCAGCTATCGGATTAAAAGAATCAAGTGGCCGATTAAAAATTGGTGCTATTTCTGGTGGTTACAGTAATAATGAAGAGCTGTCTGTTGCACGATTTGATTACCATGGCTATATGGCTCTCGGTGATTTAAGTTTAAAATATAAAGAAGCTAGAGGACCAGCTGCAGGATTCGAACAACACTCGGAATATTATGATGTTTTATATGTTGCTGATTATGCTCTGTAAATATTTTGATGAATAATAACATGATTTTGATTATGATAAATAAAAATGAAAACTTGAATGAATAACGTCAATTTTAAACTATGTGCATTCAAAATCTGACTATTTTATGCTTTGAATCAATTTTATATCTTCATGGCAGCCGATTTTTCAAACAACATCCTGCATTCAAATAATCTCCAGATTCAATTGAAACTTGGAAACTTGAAAGTGTTTCAATTTGAAAGAAAATTAATAACTTTTTCTATGATCTCAGGTCAATTGATTATTATATATAATAAATTGCAAGAAAATCATCTGCAATCAGTATTTCATCAATTAGACTGAGAATTAGATTGAATTTAAATGAAGTTTCCTTGAGTTAAATGACACCTCTTTTGCCATGATTTGTCTGATTGTTGCTGGTTTGGTTTGTTTTTAGTGTTCAATTCCAGGTTTATCTATTATAACATTATCTGATCTGCATTTTTGAGTAAATGCTTGATACTGCCGGTAATATAATCCGGTGTATTTCATCGAACAATATAAATTAGTTTATCTCGAACTTACATTTCCAGCAATTTTACAAGGAAAAAACTCGCGTTCATTAGTACTTATTGCTTTACTGAATCCATTCAATGAACATGCAAGACAGTCAACAACTAGACTGGTTATTGTCACTTACAATGTGTAGTTGATTGAAGGTGAAGTTAAATTCACAGTTTTAGTTGGTCAATATCAATCCCTTAATAATGGCGTTGCAATCAAATCTTAATGAGATATCAACATCATGGACTAAGTAAGTAATTTTTTGTACACAACGAACATTTGATTGATGCATTGATTCCAGTCAGTCAAAGGTTGGGAGACTGACTGGTTGGTTTGACTTTGTCGATTCAAATTGTAAGCAAAGCCATTGACTTATTTTGTGTCACAATTAAAGCCGTGCTATTTGATAATATTATAATTTGATGAATGTTAACTCACATAATTAATTTACTCGAAATTTTACTCTTTCAGTAATCTCACAAGGAAAAAAGTAACGTTCATTGGTATTACTGTTTTAGTGGCTACATCTGTTTGCATCAGTGTTATTTTTGCTGTCAGTGTCAAGTCATCATCACCGGAGGTACCTTTAGCTTTGAGTTTATTCAAAGGTGAATATATCTTTAAACCATTTAAACTAAAATCCCATTTATTGTGATCATTTGCCCGTAGATGACTTGTCATTTAAGTAGTTGCCTGTTCCCACCATGTCACTTTATTTATATCGAACATTTTGGTAATATTTTCGAAATTTCTTTGCAGAAAAGATGAATTTAACGAGAGATGAGATTAAATGGGTTAGTTATAGCTCTGACAATTATTCACTGACTGATGCTTTGGCTGGTGGTACTGGATCCGATGGAAAGACTGTTTACGTCTGTCGAGCTAAGCGAATAACTAACAATGGAGAAGAAGTGATTCCTGGAACTTTTGACCCAAATGATACATTTAATTTTTGTACAGTCACACGCGATAAAAGAGCTTTGAGCTTTCTATCCTTTGAACTGCTTGTTATAAAGGATCCATCTCGATTAGTTTGGAAGGCCGAGTCACATGGCAGAATAAAGAATGGTGCTATTTCTGGTGGTTACACTGCATCCAATAAAATACTTTACGTTACACGATTTAAATACGATGGCTTTTTCGTTTCTGGTAAATTGGATCAACTTGATAAGGAAGCTTCAGGGTTAGCTGGAAACGACCAGATCAAATCTGTAAATTATGATGTTTTATGTGTTGATGATTATGCTCTGTAAATGCTTTTAAATGAAAACTTGAATGAGAAACGTCAATTTTAAATTATCTGACTTATAACTCGACATAAAATTATCTATCGAATGATGTTCACATGTTGTAATTGTATGATTTTTAGTTCGGAAAATATCGGATCTTGAAGATACGCAAAAGATGCACCTTGCTATGCTATTCATCTAAACCTTTAGCCCTATTGAATGAGCTATCAAACATGAAAATCGGCGACTTCCCTTGTCAGTTATTGATGAATCCATTTTCCCTGAACATATCTTTAAACTTAAAAATCCCATCTATTGTTATGGTTGTTACTAAAAAGACACAATCAACAGAATTGTTGAATTTATGCACAAATTGATACAAAGACTCTGTTGGTTTGTAGAGACATAAAAAATGAGTCCATAAGTGCTATTGAAAAGTTTCTCTGTTCATTAGTTCATTAGAAAATCAAGTCCAAAGTTTAAACTGCGAATCAGCATTCTTTGACCAAACATTAGATTTTATTAGGGCCAATGGACAAAATCAAGAGAACTGGTGATGAATTGAAAAAAGTATTCAATTCATGATTTGTACCAACAATTTTTATGGACTAGTAATGAGTTTAAGCTCTCTAACTCTTATGATCTGTTTAATTGAAACTCGAACTGATGTGTTTTACAGTAAATAGAAAATTTGATTTCTCAAAATGAGTGCATTTTTTGACTGATCATCAAAAGTTGATCATCAACACCAGAAAAATGAGCTGCATTTAAAAATCTATTCCTTTAATTGTACAAAAGGCAATCTAGGTTCTAACTCTTAACTCGATTTTCTGTAAAATTGAGAAATCAGAGAAACTTTTGATCCATCATCTGCTTTTAGTGCAACCACATGATAGAAAAGTTAATTCCTATTATAAATTAAAACTGCTTGTTACAAAAGATCCATCTCGATTAGTTTGGAAGGCCGAATCATATGGCAGAACAGCAAATGATGCTATTTCTGGTGGTTACATTGCATCCAATAAAATACATCAGCTTTTTGGTTCTGGCTAAACTAAATGAACTCGAAATTGAAGCTTCAGTGAACCGATATCAACTCTCTTTATTATGACAATTTAATTTTTGATGATTATGCTTTGTAAATGTTTCAATGAAAATCGTAAATTTTAATTAGCTGTTAAGTACTTCTAAATGTGAATGTTTATGCTTCTTATTATAATTTTAATAATACATCTTGTATCTTCATGTAAACTGACCTCAATCTCTTTACTCTTTTCGTAATCGTACCAGCAAAAAACTTGGTAAATAATTCATTTATTAAATAATATGAGGGAATCTGTGGGGATAACATCAAATATCATTATAAAGGGACATTGAAAAAGAAGTGAACCGCTCATGCTTTCTCAGTGAACCAGTATTAATATTTGGTGCTAACACAATAACTACGAAACAAAAATAGCGCTCGGGTTATATTTAAAGCTGATATTAGATAATAGATTCCTTGAATAAATAACACCTTTATGTGAAGATTTGTTCTGATTCTATGTTACCCTTGCACCTATTTTTAGTGTCTGATTCCATGTTTATCCATTACAGATTATCTGATCCAGCTTTTTGGTTAATATTTCATACCATTATTTGATGAATTTCACCGCACAATGAACAATACGTTTACCTTGAAATACATTTCCAGTGGTTTTACAAGGAAAAAACTTTTGTTCATTGGCAATGAAGTTTTGATGTTGCCAACTGTCGTTATAAGTGTGCAGTCACAATGATTTTCGGCTAAATATCTGTTGCTTCATGGAGAAATACTTTCTTGATACCCGAAGTGAATTTTAAGATACAATGCTCAGCAATGATACATTCCCATCTTGCATCCATTTCAATTAATTTATTGATCATTAAATCAAATCTTCAGATCAATTCTGATCAAGATTGTACACATTTGCATGATTAAGTTTACAGTTTTTTAACTTTATTCATATTTATCTTCGTGGAAACATGATTGTTTGTATTGTAACAAAAATAACGCCTAATAAATATTATTTACTCTGAAAACAAATTAAGTTTCATCATTATTTATGATTTACGATAAAAAGTTGTGGGGCAAATTCAGTGTAACATTCAAGACAGTCGACAACTAGACTGGTTAGTGTCACTTGTAATGCGTAGTTGATTGAAGGTGAAGTTATAAATCCATAGTTTTAGTTGGTCAATATCAATATCTTTACAATGGAATCGGAAACAAACCAAAATGAGACATCACCAGGGACTTGGTAAGTACCTTATACAAAACGAATCGTCAGATCACTTTCAAACCTTGATTACGCTCAATTGAAGGGTCTAAATCTATAGAATCTATATCTGAGAATCAATAGATCTTACTGATATCTGATCAATTTCGTCCTTTTTGTGAATAAGACAATTTACTGACATGGAAACTTTCCCTTTGCAATAGTCTTACAAAGAAAACGATAGCGTTCGTTGGTATTGGGGTTTTAGTGGCTACAGCTATTTGTGTCAGTGTTATTGTTGCTGTTAGTGTCACAAGTGCTAAGCCATCACCACCGAAGGCACCTTTAACTTTAAGTGAATACATAGGTAAACACATTTTAAACTATCAAAACCAAAATCACGTCTAATGCATCTTTTATAAGCAAACGAATTGTCTCTTGACCTGTTAACTGTCAGATCATTTTTCATTGAATGTATTTATATTTTACCTTTCTTTACAGAAAAGATGAATTTGATTAAAGATGAAATTAAATGGGTTAGTTATAGCTCTGACAATTATTCATTGACTGATGCTTTAGCTGGCGGCGCTGGATCCGTGGATAAGAGTACTGTTTACCTTTGTCGAGCAAAGCATCGAGCAAATACAAGAAACAAAGAAGAACTGATTCCTGGAACTTTTGATCCCACAAGTGGTTTATGTGCAGTCCCATACGGTGATAAAGCTAACGACCATTCAGAGTTTGAGTTGCTTGTTACAAAGAATCCATCTCGATTAATTTGGAAAGAGGATTCGAAAGGTCATTTAAAAAGTGGTGCCGTTTCTGGTGGCCAAACTGCATATGATGAAGAGCTTTACGTTACAAGATTTCAATACAATGGCTATACAGTTCTGGGTAAATTACATTTGGCTCATAATAAAGCTTCAGGCCCAGCTGATGGAATAGAGAAATACCGAGAAACTTATGATCTTTTATGTTTTTATGATTATGCTTTGTAAATTTTTTAATCAAAAGTCCAACTTGAATCATCAGTTTTTAAATCGTGTAACTTATGTACCTGAATAAGTAATGTGTAAATGTAGATGTCGATTTTTAAATCTTCATGTTGACCGTTTTTTCAAATAATATTTTTACCAGATTTCCTGGCCATAAACTCTTTACTCTTCTAGTAATCTTACCAGAACTACGAAACAAAAATAACGCCAGATTATATTTAAAGCTGATAGATTCCTTGAATAAATAACACCTTTTATGTAGAGATTTGTTCTGATTCTATGTAACCCTTGCACCTATTTTGGGTGTTTAATTCCAAGTTTATCTATTACATATTATCTGGTCCATATTTTTGGTCAATGTTTGACACCATTATTTTATGTATTTCTGTTGGCTATCTGTTGTTTCATGGAGAAATACTGTCTTTAATATTATCCGAGGTGAATTTTAAGATACAATTTTATGCTCAGCAACGTGCATTTCAATGAATTGAGTTAGAAAATCAAATCTTCTGATCAAGTTTGTACACATTTGCATGATTAATTTTACAGTTTTTAACTTTTCATATTTATCTTCATGAAAATATTATTAATTTTATTGCAACAAAAATAACGCCTATTAAATGTTATTTACTCTAAAAACAAATTTACTTTTCATGATTCATGATTTACGATAAGGAATTTTGGAGCAAATTCACTTTAACATTCAAAACTACTAGGCTAGTTATTGTCACTTGTAATGTGTAGTTGATTGAAGGTGAAGTTATAAATCCATAGTCTTTAGTTGGTCAATATCAATCCCTTAATAATGGCTTTGCAATCAAATCTTTATCAGATATCAAACCAAAATGAAACATCGTCAGGGACTTGGTAAGTATTTTGTTGTACAAAACAAACATGTTTAATCGTCATATCACTTTTAAACCTTGATTACGCTCAGTTGTCGCCTTAAATCTATTCACTCATCTGAGAAGCAATAGTAGTTCCTGTGTTCTGATCAATTTTGTGCATAAGACAATTTACTGATCATTGAAACTTTTTCTTTCCAATAGTCTTACAAAGAAAACGATAGCGTTCGTTGGTATTGGGGTTTTAGTGGCTACAGCTATATGCATCAGTGTTATTGTTGCTGTTAGTGTCACAAGTGCTAAGTCATCATCACCGAAGACCCCTTTAGCTTTAAGTGCATACATCGGTAAACAAATTTTAAACTATCAAAACCAAAATCACATTTAATTTACTATTTACAAGTAAACGAATTGTCCTTTGACCTGCTAACCAAACAAATTTCAGATCATTTTTCATTGAATGTATTTATATTTTACCTTTCTTTACAGAGAAGATGAATTTGATTAAAGATGAAATTAAATGGGTTGGTTATAGTTCTGACAACTTTTCACTGACTGATGCTTTAGCTGGCGGCACTGGATCCAATGGAAAGAGTGTTTACGTCTGTCGAGCTAAGCATTTATCTAATAATAAAAGAGACTATGAAGTGATTCCTGGAACTTTTGATCCCACAAATGGTTTATGTGCAGTTCCATACGGTGAAAAAGCTAATGACCATCCAGAGTTTGAGTTACTTGTTACAAAAAATCCATCTCGATTATTTTGGCAGGAGGATTTGCAAGGTAATTTAAAAAGTGGGGCCGTTTCTGGTGGTCAAACTGTATATAATGAAGAGCTTTACGTTACCCGATTTCAATACAATGGCTATACAGTTCTGGGTAAATTACATTTAACTCATAATAAAGCTGCTATTGGACCAGCAGATGGAATAGAGCTATACCGAGAAACTTATGATCTTTTATGTGTTGATGATTATGCTCTGTAAATGTTTTAATTAAAAGTCCAACTTTTATCACGAATTTTAAATTGTGTAAATTATGTATCTGAATATTGTAATGTACTGGGTAATACTATTAATTGTATTCTTACAATTTACAAGCAATTGTATTCTTACACACAAAAGCAAACTCGACAATTTTCATTCTGAGAAATGAGGTAATAGTGCTTAGAAAAAGTCCTTTTTAATTTTCCATAATATGAGGTCTCTTCGGTCAACAGGTTCGAAGGCATATCGAAGTTGGAATAACTCCTTTATTAGATCTTGGCTTTTCTGTTTAAATAAAATTTAATAAGATTCCAATCCTGCATCCATTTTATTGATTGTCGAAATCAAATCTTCAGATCGATTCTGATCAGGATTGTACACATTTGCATGATTAAGTTTACAGTTTTTTAACTTTACTCATATTTATCTTCATGAAAAACATGATTGTTTTTATTGTAACAAAAATAACGCCTAATATTTACTCTGAAAACAAATTAAGTTTCATCATTATTTATTAAATATTGACAATTATTTATCTATTCCGCTTAATTCATTTCACACCTGTAGTTTTGATTACAATTAAATGATAAGAAGTTGTGGGGCAAATTCAGTGTAACATTCAAGACAGTCAGCAACTTGACTGGTTAGTGTCACTTGTAATGTGCAGTTGATTGAAATTGAAGTTAAATCCATAGTTTTAGTTGGTCAATATCATTCCCTTAATAATGGAGTTGGAATCAAATCTTAATGAGATATCAACATCATGGACTAGGTAAGTACCATTTTGTACACAAAGGACACGTTTAACTTGCAGGTCACTTTTACTCAAAAAGTAAAGGTTATTCATTCAGTCAAAAGCTTGACTTTGTTGATTTAAAGTGAAAACAAAGTTATTAAAGCTATTCAAGACAACTATGAGATTTGTAAAGATAATTCTGGAACATGATTTGATTTTGTCTCAATAATCAAGACCGAGAATTGTCAGATATCGAGATTATTCAGTTTGAAGTGTACACAACATAATTGAGGTGGACATGAAATTGTTTGATCAAAACAATCAAAACGGTTTCAATCCATTCATCTTCAACTCCTTAGACCATCAAAAATGTTTCAGTGAAAATCTTGAGACATTTCAATGTTAATTATATTTATTAGACGCTTAAATTGATTGAAAATGATGACTTTGTAAGGATCAATTTTGATTGAAAAACAAAATTATTCGTATTGATCTGATGATAGCTGTAATTTGGTGCAATCCTAGTAAACATCAAAACCAATCTTTAGATCAGGGTTTATTATAATTATTCATTCGACTAACCTTTCAATGAATTGCTCATCTCAGTGAATTCATAACTGAAGTTTAAGTTTATATTCAACCTTGATTAGTTTTAACATGTTATCTGAGATGTAAGATACAAACAAAATCTGCATTCCATAATCAATTCAACTGTTTTGTATTCATTAATAAACAATAAGATTGATTGGAAATAAAGTTTCATTGAAATAATAACACCTCTTTTGTTAAGATTTGCCTGATTCTGTGTTACCCTTGAACCTGTTTGTAATGATCAGTTACAGATTTATCTACATATTTTCGAGTCAATGTTTGATACTATTATAATTTGATGAATAATCAATAACGATTGTCAACTCACAATAAACAATTTATTTACTTTCAGCTCTTTCAGTAATCTTACCAGGAAAAAGCTCGCATTTATCGGTACTGGTGTTTTAGTTGCTACAGCTATATGTATCAGTGTTATTGTTGCTGTTAGTGTAAAGTCTTCATCATCGAAGGCACCTTTGGCTTTAAGTGTACACAAAGGTAAATAAATTTTTGAACTGTCAAAACTAAAATTACATCTATTGCGATCATTTGCTATTAGATTAACTGTCATTTGACCTGTTTACAGACGTCAGCTCATTTTTCATTGACCGAATTTTATATTTTGCATTTCTTTACAGAGAAGATGAATTTGATTAAAGATGAGATTAAATGGGTTAGTTATAGCTCTGAAGATTATTCACTGACTGATGCTTTAGCGGGCGGTACTGGTGCCAATGGAAAGACTGTTTACCTTTGTCGAGCTAAACAGCGAGCTAATAAAAAAAATGAAGACGAAGTGATTCCTGGAACTTTTGATCCAACCGATTCTGTATGTAAAGTCCCATACGGTGATAAAGCTAATGCCCATTCAGAGTTTGAGTTACTTGTTACAAAGAATCCAACTCGATTAGTTTGGGTGGAAGATAAGCATGGGGAACTAAAAAAAGGTGCCATTTCTGGTGGACACACTGCATATAATGAAGAGCTTTACGTTACCCGATTTAAATACTATGGCTTTACAGTTCTTGGTAAATTACATTTGGCTCATAATAAAGCATCAGGACCAGTAGATGGATTAGAGAGATACGATGCATATTATGATCTTTTATGTTTATCTGATTATGCTCTGTAAATGTTTCAATGAAATCTTAATGAAAATAGTGAATCTAAATAAATAATCTAAAATCTAAATCTGAATATTTCATGCTTCAAATTATTTTATACCGTCATCTCAACCGTTTACCAAACCGTATCAATTTTACCAGCTTTTCCAGTCATAAAGCTCTTCATGCTCAGCATACTTCGACAGAATGGCTGATATAGCTTCGAAAAAGATTTGAATGTATTGCTCTTTCATTAGTATCATACTTTGGGTTCTAGGACTTTAATGGATGCTCGTTTTACTACAAGTGTCACGACTAAAATGTCTGTCAATTTAGTACCTTTTGTGGTTTCATAATATTAATTGCTGTCAGTTTTGAGCAAGATTATACATATTTACATGATTAAATTGAAGTTTCCCAACTTAATTCATGATTTCTCGATACAAGCGATTAAAAACTTGTGATTTTTTCCTGTGACTTAATTAACGCCTAATATTTACCCTTAAAACAAATGAAATTTATACATTATTTATTGATTGACTTTCAAATTTACAATTGTTTCCCCTTAATTCACATGACACCATTCATTGAAACCTAAAATCTCGATAACAATTAAATGATAAGAAGCCAATGCGAAGTAAGTTTATTCATTTATTAAAGACAATATACAATTAGACTGGTTATTGTCACTTGTAATGTGTCATTGATTGAGAGTGAAGTTATAAATCCATAGTTTTAGTTGGTCAATATCAATCCCTTTATAATGGAGTTGGAATCAAATCTTAATGAGATCTCATCATCATGGAATAGGTAAGAACATCATTGTATTGAACATTAATTTCAACCCGAAACGTGTTTCCTAAGCAAATAACACCTCTTAAGATTTTCATTATTTTATGTTAACCATCCACTTTTGTAATGTTCAATTTCAATCAAGAGTCATTGTTTGATCATGTCAACTCTCAATATAAAATTAACTGACCTTTAAATCTTACTCTTTCAGCAATTTTACCAGGAAAAAACTCGCATTTATCGGTACTGGCCTTTTAGTTGCTACAGCTATATGCATCAGTGTTATTGTTGGTGTTAAGTCATCATCATCGAAGGCACCTTCAACTACATCTTTAACTTCATTTACAGAGAAGATGAATTCGATGAGAGGTGAGATTAAATGGGTTAGTTATAACTCTGACAATTATTCCCTGACTGATGCTTTTGCTGGTGGAACTGGATCCAATGGAAAGACTGTTTACGTCTGTCGAGCTAAGCATTTAGCTAATAATAGAAGAGACTATGAACTAATTCCTGGAACTTTTGATCCAACTGATTCTTTATGTAAAGTTCCATACGGATATAAAGCTAATGAGCATCGAGAGTTTGATTTGCTTGTTACAAAGAATCCGTCTCAACTAGTTTGGGAGGAAGAATCAAATGGTGGACTGAGAAATGGTGCCATTTCTGGTGGTCACACTGCATATGATAAAGAGCTTTATGTTGCCCGATTTTCCAACTCTGGTTATAAGGTTCTGGGTGAATTATATCCAGCTAGGAAGGCAGCTTCAGGACCAGTGGGAAGAGACGAGACACACCGGCAAGCTTATCAACTTTTATGCTTTGCTGACTTTGCTATTTAAACTGAAACTAAAAGGAATCTCTATTTTATAGCTTATTTAATTACTGATGATAATGTCGACTTTTGACTCTAAATATAATTGTGTTTATTAGTTAAATTAACGTATCTTGTAAAAAAAAATTTTGAAAAAATTGTTATAATACAATTTTTGCGTACAGATGACTTTGCTATGCAATGTTCAAGTTTTGTTGATAAAGGGACGTCTAACAAGTAAACTTGTTAAGCTACTTTTCGCTCCAATAAATAATTATTTTAATTGTTTAAGTTTCAATCTTTTTGTGTTGCCAATGGTTTATACCTGCCATTAACTGTCATTTTCATAAACTTATCACTTTCTATGAAAATTCAACTGCACCATTTGAGTATATTTTATTTGTTCATAAAATTACGGTTAACCTTTTGTTACAAATTCAAACATGGACGTGTTCAACTTGGACCGTATTTGGCTAATAATCGGAAAACTAATCTTGCCGTAAGTATTAATTTAAGTAGCCATTTGATCTGCATATAGCAATAAGATGGCCTAAAAATTTTACTAAGTTACTACTAAGTTTCAGCTAATTCATACGGTCACAGAATGCAGAATATCTAACCTAAAATCGAAGTTATCTGTTGCACGGAAACAGAAAACTTTCTCAAAATACATTGTAAGTTCATTTTCTGGTTTACAAACAAAAGTTAAATCAGTTGAATGAGTTTTATGAAAAAAATTTGCTTCGATATCTGTACAAAATGCAATCCAAGTTTCAACTTTGAACTGTTTCTTTCTTTAAATCTTCAATCTCACAAATGGACTCAGTTTTTATGTCACTACAAACTAACAGACTCTTGCCGGCAATAAAGTAATTTTAACCAGTTTCTAACCATTTTTTCATTTGGGAATAAATATGAAAATTGTGTCTTTTTAGCAACAACCTTGTTATAATATCCTTTGAATAATTTTATACTCCTTTTCTCACTTCTTCCAGTGTTTTTTCACTAAAAATATCAGCAATTGTAAGCAATGCAATATGGTAAAAACCTGGTTTGAGTCTAAATTTTTAAGGACTAAAGAGCCATTGTCGCAACCAGTTATCCCCGTTACTTTAGTGTTTACATGTTTTGTTACAGTTGTGTTTGGACATTTATCTAGAGAACCCGGATTGCGTTTTATTCAAAGTAGTCCTTCATTTATTTCCCCAGAAGCTACAAAAATTGAGATTGATTTTAAATATCCTGGGTTCACAGACCGTGCCAAAATCCGTTATTGGCAGCCCAGTGGTCTGAGTTATTATGTCGTATTTAATGGTACACATTATGCGTCTAGTAACATCATCAATGGTAAATTGGTTGAGCTTTGTGCACCAACAATGATGGCTAAAAATCCAGCAGCATTTTCACATAATAGTTGGAAAGGATTTATGATTGTTCACAAATGCGATTCTGTTCGATATGGTGACCATTGTGTTAAATCAGCCTTTTTGAGTTTATTTCCTTGTGATGTTCAGACTTTTTTTGTTCCAACCATCAGTTATGATCTGAAAGATGTTGGGACACCGTTGGGTATACACGGTTTTGGTGATTATACTTATGCTTATCTAGCGCTTACTAATGACAGGGGTACAGTTTCAGTTACTCGAGCTTGTACGGAACACTGGTGGACGGTTCCGAGAGGGATTATTATCCCAAATTATGGAGCCATCCTCAAGTTGAAAGATTGTGCAGAAACACCAACTTTACCCATTTTTGTGAAATTTTTCAGTGCCGCGCAATACATTATAGTAGGTTATCTTGATGATGGAGGCTCAATTCACATATGTGTTTACAAGTTTGCCAAGATTAATCGCCAGCTTGACTTGAGTCGTAAAAATTGTGATAAGGCATCACAGAAACCCTATTTACGGGCCATTTCGGCAAAAGGGCGCAATGTTAGCAAATGTCAACTAACAGATAGACCTTATTCATGTTGGGATTCAAATTACTTCAACGAAATGGTCTATTACAATATAAGTAAAAATTATAGCGCTACATATATCCGATTTGATGAAATTTCGGTGACACCACAAAATCCTATTCAAGACACATTTGAATTTGAAATAACAAGTCCGTTCAATAAATGGACGCTCATAATTGCTCAAAAAAATAATGTCTTTATCATCAATGGACTGGAAGATATTGACCAAGACATTAACCCAGTTATTACTCGTTTCAATGCATCACTTGATTATATTCACCCTCAGAGGAATATTATTTATCTTTACCATCCAAACACTTTCAACGTTTTTATTCCTCGTCCGATTTACAGCTGCAATATTTTACCTCAACACCAATGTAAACTTACTCTTGAATGTGACCTCTGTGGATTGGAGTGCGTCTCACAAAAGAACTTCAAATGTCCAGTTTGGAAAAAATTAGCTCCAAGCTCAGTGATAAATCCGTTGATCTTATCAAATGGTGTCCTAGAGATTAACTTCAATCCCAATGGAAATGTATTAAATATCAATGTGACACTGGAAGCAACTTTCAATATTTTAATCAAAATCAACGCTAGTTATATCCCCACAACCGGCAGGATCGTGTGTAAACTAAACAGATTGAATAATTCAATTGCATTTCCTTATTATAAAACAATTAACGTTTTCTTGACACTCATTGTATCAGATAACACTCAACCCAGCCTCACTAGGACTGAATATCTTGAGCTATCAGATATCGTTTACCTTGTTGATCCTTTGTTTGGATCAATCTTATCTCAATCCATTATGATAGATCATCCATCAAAAATAAGATTTGAATATAAACGTATTGCAACTAAACATATTGTTACAGTGAAAATTGTTGCCAATAATTTAACTTTCCCATGTTCCACACCAAACACGGAAACATTCATCTTCAATTGTTTGCTTAATTTCCCTTCTGGTATTTATTGGCCTGGTTATGCATCAATTTACGTGGCGGGCAGTTTTTTCCAATCATTCCCTCTTCAAGCGAATCCTTATCCAATCTTCCACAAGACTGAATGGCATAATTTTCCTGGTTATTCTGTACCATTTCATTTCATTGGTCAATATTACAACTCTTTCCAGGATCTAAAAGTCAATATAAAGCTGGCCAATGTTACCAAGCCGATTGAACTTAATTGTACCGTCGTTTCGGATTCAGACATATATTGTAAATTTGATTCTTTTCCTGGTAAATTACCAGCTTTTGGTAACTTCGTTTTCTACTCGCATTCAAATCCATTGACATTACCGAACCTCAGTGTAAATCTCAACCTTCCTCCAGCAATTACTTCTGCCGTTTACTCGGCAAATACGGAGACTATCAAAATCTCAACTTCCAATTACTTTACTGATTACCTTTTAAATACGAACATTACTGCTATCCAATGTAAAAGTAGCTGCACTGAGTACAAGTGTGATCAAATTGTATTTAACTATATCCTAAATATTTTGACCTGTAAAATTAAATTAGAGTATGGTAATAAATCGACTGAATGGGTATCGTTGGTTGAAATTGGATCGCATCGATTAAATATTGTTTTAACTGCTCAGGAAGAAAAGAAGTCTGTCACACCTAAAATTATTTCTTCTTTTAAATTTTCTATTATCACATTATTGGCATTAAGTTTATTGTTGATTCTTGGACTTGGTATTTATTATCTTCGTAAGGAAATTGACAGATTTAAATTAGCAACAGTTTCTACTAAATTTAGTGATGCACATCGAACTGGATCAAGAAAAGTGGCATCCATGAGCAGATTAGACTCAGCGACCAAGATATCTGAAATAGATAATCCAGAAATGCTGACAAACCAATTCGCTTTCTTCACAAAAAGAATGTAAATTTATTATTATGTCAAATTTGAATTAAACTCCTCAATAGGTTTTCATTCATTTATTTTTTGTCATTCTTCGTGAAAATTACTTTCTTTATTCAAAAAGTTCATAGCCTCAGATCCTTAAGTTACCCGATGGGCAGTTTGTGTCTGAACACATTCACTTTATTGTTGTTTGTCTTACTAGTTTGCAGGTAAGGGAGGCATAAGATGCGCCATCCTGAGTTGTGGGTTCAGGTAATTGGAGTCTTACATTTTGAGCAGTTTTTGGGGTACACTATTTTGACCAAAAATCAGCGCCGTCTATTATATTGCCAATAGTAAGACGAGAGTACTTTTTGAATTATCCTAGCACTGTACATGCTAGGGCTAGAGCTGTGATACCAATAGATGGCTCTGATTTTTTGGTCAAAATAAGTGTGAATTTACTGGATTTTTAGTGAGGGCCATTTTTTGGATCAGCTTCTTTGTTCTCATTGTTTCTTTCTGTTAGGACAACATTCCATAAGTTCAAAAACTTGTAAAGGGAAGCGGAAAGCGTTGATAATGTGGGCCATAATCAACGCTTTATGCTTCCCTTTACTCAGTATCTTCCTAATATTCACCTGTGTCGAGTTGGACCAAGACTTCATCTATTCCTTGAAATTGCAAGAAAAATGGATCCCAAATATTTTCGTCAGCCTTTAAATTAAAGGCTTTATTCATAGATAATTCAATGAGTGCTGGTCCGTAGTTGAAATTTAACGAGGGGCGTGTCAGTTGTGTGTTGAGTTTTATTATTTATCGATGAACCATTCAAGTTGAGATCTGGAAACCAAGGAACCAACCAAAAAATCTGGTAATGTTTTAATTTCTATAAATATTTCTCACCTTACTATGAAATACAAAATAATTGTCAGTAACCCCGATCGACATTAAACACTCTTTGAGCTAATGAATGTAAAACATCTATTTTATGTGAAATTATGTGCCAGAGTCAAACAATGATGGCTTTCGTGAATTTGGACACAAGTCAACTTGTTCATCAACCTGTCCATCAAATGATCCTTGAACTAGAGATGAATATCGTAATATTGGAGAAGATTGGTTTGAAGGACGATTAGGTCTTGTATGAAACTCGAGTTCCGAGGAATTACTTCTGCCGTTTACTCAGAAAATAGACTATCAAAATCTCAACTTCCAATTACTTTACTGATTACCTTTTAAATACGAACATTACTGCTATCCAATGTAAAAGTAACTGCACTGAATACAAGTGTGATCAAATTGTATTTAACTATATCCTAAATATTTTGACTCGTAATAATAAACTCAACCCATCAATTGAAATCATGATAAAGGCTTTCAAATTGTTTTTACATCTGAATTTTACTGTTCAAAGATCAAGTAAAACAATAATGGTGTTTAAGATTCTTGCAAATACAAATTTTTCAACGTATTTGATGAACATTTCATCTATTAATCAGACTGTCTACCAAGATTTATCACAACCACAGCTACACTTGTGAGCGACTAGGAAAAGTTGCTCTTTATCCATTGTGGAAGGAACTTTTGTATTTTTCTCTATTAAAGCAGAATAATTATTTTCTCCTACTCTAAGTGCACCAACGCCTCGTTTAAGCTTGAAAAAACCTATTAAAAATTACATTATTGTATTAAGAGTCAAAGATAGCAAATTATTAGATCATGATCTCGTGGAAAAATCTCGTTAATTTACTTACCGTTATCACCCCATTTGGTGCCCCAAGAGTTAGCTATAAGCCAATAGTCGACACCATTCTCAACACCCCAACCAATGACTTTAACGAGATGAGATCCTAATTTTACATCGCTGGTTCTTTGGTAAACACCTTGAACGACAATGAAATCACAATTAAACACAGAGTGTGGGACAAAACAGCATTAAACTCACAAGCCAAGGTAAGATCGATTGATTAAATTGTTTATTGTATTTCGTTGGTGTTGGTGGTACTATACTTTTGTATCAAACTAATCTCATGAGTAGATTTTCCTAAATTTCAATCGACTTCCTTGGATTAATTATCACAGATGAAAAAATTGAAGCTATTTTATAATAAAATAATAATTTGCAATCCTTCCTTTAAGTAAACATAGATGGCAGCTTACAGACACAATTATTTTAAAATAACGTCAAATTGAGCGCTAATTTTCCGAGATCTATGACCGATCAAAATCTAAGCTCTTAAAGATCACGTATTCCTAAACTGTAAAAATATAATTGTTCAATAAATTATGTCATTCAAACCTGATTTATAATAAAGTAGATCTAAATAGACTTCGATGTGAAAAGTAATTGGTCCTCGGCTTAGTATCTCCTTTATTATGTCCAGCTGTTGAGATAATCTATAATTACTAACACCGAAATATTCATCGTTCATCTTTATTTGACAACGACATTGGTTTGAAGATTTTTCTGGTTTTTCAATGAAGATTCCCTTTGTGCTCCAATATCGGAAAGCTTTAGCACCATCAGCTGTATTGAAGTTGCTATTGCAGTCGTAATTGCCATTCATCATGTGTTCAACTGTTGCTTTAACATCAATATTTTGACCTGTTTTAATGCAGATACGATCAGCCATTTGACCAACAGATGCGTAAATCCATGAAGGTGAACAGAATCCTTGATTAAAAATTTGACCAATTGATGGACAATGCGGCCATTCAGTACGAGCATCAAATTCCTTGTGCGAATCACTATCTGAATGCCATATTTGTTCAACGTTTGTGGTCAATGTTTCTTCTGAGCTCATAAAAAGCTTTTTCACTTGCGATAAACTCAATCCATCGAAATTCTTTCCAGCCTGAAACGTGTTGAAAAAATGATGGATTAATATGACTTGGAAAAAACAACTACTTACCTTCCATGTTGTACCATTAGAATTGAAGAGCTCGATAAGCTCATCTGGCAACGATTCTAATGCATCAGAAGAGGTACCAGAAGACTTAACGAAACAAATGCTGAGTACAATAGCAATGAAAGATTTCATTTTTAATATTCTGGTTTAAAGCTGAAAAAGTTAAATTATTACTCTTAAATGATGATTTTTCCTGATTATCGGATGAAAACATTTTACCAAATATGAAACGCTTTCACACCATTGAATATTGCTTCAATTTTCACATTTTCTGGTTCCATCTTCAATTATGACAGACTTTACTGATCTTCAAGATTAAGTAACCGCCCTGAATATTATTTATCTCTGTATATAAATGATTGATACTGATTTGATAATGATTGAATTAATCATATTTCATTTTAATGTGAATCATTCGAATATAATATTACCGGAACCAAATTAAACGTACGAGATCTCGCCGAATCCAACTGATCATTGATTATCAGACCATTTCTCATCATTTAGAAACAAAATCTTTGGTGAAATATGTATTAATATTAACTTTTATACTTTACTTTATCAGAATCAGTGGTTAACTTGAAACTTTCTAAAACAATGTGTTCTAGACATGACGTTTGAATTATCTGTTGGTAGATTTATCTTAATTGCCTGTTTGGCGAAGGAAATTAATGTTGATTCTGTAATAAAAATGTTTATTCAATTAATAGCTTAAATTATAACAACTTGTGAAAATGTTTACTTTATATTCAATATTGATCTTGATCACTAAAAGGCTACAACAGCAACTTGATTAGACATTATACTGAATGAAGCTTGATTATTCTTGATAGTGTGTAAACCATTTTGATAAAAAACATTGTGAATCGACGGTTAAAAATAGCAAATCTACAAGAAACTATTATCAAGAAAATTGAAATTGTTATTCAAATGGTGAGCAAGCTCAATAACAGGTTAATATCGGTCCTCCAAGTCACCTAGATATTTAATAGTCAGTAATAATAATTGAGTTTATTAGGTAACTGTTTGTTCGGCAATGGATGAATTTGAAACAAATTCAGAGCCAATGGTTGAGGTTGCCGTTGATGATGCAGTTTATTTTGAAACTTTGTGTCATGAAAACATCTTCTGGGTAAGTCCTGTGTCAGTTAATTTTAATTTGTCTTTATTTGATCTTAATTGTTTCTAATTGTTTCGTCTCCAAAGAGCAACAATCAAACATGGAATACAACTTCACCCAAATTAAGCCGATGTTTCAGTCAAACAGTGCTTAACTGGTTACCAACAGGACTTCTTTGGTTATTCACAATCATCAAACAGCTTGTCAAGAGTGATACTTGTGTTAAGGAAACACAGAAGATTCCATGGAATCTTCAGAATTCATCTCGTTTCATACTAACTTTGATTTGCATTCTTCTTTATGTGTTACAATTATCCAAAACTATCTATCAACATTCCTATTCACCTGAATCAATTATTCCAGTCGATTTTTTGGCTCCAATATTGAACATTGTTTCCTTTGTAAGTATCTATCTTTATGACCCTTTTATTTTCAAGTTTGTGTTCGTGGTTCAATCAGATCTGAGAATTAACAAACCAGCAATTTAATTTATTATTTAGTGATCAATTAAAAGGATTGTTTACACAACTATGGATAGATTCAAGTTATTGAGTACATTTTATAATGGGTTCTAGATTAAATAAAATATAAATCTACGATAAATTTGCAACTTTTAATGTTAATGTCATTAAATTCTGTATTCTTTCATTGTACATAAATTATATCAAGAACGACATTATTAATCTAACCTTTTATTTCATCTAGAATCCATTATAAAATGTACATAATAACTTGAATCTATCCATTTAGTTGGGTAAACAATCTTTTCAATTGATCATAATCAAAAATTTATTATTGATTAAAAAGGAAAGAATATTTTGCACAATTTGAATTTTGAAAATTTGAAAGTTGCATAAAAGTAACGGTCACAGCTGATGAAAGGCTTAACAGTGAGATGATTGAGTATTACTTATTGTTTGTCTTTACATATTTATTAATTTGATCAACATAATTTGTTTTACTTTTTAATTATTAATATTATAATTATAATTTGCTGTATTCTTCTAGATCTTTGTTTTAACATTATTTCATTATCATCGGTTACATGGTGTTCACACTAGTGTAACAATATGGATTTACATATTTCTTCAAACAATCACGTCATTTATAACCAGCTTTCAAACTTGGACTTATCCTGAAGATTACTCTCCATTTGATATCAACTTATTCAATACACAATCTGTTGTGATTTTTTTGTTACTCTTTGTCATCTCATTTGCCGATGTACCTAATCCACCTTTGGAAGATCATTCCGAAACAGGTGCCCAAAAGGATAGCTATGGTATCAATCCAGAAACGAAAGCCTCTTTTCCCAATCACCTTTTTTTCTTGTGGTTTAGTCCACTGGCTTGGCTAGGATGGAGAAAAATTTTAACCACTAAAGATCTCTGGGATCTTCGAGATGATATGAAAACTAAAAATCTTATTCAAGTATTCGAATCTTCAGCAGAAAAAAAGACTTTCCATGAAAATAAAACTCCCAATGTGAAGCAGTTGCAATCGGATGAACAAGAATTATCAGTTATTCCCGTTTTTATAAAAATTTTCGGTTATCGTTTTCTGGTAGGATCTTTTTTAAAGCTTCTCCACGATACTGCTCAATTCATCGTACCACAATTGTTAAAGTAAGTTGATCATCCAATTTCATCCTCGTAATTTTTTTACTTAACATCTTGATTTAAAAACCCTTTCTGATGAATATTTTTACATTTTTCTCCCAAAGGTATTTGATTGATTTTATTGAAAAACAATCAGACGAACCAGTTTGGCATGGGTATGCTATTGTTGTTGCGTTATTTCTTGCATCAATTGTGCAAACTATCTCCATCAACCACTATTTTTATCGAATGTACATAATCGGGATGAAAGTTAGCTCAACCTTGACTGCGGTTATATACAAGAAATCACTCAAACTGGGCAATGAAATTGGTAAAGAAATTACTTCTGGTGAAAAGGTTAACTTACTTTCTGTTGATGCAAGAAAATTCATGGATTTTTTGCCCTTTGTGAATTTAATCTGGTCCATTCCATTACAAATTGGGGTTGCCATTTATTTTCTATACATTGAATTGGGATATTCTTCGTTCTTCGGTTTGCTCATTATGATCACGATGCTTCCTATCAATGCAATAATGGTTCGTATAGGACAAAAGTTTCAGATCAAATCCATGGAGCAAAAAGATTCACGGGTCAAATTTATGAATGAAGTCCTAAGTGGTATCAAAATTATCAAATTTTATGCTTGGGAAGAGCCATTTCTCCAAAATGTAATTGCACTTAGAAAAAAAGAATTGGATCATCTTGAAAGTTTATCCTTTCTCCATTGTGTGTCGATTTTTCTATGGAGCTGTTCAACTACAATTGTTTCTGTTGTAACATTTGCTACTTTTATCTTAGTTCAAGGCGAAACACTCACGGCCCAGAAAGCGTTCGTTTCTTTATCTTTATTCAACATTCTTCGTTTTCCTCTAACGATGATTCCTAATGTAACATCTTTATATATATCGGTAAGATCATGACTAAATGAAAGTGTGCATGTTATCTTGATGTTCTGTTGATGTTAACCTCGAATCATTTTACCTTTTCTTTTGATCTTATTATAGACTTCAGTATCTATTAAACGTATCAACGAATTTTTGAGCGCAAATGAACTTGAGCCATATGTGACCAGAAATGATAGACCAGATTTTGCTGTTACAGTTGAAGATGGTTACTTCATGTGGAATCAAGTGATAAGTGAAGATGAAAGGAGCGAACATAAAGAAAGAAAAGCATTTGGATCGATTACTGACAAGGATCACGAAACTTATAAGTTATTAAGTGAATCAAACTTGAAACAAATCAATATGAAAATTGAACAAGGTAAACTTGTAGCGATTATTGGTCCGGTTGGATCGGGAAAAAGTTCATTATTACATGCGATTTTGGGTGAAATGAAAAAAGTGAAAGGTCGTGTTAATATTGATGGAAAATTAAAGATGGCTTTTGTAGCACAACAAGTATGGATACAAAATACGACATTACGTGAAAACATTTTATTTGGCAATCCTTATATTAAAAGTAAATATGATCGAGTTATATCGGCTTGTGCTCTCGACCTGGACATTTCTTATCTACCAGGAGGAGATGAAACTGAGATTGGTGAGAAAGGTATAAACTTGTCAGGTGGTCAAAAGCAAAGAGTCAGCTTAGCTAGAGCTTGTTACAGTGACTCTGATCTATATATTATGGACGATCCGCTGAGTGCTGTTGATGCTCATGTGTCTGCACATATATTTGAAAATGTTTTTTCTTCAGAAAGTGGACTTCTTAAAGATAAGACTCGTATTGTGGTTATCAATAGATTGGATCTGTTAACAAAAGTGGATCAAATTTACATTCTAAATAACGGTATGATACGTGAAACTGGTACCTACAAAGAGCTGATGAAATCTGAAATTCGTTTTGTTGAATATGTGGAGGAACTTTCACAGGGAACTTCAACTAGTCAGAATAATCAGCAATTTGAAGCTAAAGATGTTAATATTCAAAATGATGATGATCTAGACGAGAGACATAAATTAATCAGACAAGAAACGACAGAAACTGGAACAGTGAAATCTGTTGTTTATTTTGAATATTTTAAAATGGTTACATTTTTATGGACTTTTTTGATTATTGCGTCCCATTTTGTAATGGAGGGATTTGAATTGGCATCTAATGTATGGTTATCTGAATGGTCAGATTTAGACACCAAGGAGAAAGCAGTAAATGATTCAATACTTGTAAATGCAAAGATGGGAATTGGTATCTACAGCGTTCTTGGACTTGCAAAAGGTAATGAATGACAATACAATTTTAATTTTTTTAGAATGTTTATTGATAGTAATGAATAATTTAATTCTTTGTTTATCAAGGTATTGTAACTTTTATTGTTTCTTGGACCCTTGTAATTGGCACATCAAAAGCATCAGTTGGATTCCATCGCGATTTGCTTTTCCACGTTTTCCATGCACCGATTTCATTTTTCGATTCAAATCCTTTGGGTAGGATATTGAACAGATTTTCAAAAGACATGGATTCAATTGATACAACCCTTCCTCAAGCCTTAACGTAAGTTTTTGCCAACTATACATTCAAATCAAATGAATTTGGTAGAAAAATTATCTTTGCGCACATTAACATTTTCCTCGTTTTTTCATATCGCAGTAGCTGTCTTGGGTGTTTTTTTGGAATAGCTGCATCCTTTATTATCTTATTTGTGAAAACACCTACATTTATAGCAACATTCATCCCAATTTTTATTGTTTACGGGTTTGTTCAAGTTATTTACATGGCCACTTCTCGTCAATTGAAGCGTCTTGAGTCAATTAGTCGATCACCCATTTATACACATTTTGGTGAAACATTGAGCGGATTCAGCACTATTCGGGCATTTGATGTGTCAGAACAGTTTATGGAAGAATCAGCCAAGAAAGTTGATCTGAATATATCGTGTTTATATCTAAGTGTTACATTAAATAGATGGTTAAGTACTAGACTTGAGTTTTTTGGTATTTTGATCACTCTGTCTACAACAATATTTGCAGTTATTGCTCGAGATTCCTTAGAACCTGGCTTAGTTGGTCTTGTTGTATCGTATTCAATACTTCTTACCGGCAAGCTTAGTTGGTTTGTTCGAACGGCATCTGACTTTGAAACTAACATCGTATCTGTTGAACGAATATTGGAATATTGTAAAATTTCAAATGAAGAGGATTGGTATAAAGGTAAAATTGATCCTGAGGATGATTGGCCTAGCAAAGGGACAATAACATTTGATAAATATGAAGCTCGTTATCAATTTGGAAGTGAATTAATCATTAAAGGAATATCAGCAAATATAAAGTCAAAAGAAAAAGTTGGTATTGTTGGAAGAACTGGAGCAGGTAAATCGACATTAACATTAGCACTGTTTCGTCTGATTGAACCTTCAGGAGGAAAAATTTATATTGATGATTACGATATATGTGATTTACCATTGAGCAAACTTCGATCTCGTCTTGCTATTATACCTCAAGATCCCGTCCTTTTTGGTGGCAGTTTACGATTCAATCTTGACCCAGTCAACCAATATACTTCAAATGAAATTTGGACAGCATTGTCTCATGTTCAACTTGCAGATTTCATCGCAGCAAATGGTGGACTAAATTTCAAGATAACAGAGGAAGGTAAAAAATTAAGTTGCGGTCAACGACAGCTTATATGTTTGGCCAGAGCATTACTTAAGAAACCAAAAATTTTAGGTAAACTTTTTTTGTCGTTTACATCATCATTGATTGCATGTCAATAAGCAAATCTTACATTATAAATATTTTCTTTTCAATTTCAGTTCTCGATGAAGCCACTGCTGCCATTGACTTAGAAACTGATAATTTGATTCAAAAAGCTATTCGATCTCAATTTGGAGAATGTACAATCTTAACCATTGCCCATCGTTTAAACACTATTTTGGATTCGGATCGAGTAATGGTCTTGGATGCCGGACAAATCATTGAGTTTGATGAACCAAGGAATCTTTTGAACAACAAAGATTCACTCTTCTATTCACTAGCCAAGGAAGCTAATCTGATCAAACCAACAGTCTAATTCAGTATTAAATTTGGTTGAAAAAAATCTTAAGGAGCAATAATGTTTGTAAGTCTTTGTACTTGACAATTTGCTTCAGAAAAACCACATTGATTATGTCTTGTTAAATTCAATAATATTCATTGATTTATGTTTAAAACTGTTTAGAAATTACATGTCACAAAAGAGCAAGATATTCAGTCCTAGTGAGGTTGGGTTGAGTGGTATCTGATGCAATGATTGTCAAGAAAACGTTAATTGTTTAAAAAAAAGGAAATACAATTGAATCATTAAAGCTGTTTAGTTTACACATGATCCTACCCGTTGTAGGAATATAACTAGAGTTAATAACTAATATTGAAAATTTTTTTGTAATTTACCCACGAATGATTGTCTAGTCTGATTCCTCGGAACTCGATTTTCTTACAAGACCTAATCGTCTATCAAACCAATCTTCTCCAATATTACGATATTCATCTCTAGTTCGAGGATTATTTGATGGACAGGTTGATGAACAAGTTGACTTGTGTCCAAATTCACGAAAGCCATCATTGTTTGACTCTGTCACATAATTTCACATAAAATAGATGTTTTACATTCATTAGCTCAACGAGGATTCAATCGTGGGATAACTGAGAACTATTTTGAATTTCATAATAGAGTGGGAAATATTTGATGAATTTAAAACATTACCAGATTTTTTGGTTGGTTCCTTGGTTTCCAGATCTTGTCTTGAATGGTCCATCGATAAATAATAAAACTCAACACACAACTGACACTCTTCTCATTAAATTTTAACTATTGACCAGCACTCATAGAATTATCTATGAAATAAAGCCTTTAATTTAAAGGCTGACGAAAATATTTGGGATCCAGTTTTCTTTCAATTTCAAGGAATAGATGAAGCCTTGGTCCAACTCGACACAGGTGAATATCAGGAAGAGACTGAGTAAAGTGAAGCAAAAAGCGTTGATAATGGCCCAGCAAACAGGTAAATGTCAAAGGTTAATCTCTTCTAGGCAAGTTTTTAAACTTATGGAATGTTGTCTTAACAGAAAGAAACGACGAGAACAAAGAAACTGATACAAAATGAAAGAGGTCTAACTAAAACCAAAAACGAGCAAAATAACCCAAATGTACCAAAATGTTGCTCCAAGCTAATTTTGTGAGTTTTCGGTTTGATATTTTACGAAGGAAATTTGAATCAATTTTATTGATGGTCAAAGAAATCGAATCGAAATTCAACTTTTGTTTTTAAATTTTGACTCTTCTTAATCACTAACTGGTTGATTAGTACCCTTTGGTTTACTTTAATCAAGAAGGATTTGCGGAATGACTTCGAACCCAAACTTCTTTACTTTATTATATTGTAGATGGAGTCTACAAAAAACACAAAAGCACCGAAATTGCCAAAAACAATGAGTTTTATTATAATGAAACATGGATGAACTGTTGGTAGGTTTAGCTTAATTGCCTATTTTGCCGAAGGAAATTAATGTTGATTATGTAATATAAATGTTTATTCATTGAATAGCTCAAATTATACAACTTATGTAATAACAATTTATGAAAATGTTTACTTTATATTCAATATTGATCGTGGTCACTAAAAGGTTCTGGACAGCAGCACTTGATTAAACACTACAATGTATGATTATTTTTGATAAACCATTTTGATAAATCTACAAGAAACTCTATTATCAAGAAAATTGTTATTCAAATGGCGAGCAAGCTCAATAACAGGTTAATATCAGTCCTGCAAGTCAGATAGATATTTAATAGTCAGTAATAATAATTGAGTTTATTAGGTAACTGTTTGATCGGCAATGGATGAATTTGAAACAAATTCAGAGCCAATAATTGAGGCTGCCGTTGATGATGCAGTTTATTTTGAAGCTTTGTGTCATGAAAACATCTTCTGGGTAAGTTCACTGTTAGTTAATTTTCAATTGTTATGATTTGATCTTAATTGTTTCTAATTGTTTCGTCTCCAAAGAGCAACAATCAAACATGGAATACAACCTCACCCAAATTGAGCCGATGTTTCAGTCAAACAGTGCTTAACTGGTTACCAACAGGACTTCTTTGGTTATTCACAATCATCAAACAGCTTGTCAAGAGTGATACTTGTGTTAAGGAGACACAGAAGATTCCATGGAATCTTCAGAATTCATCTCGTTTTATACTAACGTTGATTTGCATTCTTCTTTATGTGTTACAATTATCCAAAACTATCTATCAACATTCCTATTCACCTGAATCAATTATTCCAGTCGATTTTTTGGCTCCAATATTGAACATTGTTTCCTTTGTAAGTATATCTATCTTTATGACCTTTGGAATTTACAAATCAGCAATTTAATTTATCATTTGGTGATCAATTAAAAAGATTGTTTACACAAATAAATGAATAGATTCAAGTTATCGAGTACATTTTATAATGGATTCTAGATGAAATAAAAGGTTAGATTAATAATGTCGTTCTTGATATACTTTATGTACAATGAAAGATTACAGAATTTGCAACTTTTAATGGTAAAGTCTATTAATTCTAGGCATTAACCAAGCAATTTATCAATTTAAAACTTAATGTGAAAATCTATCGTTGCATAGAATGGAAGAAATGAAAAATTTATATTTTGAACAATTTGAAAATTACATAAAACTAACGGTCACAGCTGATGAAAGGCTTAACAGTGAGATGAGTGAGTTTAACTTATTGTTTGTCTTTACATGTCTTATTAATTTGCTCAACATATTTTGTTTTGCTTTTAATTATTAATTGCTGAAATCTTCTAGATTTTGGTTTTAACATTATTTCATTATCATCGGTTAAATGGTGTTCACAGTAGTGTAACAATATGGATTTACATATTTCTTCAAACAATCACGTCATTTATAACCAGCTTTCAAACTTGGACTTATCCTGAAGATTACTCTCCATTTGATATCAACTTATTCAATACACAATCTGTTGTGATTTTTTTGTTACTCTTTGTCATCTCATTTGCCGATGTACCTAATCCACCTTTGGAAGATCATTCCGAAACAGGTGCCCAAAAGGATAGCTATGGTATCAATCCAGAAACGAAAGCTTCTTTTCCAAATTACCTTTTGTTCTTGTGGTTTAGTCCACTGGCTTGGCTAGGATGGAGAAAAATTTTAACCACTAAAGATTTCTGGGATCTTCGAGATGATATGAAAACTAAAAATCTTATTCAAGTATTCGAATCTTCAACAGAAAAAAAGACTTTCCATGGAAAAAAACCTCAGAATGTGAAGCAATTGCTATTGGATAAACATAAATTATCAATTATACCAGTTTTGATAAAAATTTTTGGTTATCGTTTCTTGGTAGGATCTTTCTTATTGCTTGTTCACGATATCGCCCAATTCATTATACCACAATTGTTAAAGTAAGTTGATCATGTAATTTCCTCTTCGTAATTTTTTTACTCAAAATTTTGATTAATAATCTTTTCTAATGAATATTTGTATATTTTTTCCCCAAAGGTATTTCATTGATTTTATTGAAAGACAATCAGACGAACCAGTTTGGCATGGGTATACAATTGTTGTTGCGTTGTTTCTTGCATCAACTATACAAACTGTCTCCATCAACCACTATTTTTATCACATGTACATCATGGGAATGAAAGTTAGCTCAACTTTGACCGCGGTCATATACAAGAAATCACTCAAACTGGGCAATGAAATTGGCAAAGAAATCACTTCTGGTGAAAAGGTTAACTTACTTTCTGTTGATGCAAGAAAATTCATGGATTTTTTACCCTTTGTGAATTTAATCTGGTCCATTCCATTACTGGTTTTGCTTGCCATTTATTTTCTATACATTGAATTGGGATATTCTTCATTCTTCGGTTTCTTTATTATGATCACGATGCTTCCCATCAATGCAATAATGATTCGTATAGGACAAAAGTTTCAGACCAAATCCATGGAGCAAAAAGATAAAAGAATTAAATTTATGAATGAAGTCCTAAGTGGTATCAAAATAATCAAATTTTATGCCTGGGAAGAGCCATTCCTCCAAAATTTAATTGCAATCAGAACAAAAGAATTGGATCATCTTGAAAGTTTATCCTTTCTTCATTGCGTGTTACTTTTTCTTTGGAACTGCTCAACTACAATTGTTTCTATTGTAACATTTGCTACATTTACCTTAGTTCAAGGCGAAACACTTACTGCTCAAAAAGCGTTTGTTTCTTTATCTTTATTCAACATTCTTCGTTTCCCTCTAACGATGATTCCTAATATAATATCTTCGTATATATCGGTAAGATTATGCCTGATGTGAATTACTCTGATGTTAACCTCGAATCTTTTTACCTTTTCTTTCAATCTTATTATAGACTTCGGTATCCATTAAACGTATCAACGAATTTCTGAGTGCAAATGAACTTGAGCCATATGTGACCCGAAATGATGAACCAGATTTTGCTGTTACAGTTGAAGATGGTTACTTCATGTGGAATCAAGTGATAAGTGAAGATGAAAGTGGTGACCATAAAGCAAACAAAGTATTTGGGTCGATTACTGACAAGGATTACGAAACTTATAAGTTATTAAGTGAATCAAACTTGAAACAAATCAATATGAAAATTGAACAAGGTAAACTTGTAGCGATTATTGGTCCGGTTGGATCTGGAAAAAGTTCATTATTACATGCGATTTTGGGTGAAATGAAAAAAGTGAAAGGTCGTGTTAATATTGATGGAAAATTAAAGATGGCTTTTGTATCACAACAAGTATGGATTCAAAATACAACATTACGAGAAAACATTTTATTTGGCAATCCTTATATTAAAAGTAAATATGATCGAGTTATATCGGCTTGTGCTCTTGACCTGGACATTTCTTATTTACCAGAAGGAGATGAAACTGAAATTGGTGAGAAAGGTATAAACTTGTCAGGTGGTCAAAAGCAAAGAGTCAGCTTAGCTAGAGCTTGTTACAGTGACTCTGATCTATATATTATGGACGATCCGCTGAGTGCTGTTGATGCTCATGTGTCTGCACATATATTTGAAAATGTTTTTTCTTCAGAAAGTGGACTTCTTAAAGATAAGACTCGTATTGTGGTCATCAATAGATTGGACCTGTTGACAAAAGTCGATCAAATTTACATTTTAAATAACGGTATGATACGTGAAACTGGTACCTACAAAGAGCTGATGAAATCTGAAATCCGTTTTGTTGAATATGTGGAGCAACTTACACAGGGTACCTCAACTAGTCAGAATAATCAGCAATTTGAAGCTAAAGATGTCAACATGCAAAATGATGATGATTTAGATGAGAGAAATAAATTAATCAGACAAGAAACGACAGAAACTGGAACAGTGAAATCTGTTGTATATTTTGAATATTTTAAAATGGTTACATTTTTATGGACTTTTTTGATTATTGCGTCCCATTTTGTAATGGAGGGATTTGAATTGGCATCTAATGTATGGTTATCTGAATGGTCAGATTTAGACACCAAGGAGAAAGCAGTAAATGATTCATTACTTGTAAATGCAAAGATGGGAATTGGTATTTACAGCGTTCTTGGACTTTCAAAAGGTAATGAATGACAATACGTACAATACTATTTCAGATTTGTTTTCAGATTGTTTATTTGAAAAAATAATTTTAATTCTTTGTTTATCAAGGTATTGTAACTTTTATTGTTTCTTGGACCCTTGTAATTGGCACATCAAAAGCATCAGTTGGATTCCATCGCGATTTGCTTTTTCACGTTTTCCATGCACCGATTTCATTTTTTGATTCAAATCCTTTGGGTAGAATATTGAACAGATTCTCAAAAGATATGGATTCAATTGATACAACCCTTCCTCAAGCCTTAACGTAAGTTTTATTAAACAGTCAAAGAAAATTAGATTGGTAAAAAATTGGATTTGTTCACAGGTGAATGGAGACTCATTCACATCCGGTAATAAGAAAAATGTAAACAATCGTTCTCATTAGATACATTATCAATGACAAGTACCATGGTACCATTGTAATATTGTACCATTGTAAATATTTTTAACAAAGTCTGTCTGCAGACAAAAAATATTTACAATTTTTCTTAATTCTGAATGTATTGGCTTGTCAATATGTGCAAAGATAATTTTGTTGATCAAACTCATTTTCTTCGACTGTATATCATTGATTATTCATTTGCGAAATTTTCTTCGTCCTTTTCATATCACAGTAACTGGCTTGGGTATTTTTTCGCAATAGCTGCATCCTTTATTATCTTATTTGTGAAAACACCTACATTTATAGCAACATTCATCCCAATTTTTATTGTTTACGGGTTTGTTCAAGTTATTTACATGGCCACTTCTCGTCAATTGAAGCGTCTTGAGTCAATTAGTCGATCACCCATTTATACACATTTTGGTGAAACATTGAGCGGATTCAGCACTATTCGGGCATTTAATGTGTCAGAACAGTTTATGGAAGAATCAGCCAAGAAAGTTGATCTGAATATATCGTGTTTATATCTAAGTGTTACATTAAATAGATGGTTAAGTACTAGACTTGAGTTTTTTGGTATTTTGATCACTCTGTCTACAACAATATTTGCAGTTGTTGCTCGAGATTCCTTAGAACCTGGCTTAGTTGGTCTTGTTGTATCGTATTCAATACTTCTTACCGGCAAGCTTAGTTGGTTTGTTCGAACGGCATCTGACTTTGAAACCAACATCGTATCTGTTGAACGAATATTGGAATATTGTAAAATTTCAAATGAAGAGGATTGGTATAAAGGTAACATTTGATAAATATGAAGCTCGTTATCAATTTGGAAGTGAATTAATCATTAAAGGAATATCAGCAAATATAAAGTCAAAAGAAAAAGTTGGTATTGTTGGAAGAACTGGAGCAGGTAAATCGACATTAACATTAGCACTGTTTCGTCTGATTGAACCTTCAGGAGGAAAAATTTATATTGATGATTACGATATATGTGATTTACCATTGAGCAAACTTCGATCTCGTCTTGCTATTATACCTCAAGATCCCGTCCTTTTTGGTGGCAGTTTACGATTCAATCTTGACCCAGTCAACCAATATACTTCAAATGAAATTTGGACAGCATTGTCTCATGTTCAACTTGCAGATTTCATCGCAGCAAATGGTGGACTAAATTTCAAGATAACAGAGGAAGGTAAAAAATTAAGTTGCGGTCAACGACAGCTTATATGTTTGGCCAGAGCATTACTTAAGAAACCAAAAATTTTAGGTAAACTTTTTTTGTCGTTTACATCATCATTGATTGCATGTCAATAAGCAAATCTTACATTATAAATATTTGTCTGAGCGAAGCGAAGACATATGAGGTGAAAATGAGAATTTTTGTTCGACGATAACTCAAAAATAATAATCACGATTTTGATGAAATCTTCAAAATAGGTTCCTATAGAGGTCAAAATTTACTGATTAGTTTTTGGTGACGATTGGCCCAGTCCCAAAATTTGGGGATATTTTATATACATAGAGGGCGCCAACACAGTTGTCACATTATGCACAAATTGAAACAAATGGGTACAAACGGTTTAAAATTAATTTCTTTCAGATTTAGATTCTGTTTTTTTTGTTGCGACATAAAAACTGAGTCAATCTGTGCGGTTTAAAAATTTATTTGATCCCCAGTTTTTGAGAAAATCGAGTTCAAAGTGAAACTTTTATAGCTTTTTGTGCAATTATGGAAGCAATTTTTTTGATGAAAATCATTTAACTGATGTAACTTTTGATGTTCAACCAGAAAATACACTTATTTTGACAGATAAAAATTTCTAAAATGTAACTTCGATTGTCAAAATAAATGCATTTTTGATTGACCATCAAAAGTAAAGCCATTTAAATGATTTTCAGGAAAAAGATCTACTTCCGTAATTACACAAAAAAGCGAACGAAGTTACAACTTTGACCTCGATTCCATCGATCCTAGAAATTATTTGAAATTTCTAATGAACTAGATGCGGTCAACGACAGCTTATATGTTTGGCCAGAGCATTACTTAAGAAACCAAAAATTTTAGGTAAACTTTTTTTGTCGTTTACATCATCATTGATTGCATGTCAATAAGCAAATCTTACATTATAAATATTTTCTTTTCAATTTCAGTTCTCGATGAAGCCACTGCTGCCATTGACTTAGAAACTGATAATTTGATTCAGAAAGCTATTCGATCTCAATTTGGAGAATGTACAATATTAACCATTGCCCATCGTTTAAACACTATTTTGGATTCGGATCGAGTAATGGTCTTGGATGCCGGACAAATCATTGAGTTTGATGAACCAAGGAATCTTTTGAACAACAAAGATTCACTCTTCTACTCACTAGCCAAGGAAGCTAATCTGATCAAACCAACAGTCTAATTCAGTATTAAATTTGATTGAAAAAAAATCTTGAGAAGCAATAATATTCAATTTTTTTAGCGAATAGTCGAAGCCAATTTACTATCGAGAAATCACATTAATTATATCTTGTTTAATTCAATATTTTAGTGTTTTAAATGTAATTATTTATTCACAATTGCAGATAACTGATTATTTTGATGAACAAACTCAAAAAAGCAAAAAATAGAAAAATTTGAAATCCATAATTTGAAAAGTGTTGTGGAGAGCAACTGTGAAATTCTTATTCATGCTGATTTTGCAGAATCGGGATTGAAATATGTTGTTTTACAACAAAACAAGCAGCTTACGTTGATAAACAAGTTTAATTTAGGGTGTCCGAACGAAGATTCGATCGAGCGTCCACTCGACTCTTTCATCAATTTCATTAAGACTAACAGCTAAATTATTCTTTTCCATGCCAAGTTCATTAGTACCTCGTTTAAGCTTGAAGAAACCTATCAAGATAAAAGATTAATATATAAAGATTTATATCCATTACAATAGTTCATGATAATCGCATGTTGTTACTTACCGTTTTCACCCCATTTGGTTCCCCAAGAGTTAGCTAGAAGCCAATAGTCAACACCATTCTCGGAACCCCAACCAATGCATTTAACCACATGAGATCCTAATTTCACATTGCTTCTTCTTTGATAAACTCCTTGAAAGTAAAATAAAGAATTATGTTTTTCTTATGAATTAAGTATTACTTACAAGGGAAGGTTCCCAAACACTACACCAGTTTTCAATTTTCGCATAGGTTAAGCCTATTGAATGCAATGTGCATCTATTAAGAAATACAGCAAAGATGCGAGGAAAAATCTTAGTTGTACAAACCTGATTTATAAAAAAGTAGATCTAAATAAACATCAATGTGGGAGGTTATCGGTCCATAATGCAGTATCTCGTACTGTATCCCTGACTCGTTAACTGGTCGATAATAAGTAACTCTGCGGATACCGTAAAAATTTCTGTCTGAATAAATATCACATCGTTTTGAAAAAGGCAAACATTTTTTTAGATCGGAAATGGCAATGTTAGTTGTTTCCCAATATTCAAAGGCTTTAGCCATGTCAGCTGAATTGAATTCATTTGAGCACCCATAATTGCTCCTCATCATATTTTTAACTGTTGTATCAACGTCAATATTTGTTTTATTGCCTTCATTAACACAAAGTCGATCAGCAATTTGGCCAACAGATGCATATATCCATGAAGGTGAACATAATCCTTGGTCATAAATTTGACCAATAGATGGACAATGTGCCCATTTATCACGAGAATCAAAGCTACTAATTTGCTCCTCATCATGTCTTAAATAACGTAATTTTTCTCTTATTGAAGTCAATGTTTCTTCTGAGCTCATAAAAAGCTTTTTCATCTTCGATAAGCTCAGTCCATGTAAATTTTTACCAGCCTGAGATTACAAGAAAAAATGATATCAATGTAACTGTTAACTATTTCATGAATCACTGTACATACCTTCCATGTTATATTGAGGGCGTTGATTAGGTCAATTATTTCATCTGAAAAAATATCAGTATCTGAAGAAGTATCAGTTTCTGACGAAGTTTGATAGGCCTTGCATGAACAAGTAAAAAGCACAATGAAAATGAAAAATCTCATTTCAAAACATTAGTTCAGGGAAAAGTTAAACTGAAAGCAATTAATAATATAAAGTATAGATTTTGAGTCTTTTTTTATACTGATCTAAAGGATGTTGCGGAAAATTAGAAACTTTCTCACCTTACAAGATTGTTAGATTATTAAAATCACTGAAGAAAAGCAATATCCACGTATTTTCATTTTTCTTCTTCTTCAATTTTCTTATCTTCATTGTTATCGTCGTCCTCATCATCTTCATCATAATCTAAGGAAAGATAATTTCTACCTTTTATCCGCAACACACTTATTTTCATAAAAGAACAGGGCTTTTGGTGATTTCAAAAAAAATATTAAGATGTGTTTAGTTATTTGCATAGTGAGAAGGTTTGACTCTAGGCACTTCCACATATCTGCCAACAAAATCTTTTTATACGAATGATGAATGATAAGGATAGCCTGATGTTAATTTTTATTCATGAAATGAACTGACTTTTCTTAATACAAGTTGTCACATTGTTTGTTACTGTGTCTAGCAGATTTCAAGGATAATTCTCGCTGTATTTAACACGTATTATTAGATCACTCTGGACTCCACCTCACTTATCAACCATGAATATCCATTAATACAATATGATCAAATAAACTTATATCAATTTTAGACAAGATTAAACCAAGAATACAGTATATCATGTGTACCAATGCACCGTTATTATTGTATGTGCAATGCAAAGAGTAAGGTACACTTCACTTTACTCTTTGATGGAAACTAAATGTACATGATAAAGAAAAGAAAGGCAGAGGAACAGATAAAAACAATTATATTTATTATTTATTAATCCAAATCCATGTTGACGTCACCACAACCATTACAATTAATTGAATTGTTGTTTCAAAGTATCGAAACAAGGCTTGCCAATTCGATGAAGTTACCGAGGAGAAAGAGCAATCAGGCGACTTATCTTTTGGATAATTACAAATACAAGTTCCTTGGTTAGTACATTTACCTCGATTTTGGCAATTGATTGGACAAGGTTTCGTCTCAATAACTTTTGACACTGGAATGCATTCTTGGTTGAGACACATTTTATTTACAGCACAAGGCGCACCATCAGGTACTAAACCTAAATCGGTTGCGTTACGTTGGAAGCTTCTGGAGATATGGATACCTCGACAGGGTGGATCTAGAAAGTCACGTATAAACCTTGAATATGCTTGTTTAATTGAGTTTCTTAATCTGTCAGTGCATGGTAATCGGCCACATTTGACATCTTCCTTTTTACATTTTTTTGCTTCGCCGTCGAAGGTTTAAAAATAGCGACTTGGAGGACCACAATTAAAATAATCTGTACCCAATGAATTTCTTTCATAACACGAATCTGGGGCAGGATCAGAACTTTCGAAAATTTTATCACATGAAAGATGATAACTGCCACATTTACCATTAAAACAGTGTATTCACAACTCCAACCATCGTGCACATGAAGATCAGGAGGACAGAATTGAGATGATCCATCACATTTTTCTTCTATATCACAATCACTGGTTGCTGGACGGCATACATGATTATCTGTTGACTTGTAGAGCTCGCAAGTTTCAAAATTACAACAAGGCCCGTGTCCACACTTGGCTCCTTCTAAAAGTAAACAAGTTGATGGATTGCAACATTTTGAACAATGTTTTATATCCGCACAATCACACTGTTCGTTGCCATTTAAAGAGTAATCGCCACAATATGCGCCTAACTCCGGTTTATCTAAAAAGCAATCAAGATAACCCAATAAAATAGATGCTTCCACTTGTTGAATTGTGGAATGTGACAATTCAATGATTGAATTTCAATCTCCGGGAAATAATAAATGCTCACTAGATGGCGACTTTGTTACAAACTGTAACACCTTACAGCAATACATTGTACTGTAAATTTCAATATGAAACTAACATGTGGTTAAACTGACAGGTAATTTTTTTATCAATATCGTTCTGATTCAGTGTAATTTTATTATTGTGTTTTTAATTGATTGTAATGTTTAAATTTTTTGCGGTGGCAAGAAATTACGTAACAAATATGATTAGTGTTACAAAATATTGCAAATACATTGCATTTTGTTGATCTGACACCACCTCACATCATGTCAGACTCGATTAAAAAATTTCGCGCTGATTTCGATCAACCAGTGGCCTCGACGAACAAAAAAATCGAACTGGTCACAAATCATTATCATTTGGAGATACCGAGATGCGTTGTTTATCACTATGATGTAAAAATAGATTATGGAGGATTTGATGGCAATCTTTTCAATGAATCTTCATTTTATCACGGTAAATCAACAAAATTTTATTCTGATAAAAGCTGGAGTGTCATGAATAAATATATCAAACAGAATCAATCATCTGGGGGCACCTTTTATGATGACAATTTGCAGGCTTGGTATGTATATTGTTCAACTACCTGTTAATGTGTGATTTAATCACTTACTTCTCAATTTTTTGCAGTTTGCTACCTGTTTTTGATGGTAAACAAAATTTGTACACAGTCCGCCCCATACCATCGTTAGGCATCACAAAAATGGCTGAAAAATGTGAATACATCAAATTAGAAGATTCATCGAAGTTTGGATACCGAATCAAGATTCGATTTGCAACCAAAGTAGATCTTGAAGCTTTGTCTGATTATGTCAACGACAATAGATCATTCAAGAGTGCTGATTGGTACAAAAGACTACCACATGATGCTGTGCGAGCGCTTGACATAATTCTCCGTGCTAGTTCACCGGTAAATCACGTTCCATTAGGAAATTGCATTTTTCCTAAATCTGAAAATGCTGACTCTATCAACATCGGCTGCGGGAAACAAGTCATTAGTGGACATTACCAAAGCATCCGTCCAACAGCCAGTGGCCTTTCCTTAATTATCGACAAAAGTTCAACAACATTTTACAATGCAACTGATTTAGTTGATTTCATACGAAATTTACTTAAAGAAATTCCCGGTAAACAAAGTGTTCGTAATATGGACCCTCTTGCCAGCATTAGTTTAGCATCCAAGGAAGCAAAAAAGACGATTGAAAACAATTTATTATTTATTGAAAAAGAATTACAAGGAATCAAGTTGGAGGTAACTCATACACCACAAAAAATGAAATTCAAAGTCAGGAAATTGACGAGAACTTCAGTTAAAGAAACCTATTTTACTTTGAATGGATTTGAGGATAAAAAAATTTCCGTTTACGACTTTTTCCTTGAAAAATATAAAATCAAAATCAGTTATTTGCATCTACCTTGCGTGGTTGTTGGGAATGCCAAGAGACCATCTTATCTGCCACTAGAAGTCTGTCAAGTTGTCAAAAATCAAAGGACCAAAGCGTTGAGTCAAAAGGAGAGGATTTCATTCATCAAATCTTCTTCGCAAGACTGTGATCGTAGATTTGAAGTGATAAACGATGGTGCACTTTCAATCAAAAAGGCCAATACCAATTATCTTAACGAATTCAGCTTGGATTTATCCGAAAAACCTATACAAGTTGATGGTTTGTGCTTAGACAGACCAAAAATTTATTATAAGGATAATTTTTTTACACCCGACGCTGGAAAATGGAATATGTGTGATAAAAAAATTGTCAAAGGATGTAAAGTTGATGATTGCCGTTGGTTTATTGTCAATCTTTCAAAACTAACGGAGGATGTTGTAAAACGTTTCATATCACTTTTAATCTCATTCGGCAACGATAAAGGAGCCAGTATTGGACAACCTGAATATTGGAATGATGGTCATTATGAGTGTAAAAGTGTGGAAAGAATCTTGAAATCCATCCACAAAAAGCATTACAACAAAGAGATTCGTCGTCCAAAGTTGATAATGTTCATCATTACTCGGGTAAAGGATGATAGCATTTATCATGAAATAAAGCAATCTGGTGATGTCGAGTTTGGTTTCAACACGCAATGTGTAGTTGATTCTAATGTAAGAAGTGCCATTAAAGATAAAGGTTTTTTCATATTAGCCAACATTTTCTTAAAAATGAATGCAAAACTGGGAGGCATAAATAATGTGATTGGTGTTGATACTACTCTAAAAGGGATTCTTGGGAAACAAGCAACTATCATCATGGGAGCTGATGTAACTCATCCTACCGATAAAATGTCCTACTCAATAGCTGCATGTGTTGCCAGTTTAGATGAAAATCAAACACAATATGCTGCAAGTGTCCGTGTTCAACAAAGATCTAATGAGGAAATAATATTAGATCTCCCTGACATGGTTTATGAACTTTTAAATACATATGTAAATAAAAATATGAAAACTGATTCAAAATCAGTTGACAACATTTTACCTGAACGTCTTATATTCTATCGAGATGGTGTAAGCGATGGTAAGTATCACCTGTTAACCATTTATTCAACTCAATCTAAATCTCAATATTTCTTATTTTCATAGGTCAATTTTCAAAAGTGATGGAAAAAGAAATTGAAAGAATGCCAGAAGCTTTCGAAAAGATCTCGAAAAAATTTGGCCTTAAAGTGTCCTATCGCCCAAAAGTAACTTTTATTGTTGTTCAAAAACGACATCATACCAGATTAAAACCTCTGAATCCAGATGATTCAGAAGGAAAGGCCAAAAATGTACCCTCAGGGACATTAGTGACTCAAAAAATCGTTAGTACAAACAACGGATCTGATTTTTTCCTCTGTAGCCACTCAAGTTCATTGGTAAGCGAAGAAACAAGAATTGAATTAGTCATCAGAGATTTCAAATTAATTTAAACTTTTCTCTTTTCTCATTTACAGGGAACATCTAAACCAAGTCATTACTATGTGCTCGTTGATGATAATAACTTTGACTCAGGAGTTCTGTATAGTTTAACCTTCAGTCTATGCTATATTTATGCTAAATGTACTCGTGTTATCTCAATTCCAGCCCCGGTTCAGTACGCACATTTGGCCGCTTTCAGAGCCCGTCAACATTTGGTTAATACCGACAAAAGAAGATACTCTAGCGACCCTGAGAGCGAGAGAAAAGAAATCGAGAAATCCATAAAAATTCATCATAGACTAACCTCAGATTTTTACTTCATTTGATTTCTTTTACTGTCCAACTTTTAATTCTCATCTATTTTAATTTCCAATTTTTTATCACCAATGCTTGATAAGAATTCACTCATGCATTTACTCAAAGTACTTAATCATGTTTTGTTGACCAAATTGTATGTTTTGTTTAATATAATCAATTTTATCACGTTACTTTTGTTCATAAGTCAATATTGATTCAAAAAGATAAGCAGGCTACAATGGTTTTGATGGTTGAAACAAGAAAAAGTATAAATAAAATGATTTAGGAATTGGTTTAGAATGTAGTTTAACTAGATATTAAGATGACAATATTAATTGTATTGATGACTTTTATGTGCACCCAATAAGTTTTTTTGTTTAAATTAGTCAGTAATATTAACAGAATTTTCGAAGGAAGAGAAAGCAAGAAATAAAGCTCAAAACATGTTGACATAAAAAAACTTACAAGAATTTACATTTTTTTCCAATCTTTACACTCAAGGAGGAGGGAATCGAGAAGATTTTTAAATTGGAATTTAAGTTGATTAAATCATGGCCTGATTAGGAATAATTTCAAATATTTTCAAGCCATGCAATGAAATTTTATAATCCAAGGATTTATCTAGAGATAGGGTAAAAATAATGAAAGAATAGGTTCTTTTGCTTTGGATCAATTTGAAAAAAAACTCTTTATAGCTGAGTTGTGTTGAGTGATGATATTGATGATGTGAATGCAAATAATGCGGTGGCTTGTGATTATGACAAATGGGAAGATGGTAAATGAGAATCATGGTGAAAATGGGTTATGAAAATTGACAAAGATCTTGGCGTAGCAACTTTTTGTGGTGATTGGCAGAGAGAAGAGAGGAAGAATGACCAAGGAAAGTTCAAATCAACCAAGAGATGTGTTTTTGTATGACCAATAGTAGAAGAAGCTGATGATAAATGAAAGATGAAAAAAAAGAAAGGAAAAGGAGAAAAAGAAAAATGAAAAATTACAAGGAGAACAAAAGAGCGAAGAAAATAAAAGTAGAAAAAACGCAAAAAAATGAAAAACAGAGACGAAACTTTTATGACTTTATGCAGGTGATAGAGATTATCAGGAAGCAAGTCGCAAGAAAACAGGTCTTCCAATCAAAAATTTTTTGTGCATCGTTCTAACAGCTCTAGCTGCATCCTCAGGAGTCCTGAATTCAACGCTACAGTCCGAAGTGGCCTGGCCCTTGTCATTTAACCGTCTAACAATTCTGTCGTGTTTAATATCGAAGTCTGCAAAAAAGACACAAATATCCTCATTGGTGGCCTTGTAAGGTATATTCGAAGCAATGACAACACACCGAGGATCATTAAAGCTGGTGTAGTTTCCTCCTCCTATGGGTCCACCTGCGTGCGCTCCGTCCCCGCCTCGACGTCCTTCCTTCTCTCGACGGCCACGGAAATCTTCTCGTCCTCCTCTTCTCATTTTCCTAGGATCACCACTCATTTCTCCATGGGGTGGAAACATTGGTCCACCATGTCTCATATCCATGCCTCCGTTATTCATTGAAGGAGGACCAGGTGGAGGAGGACCATGATTGCCAGGTCCACCAGGTCCACCAGGTCCACTAGGACCACCTGGCCCGGCTGGTCCGGCTGGGCCACCAGGAGGTGGAATACCGACTACTCTTCTCATCAGATCATGTGGCACTGAACGCACAGATATTCTCTGAGCACCCATAAAACTACCATCTTTTCTTATTGCTTTCATCTGTTGTTCTGAAGTCGAGAATTCGACAAAAGCTTCACCTGCATTAAAGCCATTAGCCTTTAGCATAATATGAATTGCAAAAGGCTGAGCACCAATTTCACTGAAGTAATTAGTCAAGTCGCGATTAGTTACTGTAGGAGGAAGATTTGTAACTGACACACAATAGGTTAAGCCGCCTGAGCCACCTCTAGGTGGAGGTGGTATGCCTCGATCATTAAGTCCGCCGTGAGCCATTCGAGCATCATTCATGTCTTCTTTCGTAGTAGGAAAAACTTCAATATATCTTCGACCCATATGTTTCATATTCATATCCAAAGCCGCATTGAAATCTTCATTGGTGGCAAACTCAACGAAAGCATTTCCCGCTGGTTTACCGGTTCGCCCGTCAATTTCAAAAACCATGTCAACAAAATTCAAGCCGGTAAAAAAATCAGCAACATCACGCTCTGTACAGCTATTGTAAGGTATGCCTTTCATGTAGACAACATAGTCTCTTGGAGGAGGTAAAACATCATGAGGAGGCTGATAACTTGCCGGAGGTCGACCAGTTGAACCATTGCCACCGATCGGTGGAGGAGAGTTATAATGAGGAGATCTACTTCTACTCCTATTACCTATCCTATAGCCTATTGACCTATCCCCTATTCCACGAGTAATGTCTCGTTCACTTGATCGACGCCGAAAATCGGCTTCTTGGTAACTACCGGGTAAATTACCTACACCCGCCATGGGATAATTCCCCATTCCGGGGTGTCCTACTGGTTCTGATCCATGATGATTAGAAGGGTGAAGTGGTGCGGGTGGAGGTTGATTTGGTGGTAAGCCATGATGATGTTGAGGGGCATGAGGATGGCCAGGACCGATATTAGGTTGTCCTGGTCCACCACTAGAATAATTACCAGGTGAGCTATTAACACCCGGTATAGGGTAATTTACCAATCCAGGAGGTCCTAATTGTTCAGCTTGGTGGTGATTACGAGGGTCATTAATAACTGATGGTGGCGGTTGGTTTGTCTGTAAACCATGATGATGAGGAGTAACATGAGGATGAACAGGCCCACCAGCAGTTTGGCCTGGGTCATTACCTTTTATTCCCAAAGTTTGATTACGAGCCTGTTCAATAACTTTTTGCATCTCATTGCGGCTACTAAGATATAATTTGACTCTTGAATCTTTAATTAAACCACCATCTCTTTCCATGGCTTGCCGAGCATCTTCATCACTAGAAAAGGCAATAAATGCATCACCCTTATCACCTCCAACAATATGAACACCACCATCAGGAATAGATAATCCTTGAAAATATCGACGAATATCCAGTGAATTAGCCTCCCATGGTAAATTTTGTAAACGAATAATGATAGACATTATAAATCAATACTCAATTGTCAATACAAACGTGTTTTTAAAGCAATCCTGTTATTGAATTAAATGAAAAAAAAACCTAGAAAAAAACCAAATAAATTTTATGCAGCTGAGCTGAAGGCTTTTCAGAAAATCCGAATCTTGGTCAGTATCTGAAAAAAATAACCGAAAACCGGTTTTCCATACTGCCATCTGTTGTCTGAATCAAAACCTTTTTTCACCCGGTAGACTAAAGTTTTCGTTACATTTTTATGAAAATCTAACTTTAACCAATCAATCAACATGAATCAACAGCTGGCTTCTGTCATTTTAACCAATTAAATCATATTTAATATTCCTGGCCCTTTAAAATATGTGACAAAAAAGCACATAATTTATTTCAAAGATGTTCAAATCTACCGATGATCTTAATATTTTCAATCCGCAGTTATTGATATTTGACCTGTTTTACAGTTAATTTAGTTTTAAAGCTCAGAAGTGCTAGAGTAATTAGATGAAAATAAATGGTTGATTCCTGATTTCAAATAATTAGCGTTGCGAGTAATATCGATTATAAGTGGTATATTCATGATGTTCTAATTTTTTAGACAAGTAAAATGTAAAAAGATCGAATTTTATTTCTTTAGTTTCTTTCGATTTGATAATTTACATTTTATTTTGGGACAGTTCTCGTTTCTGTCCTTTTTACATGAATGAATTTGAAGATAAATTGTTGAGATTGAACCAATAGAAATTTAAAGTCGAGATGCTCATAAATCACTTTGAGACAAATGTTGGCTGGCCAATCGTTGACTTTGAATAGTCAGTAATTCTGAACAATAACCATTACATTACTGTTGCACGTTTCGATGAGGTTTTGTCTTATTGGAAGGATTTAAAATGGGCTCAAAATTATAATTAAAAATTGCTTCTTGAAAGCCAAACAACTCTAAAAGACTAACCATAAAAGATTTCATTTTTTTGGACAAAACTTCATGTACAGTGAGTAATATACAAGGATTGTAGATTTTTTATCACAAATATTGGTTAAGACCATGATCAGAAGCATGCTTTGCACTGGTTTTTGATTGTACTTCACAGGTCATGATACAATTTTTAATTTCATTCACTAGAGTTTCCATTGATTGTTAATTCACAACGCTTCTCCAAATGATATAATCTTTGTTTAATCTTTTTCTGGCCAGCTGAGTATTCTGCTAGTAAACGAGCAAACCGAGTAGTCAATGTGTCCAAGTTTGATTCCAAACGTCCACACCTATCTTCTAGCCTTTCTCTTTCCTTTTGACTTCGTCTTAGAGCATCTTCATCGAGTAATCCATCCTTCAATAAGATTTGTTTTCCTCGTTCAATCAGCATTTCCTTTGCCTCTGGATACTCTTCCAGAACTTCCCACAAGTCTTGCTTGGAAAGCACAAAGCAATCTGAATAACCAACCGAACGAACATTCGCTGTCCTCCTGTTTCCCGTTTTGTTTCCTCTTATATTTAAAATGGACAATTCACCAAAAACAGAGCCATCGCTCAAAGTTGCCAGAACAATGTTACCATCATCTCCAACAACCGAAAGTCGACCTCTTTTAACTATGTACATTTCTTTACCAACATCACCCTTGCGACAAATAAAATCACCTGGACTGAACACTTGAAGGCGAAGTTTCAAAACCAATTGAGCCAGTAAACCAGATTCACAGTCTTGAAATAATTTAACCTAAATTTAACATAAACCAAAAAATGTATACATGAGAAAACTTGAAGATTAAATGAAAGAATTGAAAGAAGTAATCGACTTTTTCCTCTTCATTCTTTTTTTGCTACACACTAGCATTACTATTGCAATAGTATTACAAACACACATCTACCTCGATCTAATGATCCACAAGAGATTAATATAGCTGGCCAAGTAAACTTAATTTCAAACCAAGCCAACCATTTTGATAGATATTTGAGTTGAGTTTTTTGCTGTTCACTTTTTATCCATTATTTCTTACCTTTTTCAATGTATCCAAATGAATATGCATTGCAATCTCTGCTCTTAACTTGTCAGGTAAAATTGATATAACTGCTTCTTCATCCAACGATTGTTTATTTGACCATAGATAATCAAACCATTTGATAACTCTTTTCTCCAATTCTTTTGAAACTTTACGAAATTCCATATACTGTTTAACAGCATCCATGCGAGATTGAAATTCAGCTCGAGAGGCATTCATATTGGTTATCATGGAACCCACATTACCAACAATTGTGGCAAATATAAGGACACCGATGAGAAAATCAAAAATGACAAAAATATATTCCTCATCGCGAGTGGGAACAGGTACTTCACCAATGGCAGTTAATGTTAAAGTTGACCAATAGAAACAGTAAACATATTGTTGAAAAAATCCTTCACCAGTATTGTTCATACTATAAACCCAGCGATCAGTATCGAAACCTAATTAAAAAAAACAAAAAAAAATGATCAATAAACTCAAACAAAATCAAATAAAACATTTCAAATAAATTAACAAAAACAAAACATTGAGACTATTGAACCCTGAGTAAAGCATCTTTACTCTCTGGTTGAACCCAAAGTCACCACCGGTTAAGATGAAGCATAAAAAAGGAGGTTCAATAATTAAAAAGCATAAAAAGCATCGATAACATTGAATGTTGACTAAATATTGAATAAAATAAACACTTTTTTACCAATAATTGAACCAAATTTTTTCATTAAAATAAAAGCAATTTATAGCAATAAATGTTTTTACCAGAAATTTAACCAGAAAAAAAGATTGAGCTTTTTTCCAATCAACTTGAATCACCATTAGAGCTACACTTTTGTACAAATGTATTAAGATGTAAATACCAATTAAAGGCAATCAATGAAAAAAAGCTAACTATTCATTAACCCAGCTAAACATTGATTAACTTTTGAGATAATTAACCCTTCAGCTAATGTAATAACAATAAGAGTCAATCCTTATTAATACATAACTTACTTTACCATGTAATGTTAACTAATAACAAACCTAATCAAAATGTCATCAAATGGTAAAGAGCAAGGCAAAAAGTAATACAAAACCAAATTAACTTGACAAAATTAAAAGGTTACATCATAAATTTAATGCATGTAATACGATAAAATGAATGCTAATTAATGGTTCAACTTGATTAATGTTGATGTAAAAAGATTGATTGAAACTGTAAACACGATCAAAAATGAATTGACCTTTAAAACATTGAAACATCCTTTGATGGTAATTTTTGATGACAATTTTGATGTTAAATTGGTGCAGACAACTTTTAGGTTAACTTTACAATTTAATTGCAAGCTAAAGAAGAGATATAATGAAGCTTACCAATGAAACTTGACATGGCAAAATAAAAGCAAGCATTCCAATGGATAACCACCAAAATGATGAAGATCAATTTACAAATACGAAAGGCATTTGGAAAATTGGTTCGAGTCTCGGTTCGATCAAAACACTCGATTAACCGGTGAAGTTTAAACAGACGATTTAATCGGACAATAACGGGACACGGAATGTGACCATCTTCACAGGAGATTCCAGTAATAAGGTAAAATAAATCACTTGGTATCAAAGAGATCAGGTCAAGCTTAAGAGTGGGACTTGTAACATAATTGACCAACAGCTTTTCTGTATCACGAACAAGTAAACCTTGCTCTAAATAACCTAAAAAAAGGAGAAACAAGAAAAGACAAAAATGTTTCAAATGTTGAACCCAAAAAGATTGATCAAAAGCTGAAAATTCATTTCCAATGAAAAATTATTCAACAACAAGCACTTTCCAACAATTGAATACAAATTTCTCAAGTTGAATAATTCAAAACATTCAACTTTTCCATATTATTTCATCATTTCAATATTATTGCCTTTAAACAATTGAAGCAATTGTCTGGCCAATGAAATGAAATGATTATGCAAAATGTGATAACAATTGAACGGAAAAAGTGAATCAAGAAAATCGAAAGAACAACTTTTTTCCATTTTTGCCTTATTTTGGCTCAACACTCGACATTTGCAAATGTAAAAATGTTGATATCAATTGGCATTTCGAGTTTTGTTTTTTTGTTTTTTTCTTCTTCTTCTTCTTCTTTTTTTGGTTTGCTTTTTGCAAAATAGATTTGTTTGAATCTTTTTGATGATTCAAGGAATGGCAATGAAAATGTTTCTCAGCATTGAAAAGAGCAAGAATGGAAGAGAAAATTTTCTTTTCTTTTTTTCTCTTTTTCCAAATGTTCTATTGATGCAGAATAGGGAATGAAACGGGAACTGAAAGGAGTTAAGATGCTGTTTATAATCATCATCATCATCATGATAATGATGGTGAAAATGGTGAACATGAATTGGTTCAAAGATGGTAAAGATAATGGTTAATCTTTGCCAATGTAAACTGTAACCGGAGATGGAAACTTTCAAGATGAAGCAAGAAGAAACTCGACAAGAAGAAGAAGAAAAAATCTCAGTTCCATGGAAAGTAATATTATTAATATTATTGTTATTATGGGAATGGCGAAACAAAGAGAAGAAAAGTTTTCTTCTTTCTGGCGAAAAACAATTTCCTTGCAAAGCAAAAAAATGTTGATGGACACTTTTATTTAGGCTAAGACTTTTCATTGAAACATGAAGAATGTTGAAGCTTAGTCTAGGTTGTCACCTTGTTGTGTCAATCGTCAATGTGACAACCTTGTTTGGTCAGCTTAGTTTGGGATGGAACCAGGTTTTTGGCACAAAACACTTTCACCAACTAATTGTTAACAGTAAATTGAGTAGAAATGAATTCTCACTCAAATAACGTTGAGAATAGTTTACTTTGGTTGATTTGGTTAAACAAGATTGTTTTGTCTAAACAATTCAATTAGATACAGTCGAAGGCTAAAGTTGATTTGATTCTGATAAACATTTACTTGTTATAAAACCAAATGGTTCACTCGGAGTTTACATCACATTAATTTACTTTGCAGTTGTGATTGAACCATCAATATATCCTTACTAATATTATGTCGCTCTTCAATTTGATTTGATTCCAATAAACATTCCAAATTGGTTAACTTGAAGCTCGCTTTTAAGTTGTATCAAGTAGTATCGACAATCATTTCATGTTATTTGGTCAAGACAATAGTTGATCGTTTTAGACCGAAATTGCGAGACTAGAAAAAATTGTATTTTCTTTTGACTTTTAGGCCGTTTTGGTTCTTATCCTGTTTCAGCTGTTCAACTTATTTACTTAATGATGTATGAAAAAATTTAGGTAAAGTAAACCTTACAAACGATTTGCATGTTTTTTGAGAAACAAGGGCAAATAACCTAATTATACGATTTTTACATTGAATTTTAAAAATTATTTCTGAATGTTTTAATCCTTGCGTTAGCTCATCAATTGACATTTTGAAGTTTTGTTGCAGTCGTATGAACAAACTGAGTTTTGCTAATTGAAACAGATAAAACATGATGTATAATGATATTCATTTAGACAAAAAGTAAATAAGAAAAGCTGACTCGTTGCTGGAGTTGGATCAAGCTGAAACAAATAAAAGTTGAACATAAAAGCAACTATTACAAAGTTATAAGTTGAAATTTTAAGTTTACAAGTTTTTTCCCAGGGTAAAAGTATCAGTTAAAATGCAACTGTATTTTACAAAAATCGTATGTCTAGTCTTTTTCATTAATCTCTGTGTTATTGTTGGAGAAGGCGCTGGTGGATTGCCCGGAGAAACCGTACCAAGTGGTCTCTTGAATACTGGTCTCTTACCTGGATAAAGTCAAGAGTGACTGAAGTTGCTGAATCTCTAGATCGTGGTTTACCGATTCATTTTATGAAGTCATAATCGGAAAGATTAGCAGTACCGAGACATTATGAGCATACGATGATAAACAATTTAGGTCCAGTAAACCTTATTAAAGCTCTGAATATTAGAGTCATTCAAGATTACTCGATTATTTGACGATCAAGTCACATTCTAAGGTCATTCTAAAACTGGTATCTTGACGAACTTGTCTATGCTGTCGAAAACTTTTACCATAAAGAAGATACACGAGTTTCCTTCAAACCAATACTGAATTTTAGCTAACATCAGCCACTCGAAATTGAGTAACTCGAACTGTTTTGAAGAGATTAGAGTTCAAGTATCCTTCAGCTCAGCAATTTTGGTTTGAATAAAACTCAAATTGGTTAAGGCTCTTCAATTTACGAAAGCTAATAGTTCAAACCAGATCTGTAGCATCAACCGTTTGTGAGTTATGACTGAAAACAATGGATGAAAAAACGTCCGATGCTCATTTAAATGCATCTTTGAACAATCAGTGTAAAAGGTCGTCCAATTTAAAGGTTAATTTAATTGAATCAATTTTCCCTTTTGAAACCTTTTCTTCTTCAAATAAACCAAATTGATGTCTTGTAAAGCAACTCATTGATCTTGATTCAATGTAATTGTTGAAGGAAATTGTCATTCACTGTTTGTTAATCACAGTCATCTTTTAATTGCTGTTGGTCAAACTGAATTTTCCCTGTCAATCGTTTGCTCCAACGGTTTCAATCATTAAAAAAAGGCAACATACAGAGTTAATTAACTGACGGTGCTTTTAATTACAATTTTATTATCCATTGATTAAGATAAATTACATGGAAGAAACGAGAAGAGATAAAGATTTCAATGGATGAACATGAATCTCATTAAGAGTATTAGTAAAATGTAACACAAAAGCACAAACAGTAAACTAAACGATTACCAATTAATTTGATTGTTACAAGCAATTAAACCCAAGCAAAACCCAAGCGAAACCCGAAAAAAAAGTTGAATAAATGGAAATATCAATGAAAAATTTTGACTTTCCAATAAAGTCTAAAGAAGGGAAAAAAGTTTCTCAATATTTACGGAACAATATTTACAAACACAAAACTTAATTCCTTTCAATTGAACTTGCCTGATGATTCGGTTGAACATGAAATGAACATTAAATTGTTTACTCAAATGAGAAGGGCAAAAAAGTTGAACAGAAAAGAGTTGAACATCAAAATCAGAAAAACATTTTAAGACTCAATTTCACTTTTATTTTCATTGTTATCAATAAATAAAAGCGAAAAGATGAGCAAGAAAAAGAAGAAGCCAAAATGAAGAGGGAAAAAATGACAACAATAATGATAAATATGGGTTAAAGTTGACATGAAAACGAGTTGACAAGAATAATAACAGACGAAAAAAAAGGAAAATGAAGGTAATTCTTTACATGATAAATCAGTGGAGAAAAAAAAATTAGAATCAAAAATCCTCTTAACCAGAATCAATTTATCTAAAGGATAACATTTTTTCCTCTAGTGTAACTGATTCAAAAGATGATGAAGATGCAAATATTGAGAATGACAATGAAAATGATGAAGATGATCAAGATGATTATTCATCGTTCTCACTTGGTTTCAACTTGTCTTTTCCAATTTTATTCATTCCAATAAAAATTGCTCTTTCCTTTTTTCACCCACTCTTGTCCTTCCCTGAAAAACTCATCTTTAACATTCAACTTTTCATCTTGATTCTTCTTCTTCTTTATAATAATATTATCATTATTTCAATGCATAAAAGTAGAAGAGAAGAAAAGTTCATTTCATGATTTTTTCGCTCTTCTATTGTGCTTCACTTTTTTTTCTTTTCTTCAGAATTTAACTTTTTTTCCTTCTTCTTCTTTCATATTCCTGTTGCTACTTTTGCTGTTATCAACTTGATCACAACTTGTTCAATGTTGAATGTAACGAGGAGTAAAAAATGTTGGAAGAAAAGAAGTGAGAATGAACCAAAAAAAAGACGAAGAGTGTTGACAGGAGAAGCAAGAATAGAGCTTCATGAAAATGGGAAACAACAAAATGCATGGTAAAAATGATTGACGAATTTGCGTCTCAAATGGCCGTTTTTTTTCTCTCTCTTTGCCTTTTTTTCTTCTGGTCTTTTAGTAACCTTGTATTATGTCTAGTAAACCTTGATTTATTTGTTCATCCTCGATTCATTTATAACATGACAGCTTTTGTTTTGACTGATCAGACTATCCATCACCAAACAAAATCAGGGAAACTTGAAAAAAGAGAAGCAAACTTTCAATTTGAAATGAGAAATGATCATTCAAAGGATAGACAAGAGAAACATGAGAAAAAAATGAGACGTTTTGCCTTCTCATTTTCACCTTTTTTCCCTCTTTCCCTTCATTTCCAACTAACACCATTTGCTACCCTTATTATGATATTTACCTTATTTCCATCTTATAGCTTCTTTAACCAGCTTCCCATGAGAAAACAGGTAAATACGTTTGTAAACATTGAGGTTAATCATTCAGTAAACAGGGAAGCAAATGCGCTTTTCTGACCAAATTCAATCTGAATGGATTCTCAAGTAAAAGTAAAGTCAAAGAGTATCGAGTAAAAGTGTTTAAAAAACAACTTCAACAATCGACCAAAATATCGTTTAAAAACTGATAAAGATATAAATCGATTCCATTGCTCTCCAGCTAACACTGAATACTTCAGTCAATCTCATTTTACTTTGGAAATGGAAAAAGAAATCAAATTAGAGATTCTTTGATCATTATCATGTTACTAACGCGATATTACAAAACTGTTTGAATGAAGAAACCAAATTTTGAAGATGAAACATTTGAAGCTATTTTTGAGTCAAGTTTGTTTGAAGTCA